CCCCCAAACCACAGACGAAAACGCCAGCTGGTGGTGACGGCGCCGGCGCCACGCCCTGCACACCTGCTGCTTCCCACACCTGGCCTGCTTCACCTCTCTGACACCTCTGCACGGTGACCGCCCCCGCACCCCCAGGGTCCATCAAGTGGCTGGCAGGGGCAGGGCCTGAAGGGGCCACCTCTAGAGCAAGGGGTGGGCACTGGCTGGGTGCAGGCAGGGGCCCCGTGGGTTAGGCTTCCGCGGCGTGCCGGGCCTCAGCGGGCCTCTCCCCATTTACTGCCGCGAGCACAGGAGGGCCTAGCCTCGACCGAAGATGCGGAGCAGCCCTTGGGCTGGAAGTGGAGGGTCGACTTCCACCCTGAGAAGCCTGTCAGCAGCTGCAGACTGAGGCGGGGGTCTTGGCGGGGGTCCTCCAGCTCATCCCCCTCCCCAAGAGTCCTGGCCCTGCTCCCCTGTGGCTGTCCTCCCCCCACGCCCCCCACCTCCAGCAAGGCTGTCCTCCCCCAGGCCCAGCGCCAGCCCTTGCTGGGGGAGCAGAGGGCCCTGAGTCCCCAAGGAGAGCCTGTCTCCTAACTCCCACCTGCGTTCCCTGTCTCTGTCACCGGCATCGGCTGTCACGGCTCTAATTACCCAGGCTCCATCTGCCTGAGCCCTGCACAGCTGAGGAAGCTCTCAGAAGCTCTGCCCCAGCCCAGGCACGTCACATTCCTGCATACCTGCCCCGGGCCACCGCTCCTGCCCCCGCACAGGGCAGCCAGGGTGCAGGGAGCCCGAGGGCTGCAGCTGCTTCGTGGGGAGCCTGGGTCCAGTCCTGTTGTGCCCCAGGACTGCCAGCTGTGTCCCCCCACCCCCACCACAGCCCTGTGTCCAAACCTGGCCAAGAGAAGTCAGTAACGCATGACTAGGGGTATTCTGGGGCCACCTGGGGGGGCTCTGGCGTTCTGAAAGTGAGGGCGAGGTGGCGCGTTACCCAGGACTGCCTGACTTCCCAGGGTCGCCCCCACCCCTGTGGGTCCCAGCTTCCCATGGAGCCTGGGCAGGGCCCACGGGGCTCGAGGTGTCCGGATAGGCCCTGTTTGGGGAGACGAGTGCCCCCTCTGCAGCTGGACTGCCGCCCTGTGGGCGAGCCTGTCCTGGGGGGTCTTCCTGCCGCTGGGGCCTGCAGATGCTGGGGAGGAGGGTTGGCAAAGGCCGCAGCCAACACCCTGCAGGCCGCATCTGCCTGCCGGGCCCCTATTGCTGGCTCGTCCTTGTGCGGATGAAGTGGCGGCTCCAGGCTGTGGCGGCACCCAGCTCCGGTGGGCCTGGGGAGCAGGAGTGTGGTCCTTGCCCCCTGCAGGCCTACCTGACAGACCGTCGGTTGGGGGTGCAGGATGGGTGTGGGGTGGGCTGTGCCTGAAGGGCTCTCGGTGGGCTTCACCCCAGCTGGCAGGCTGAGCTGCACAGAGGTGGCCCTGGGACTGCTCGGCTCTCCTGGGCCTGGTGGCCTGGCTCAGGGAGAACTGCAGCCCAGAGGGTGCTGAGAGGCCTGATGGCCAAGGGTCGGGTGCCAGCCCTTGACCTGTCTAGTGCATCAGGAGGGTGAAGCCAGAGGGAGAGGCTGCTCTGAAAAGGCCCAGGCCGCCCGGTGCCCCGGCCCCATCTGTGCGCGTTCCCTGGGTCCTGCCCTGGGACCTGCCCTGCGGCATGAAGGCTGAGGGGAAGGAGCCCGGGCCTGGGCCCCGTGGCCTGGGTGCCAGTGGGAGACTCTGTGTCCGGGCAGCCCTGCCTCCTGTCTGGGATTTTTGGAAAAGGGGAAAATCTGTAGATGAAAGAGGTTTTTCATCTTGCTGAATTCTCAGTCGCCCCTCTAATTACAAGAGGAGATAATGACCTTTGGGGACCAAGATGGTAATCTGCAGCTTTTGTCTGAGCTGGGGGAAATCCGAAAGGTCACACTGTCCCTTCAGCTCATCCAGGCCCCTCTCTGATGGGTCTGGGGACGTGGCTGGTGGCTCCACACTCAGACCAGGGAAAAGACACGTCCCAGAGGGGACCAGGCCTGCAGAGGGCCACACGAGGCCCTCAAAGCATGCACGCAGGCCAGCCCAGGGTCGGGTCTAGAGTGGCGTAGTCATGTTCAGTGTGTCCTCTCCCCCTAGAGTGGCCGGAAGTGTCCCCGGGGGCGGTCCCCAGGCACTGTGCTGGACCCGTTGGTGGGAAGTTGCTGCCTGCTCTGCTCAGCTCAGGGGACAGGGCGAGTGGCACTGTGGTGCAGGGGCTTTGGAGTCGCATTGCCGGGGCCACCGAGGAGGTATGTGGCTTTGACCAGACTTCCTCGGCTCTCTGAACCTCAGGTGCCTCCCCGGGAAGTGGGAAGGGTAAGCCTTCGGGGTCACTGTTGGGAGACACCAGAGTTCACGCCTCCGTGCTGGGCGGCCCGGGGCTGACATGCCTCTGTCCTCGGTACCCAAGGCCCAGTCCTTCCTCAGCAAGTGTCACAGAGCTCACCATTTGGTGGGCAGGAGGGCCAGGAAGCAGGGCCCTGGGGCGTGGGCGGGGACACTATAGGGCCAGATGGTCAGCCTGTGGCTTTTCCAGCTGAGGGTCTCGTGGCTGCCCCCGCTCTAGCCAGGTCACTGGAGGCAGGGTGACAAGCGTCAAGACCCTTCCACCCCAAGTGTCCACAAGTGGCCCTCCAGCCCTCCTGTCTGGGAACCTAGTCCCCAGTTCTCCTCCAACATCTGAGCCACGGGGAGTCACCGGCAGCCTGAGTTCTGGGAGCAGCTACTCTGGTTGGAGGGTGGACGCTCGCAGCCAGGCTCTGCCCCGCTGGGCCCGGGGCTGTGCAAGGCTGTGGCATGATATCAACAGCGGAGGGGAGTGCAGGCGGGCAGGAGGGGGCCGCAGGTCTGGGCTGCGCCTGCATTTGGGACAGCCTTGGGGAACCCGACTGGACAGGGGCCTCGAGTTTCTGGGCAATTCAGCCACGGGACCGGCGTGAACAGTTAACCCAGTTGCTGGGGTGGTGAAACCCCACGCCCCTGGGTCTCCAACACTCGTTTCAAGGAGGCCATTCTGGTGTCCAGTTTCCAAACTGGACACACTGACAAAGGAGTGGGGGGTTGCCCAGAAAGATGCTCTCAGGGACAGAGCATCCAGCCCTCGCTGGGACTTTTATTGTCGACCTCACAGCCACCCACAGGGGAGGTCACAGCTCCCCTGTCCACCCGCAAACCTAAGGGCTGTCTGGTGTCCAGGCGGTGGGGTGGGGTGGCCACGGCGCTCAGGCGCTGCCCCCGCAGGGGCTTTCAGTGTGTGGACAGACACGGAGAGAAGCCTGGGTGTGAGTGTGTGTGCACACACGTGTCTCCCTGCAGCCACGGTCAAGGTCGCCATCTCTGCTCCCACCCTCCATCGGAAGGAGCCAGGGCTCCTTGGAGAAATGGCTGATTCCAGGCAAAGTGCACAATGAGGCAGGAAGGGAACAGCTCGTGGATCAAGAAGGAAAAGAGCTCAGAGAGTGACAGGGACACATAAAAGGCCACAGGAGCCACCTGAAGGGGCTCTCGTGGTCCTCACCTGGGGCAGTTTGAGCATCAGAATAAACAGTGAGGGAAGAGGGGGGCATAAGGCCACCAAATGATAACTGGAAAAGTATATAATAAAGATTTACATAAGCCCTGGCTGCTGTAGCTCAGTGGATTGAGTGCGGGCCTGCGAACCAGAGGATTGCGGTTGGATTCCCAGTCAGGGCACATGCCTCGGTTGCAGGCCGGTTCCCTGCAGGCCAATTCCCAGCAGGGGACGCACAAAAGGCAACCATACATTGATGTTTCTCTCCCTCTCTCCTTCCCTTCCCCTCTAAAGATAAGTAAATAAAATCTTAAAAAAAAGATTTATATAAAAACATTTAAAAAGAATATATAGTGATAGTAATGGATTATAACCCCTTGAATAAAACAGGAAACCAAGAGTCCACACTGATACAGATGAACCAATAGACTTTGAGTTTGATAAGGACTGGGCTGTTTCATCTCGACGAACTTCTCCACAAGCCACTCAGCTGTTACCCAGAGGTGGCATGACTGTGGAGAAGCCTGTCTAATCAAGTGACCAGGGGTGCATCCCATGGTAATGGGACAAACTACAGCTGCACCTGACAAGACTCAGTGGCATCACTTCTGGGGGGTTTCTGCTAGAGACACATGCTCCAAATCTCATGACGAGTATGGCAGGCAGAACGGCAGCCCCCCAGTGATGTGCGCCCCCGCTTGGTCCCAGGAACCTGGGAATGTGTTACCTTACTCCGCAAAAGGGACTTTCCAGATGGGATTAAGGTTACAGACCTTGAGATGAGGAGATTATTGTGTATTAACCGGATGGGCTCAGTGTAATCACTTGAATCCTTAAAATCGGAAAATCTTTTCTGGCTGGGTCAGGGAGAGGACATGTGAGGAGCAGTTGATGGGCTGTGCTCCACCCCCTGCTGCTGGCTTTGAAGTTGTAGGAAGGGGGCCATGAGGCTCTGGAGCTGGGAACGGCCTTCAGTCTACAACCGGCAGAAAAATTGGCCTGGTCCCCGCCCCGTCCAGAGGAACTGAGTTCTGCCAACTATGAGATAATTGATTTGTGTTGGGTTAGCTGTTCAGTCTGCTGAGATTTGTTAGGATGGAATGAAAAACTAGTCCCATGAGGAGACAAACCCAAGCCAGGGTGCATGGGGTTGGTTAGTGGTCGAGCACATAGACAGAACTCTCCAGAGCTCACAAGGACAGACAGACAGCTGATTAGACGAATGGGCAAAAATGAATAAGCATTTCAATGAAAAAACAGGAATGGACCATAAAACTATGAGCAGACGATTAACTTCATTTGCCATTAGGGAGAACAAATTAGAAGCAGAATGAGATTGCATTTCGCCCCCTGGAAGGCCTGACCAATGGCAGCAAACATCACTCTCAGTGCACAGCAGGTGCTCACAACCTTTGGCCCTCCGGTCAAGTTTGGCCACTCAATGCTTTTGTAAATAAAGTTTTATTGGCACAGAGACATGCTTATTTGAGCTACAAAGACAGAAGGGAATAGGTGTGACACAGGCCGTATGGCTTGCAAAGCAGAAAATGTGCCCTATTGGGCTCTTCACAGAAGTTTTCCAGCCTCTGATGTAAAGCAGCACGAACTCTTAAAACCGCTTTGAAGAGCGATCTGGCGATATGCAGTAAGATCAAAGGATTGCAGGGGCTTGGACCTGCACCTCCCCTTCTAGGCGTTTGCCCTACAGACTCTATCACAGGCAGGAGACAAGTATCGCAATATTCCTGCATCACTGCTTATAATGGCAAGTGACTGGAAACAGCTCAGGTGCCCTCAGTGGCAGAATGGACACATGTATTCTGGGTTTTGTAAACAATGGATTTCCACAGGACAGCGAGAAGGCATGACTCAGAGTACCTGCAATATAATGGTGAGTTTTGCAAACAAAGTTGTAGGGGAAAAGGGCATTGCAGAAGAATTTATACCTAACCTTGGCTGGGTGGCTCGGCTGGTTGGAGCATCGTCCAGTACACCCAAGGTCATGGGTTTGATTCCCGGTCAGGGTGCACACCTAGGTTGCAGGTTTGATCCCCAGTCGGGGTGCGTACAGGAGGCAGCCAATTGGTTTCTTTCTCACACAGATGTTTCTCTTTCTTTCTTCTTCTCTCTGAAATCCTTGGTGAGAATTAAAAAAAAGAATTTATACATGCAGGCCCATTAGTATAAAAGTCTGAAATGCAAAATGCTCTGCCCCAATATGTCATTGTACTAGATAGGGCAGAGCTTCAGCTTCATGACAGAGTGCAGAGTAACAGTGGCATATACATGGGGGCTTGTCTGCCCCTCATGGAGTGGTCTGGAGGAGGTGGTCAGGGGCTGGGCAGGCGGCTCTGCTCCCTAGCCTAGTCCAGGAATCCAGGCTTCTTCTCTAGTCTCATTTGGCTCTCAAGGCCCAGACTAGAAACCTCCACCTTCTTGAGGCCCGCCTGGATTTCTCTGGTCATCTAGGTCTCTACCTCTCCTGCTCTCTCACAGTATTTCCTAGACCTTTCACGTTAAGTTGTTAGATTCTCTCCTCCCACTACTCCGGGTGCAGTTCTAAAGGGTGCTGGCTTGGAGAGCAGATCCCCATGCCCCTTTTATGAGCTTTGTGGCCTTAGCTAGATCACCAAACCTCTCTGTGCCTCAGCGTCTCACTCGTAAAAGGTAGGTGCCAACTTCTTCAAACAGATTAAGGGTTAGGCCTGGACCACTAAGGCCCCGCCCCAGCGCCCAGGGTACTAAACACACCCTCCGACTTCGGTCCTAGGGTGTAATTGCCAAGATCAGCCCTTGAAACCCCGCTTCTCTCCGGAAGGTGCGGCGCGGCCCTCTCCCTCTAGCCCTCCACTACTGTTCCGAGCGGAGCTCTGCGGGCGAGTCCCTAAAGCTCCAGCTCCTGCAAGGCAGGGTTCAGCAGCTCAGCTCCGCCGGAGGCCAGCGTGCCGCTCAGCACAGATGCACAGGTCCCAGGCCTGCCGGCCGACCACCCTCCGGCCCCGCCCCTCAAAGGGCCCGCCCACACAGCTGCGCCGGTCGTTCATTGGTTCGCGACTCTCCGAAGAGCCTGGCGCTTCCCTAGTAGGTCCCACCCATTCCTGCACCCGTGCCCCCGCCTCCGTGGCGTCACTTCCGGGTGGAGGAGCCCGCAAAAGGCGGAAGTGTGTGCTTCGGCCGTCCGGGAAGCCGGGCGGAGGTGTGCTTGGTTGGCACCTGGCGGCTATTCCGAGTCTGGGCGCGGGGACACGGAGGCGGTCGATAAGAGCGAGTGACCGGTAGACGATGCCATGAAGCGGCTGCGCGGCCTGGCGGGGTGTGTGGGTTGACGGCCCCCGCCGCCTTCGCGCGAGGCCGCCTCCTCCAGGCAGCCGCCCGTCCCTGTCAGGGCCTCGCGCCCTGCCGTAGTCTCCGCGCCTCGCACCCGGGCCCTGGGGGTCCCCGGGCCCAGACCTCGTGCTATGACGGCGGCCGTCGCCTCCAACTGGGGGCTGATCATGAACATAGTAAACAGCATAGTAGGGGTTAGTGTCCTCACCATGCCCTTCTGCTTCAAACAGGTGAGTCCAGCGGGCCGTGGTGGCCTCCCGCGGCTCCCCGGCTCGGGTTAGCCCAGGGCCGGGCGGGGGCGCTCTGCGGCCGCGCCTGGGGGTCTGTGGGCAGCGTCGCTCTGTGCGGAGCGCAGAGTATCGGCGCCGGCTGTCAGTCCGCCCATTTAGTAGTAACTTCGGACGAAGCGCACAGTGATCCCCGGAAAACGAAGCGGGACCCGCGGGGTCAGCACTGTATTCTTTCAAACTCGGACCCTGCGGCACTGGGCTGCAGAAGCGGGCGCGTCGGGGCGGGGAGCCAGGCGCGCTGGTTCCAAGTTGGTTACCAAGGTCGCCGGGTTGTATACACTTTAGATCTGCCCAGTTCGTGATATGCAAGTGAGAAACTTGAAAACATCTGAAACATTAAGAAATTAGTATCATGCCGTCGTGAAGTACCTCAGGAGAGAGGTTCACCGTTTCTGTGAGGTGTATCCATTTGACTTCTGCTTAATCCACAAACACGCAGGCACTTGGTACTTTGGAATCATCGAATTCCATAGCTTCTTTCCTAAAAGCCCCCTTATGAGCTTCCTGCTTGCCCAGGGCGTGGTCACTGTCCCCCCTGCCCTCCAGAACGAGCCTGCTCAGGGCGGGTGAGGCCTGGGACCCCTGGGGAGGACCGCGGCTGTCAGGTTGGCCAAGACCAGTGTTACAGGACAGAACCTAATAGGTAGAAAAATGAAAATAACGTGGATATTTTGGAACTGAAAATGGGCCCCAGGAGTTTAATTTTAGATTAACAGACACTTTGTACTTTTTACACCTAGAGTCTTTTGAGTAAAAATAGCAGAAGAGCCCTGGCTGGTATGGCTCAGTGGACAGAGCACTGACTGGCTAGTGAACCGACACGGGTCACTGGTTCGATTCCCAGTCAGGGCGCATGCCTGGGTTGCAGGCTAGCCTCCCAATAGGGGACGTGAGAGAGGCAACCACACACGGATGTTTTTCTCTTTCTTCCTCCTTTTCTCAAAAAATAAATAAACAAAATCTCTTCACAAACGAACAAAAGAAATGCTTTTAATCTGGGGATTTTCGGTCCCTACCTCCAGCTCTCCAGCCTGTCTGTGTGAGAGCTCAGCTGACTTGGCTGGTGGGCGTGTTGACAGGAGGAGGGCGGCTTGGGTGGTGGTGGGAGGGCCAGGCCCCTGGGGCAACATCCGGCCTGGTGTTTTTGGCAGGACTGCAGGCCCCAGTGGGCATTTCGGCGTGCCTGGCACAGAACTGCCTTCTGGGCAGTGTCATTGGCAGCTGGCCTCACAGGTCCAGCCCCCTGGGCCGGAGGTGCCGAGAGGCTGCCTGCAGACCTCGGTGTCTGCCGAGGGGGCGCAGGCCCTGCCGAGCGCTCGCACACGGCCAGGCCCACTCACTCAGCGGGGCCGTGCAGCCCGGGCAGGTTGGGGCCGGCAGCGGCCGGTGGCCAGTGCGCAGCGGGAGGCCGGCGAGCAGCTTGGGGGGCTGTCCTCTCCGTGTGTGGCAGCCATGTCAGTTTCTAGAAGTTTAGTTTTGTGGTTTGTTTGGTTGGTTCGTTGGTTTTAGTAATTTTGGTACTTTTTAAAAAGTTAACATTTTGCCCTGGCTGATGTGACTCGGTTGGTTGGAGTGTCATCCTGTGCATCAGAAGGTTGCAGGTTCGATCCCTGGTCAGGGCGCACAGGGGAGGCAACCAGTCAATGTTTCTCTCTCTTCCCCCTCTCTCCCTAAAGTCAATAAATGTTTCCTCGGTGAAGATTAAATAAATAAATGAGTAAATATAATGAAGGGGGAATTTTAAAGAATTAATATTTTATTGCCGTATACCGAGCATACAGAAAAGTGCACGCATTTTAGATGCAGTGTTGATAAAATTTTATAAAGTGAACAAGCACGTATGACTAGCCCTCAAATTGGGGAGAGGGGCCTTGCCAGCCCCGCCCCTCCACTGTCCAACGCCCCGCGCCCCCAAAGGGTCCACCGCCGGCACCAGGGAGCAGCGAGGCCTGCTTTTGAACCGCCCGTGAATGGAACCGTATGATGTGTTTTGTGTTAGTCTGTGCAGTGTTCCACCGCGGAGCCAGCCGCCCTTCCTTTATGCTCCTATCTCCGCCCGCATGTGGGCGCCGCCTGTTTGGGGCTCTTCTGCGCACGCGCACAGGCTCGGGCTCCGCGTCCGCCTCTCCTAGAGAGCCAGGTCGTGGGGCCGAAGTGCAGGTTTCAGTCCCAGCAGGACATTGGGTGGTTTCCCGTTTCTGCATCACAGAGACACCTGCTGTGCACATTGGCACGCAGGTTTTCCTACGTGAGCTTTCATTTCTCTTGGGTAAATACCTGGGAGTTACTAGGTCAGATGGTTAAGTGTGCGTTTAACTTATAAGAAAGGCATAAATGTCATTTTTAATCTCTTCCTTCCAGAACACGTTTACCCCTCCCAGCTGCTGACCCAAGTGGCTGGGGCGGTGGTGCACAGAAGTGTGTGCAGAGACCTGGGGGTCACTGCGGAGCGTGCACTCAGACGTGGGGGGTGGGCCGGGAAGGAGATGCCCCTGGTGCTCCTTCAGGACATGCACTGGTCTGATGTCCCTGGACAAAGCATGTGGCCCCCACGTCCAGGGACTGTTCCCTTTTGTACGAGGGTTGGGAGTGGAACAGAGCTGGGGCCTGGCATCTCCGGGGACAGGCGGGCGGCAGAGGGGCTTCCGCAGGCTGCGGACGCGGTGGTCAGTGTGCGGGGAGCCGAAGGCAGCACAGCTTTGCGTTGTCAGTGTCTCTCTTCCTCTTGACCCTCTAGTGCGGCATCATCCTGGGGGCCCTGCTGCTGGCGTTCTGCTCGTGGATGACCCACCAGTCCTGCATGTTCTTGGTGAAGGCCGCCAGCCTGAGCAAGCGGAGGACCTACGCGGGCCTGGGTGAGTGTCCCGGGAGTGCTGGACAGCCAGCTGCCTGGCCTCTCGCCCCAGACCCACCCAGTTGAGTGTGGCCCACCCCTCAGGGCCCCCCAGTCATCTACCCACCCCGTCTGTGGCCCTGCTCAGGCTGCCACCACTCCTGGTCTGGTGCTGTGGTTCCCCCCAGAGGAACAGGAGGGCAGGCCACAGCCCCCAACTTCCAGATCCATGCCAGGCAGGAGGCTGGGGGCACTAATACGAATGCTTTGTATTGGAGACTTGGGGTTAGCAGTCCCGAGGGACTGATGCCTGAAAAGAGGTGGAGGTGTCTGTGGTGGGGTGTGTGAGTGTGGTGTGAGCGTGGGGGGCAGGCCCCCATGAAGGAAAGGGCTGGGTCGCCAGTTGCCTCTCTGCATGGGTGGCTCCTTGGGGGCCCCTGCCCCCCAGGCTGTTGTTCTGGGAACCAGCTGTGTCTTTCTGGTTGAAGAAGTGCCCCCTCCCAAGTTGGCCCTTTTGATGTCGGAGAGCCCCTTTCCTCTGCCTAGCACGCAGGTGTGGTCTGGAACTTTCTCTGGGCATTTAGAGAGTGCTGTGCATGCTGTGCTTCCTTTTGGAGAAGGGAGAGGCTGGGGCAGCCAGGAGCACGCTGCCCTCGTGTCCAGGGTCCCGTTTCTCTCCTGGGCATGCACCCCAACAGCCGCCTGCAAAAGGCACGGCAGGGCCTTGGGCTGCCGTCTGCTGTCTGGAGCTCCTTGTGTCTGGGGTTCTCAGCGTGACCTTGACCAGCATCCCTTGCAGGGATCTGTGTGGGGCGCGAGGCTGCTTCCTGACACCCACAGGCTTTGTCAGGGGCACCTGAGAGGCAAGCCTCTGCCCAGGCGTCCCACAGTGGGGACCCCAGGACCCCGAGGGCTGCCTTCGCCTGGCTCAGGCCACCTGTGGTGGGGGAGCTGAGCCAGAGGTCACGCTGTCTCACTTCTGCGGACGCCCTCTCCCTAAGGGATTTGAAAGTGACGACAGTGTCTTTTGAGGTCATGCGTACCCGTGGCCTGTGCTTCCTCTTCCCAAACCTCCAGGGGTCCTGGAGGACAAGGGGCTGGAGGCCGGGGCCCTCCTGCCACATGTACCCCATTCTGGTCACCCCTTTGGACCATGGTGGGGGCTGCAGGGGTAACCAGGCCACTGCAGGTCCTGGGAGGGGAGCTGCCCAGTTGGCTCCTAACGTCCCCTCTGCTGGAAGCGGCCCCATGGTCTCGGGCACCGCTTTCCACTGCAGGGCAGGCGGGGGTGTGAGGCGCACCGCCTCCGCCAGGCTCCCTCTTCATCCACCCGGAAGGGGGCGGGCCTGAGCGCACCTGCCCCTGCCGTCCTGGAGGGGTGCGCTCGAACACATCTCTGCTCTTCCCTGAAGTTTCAGACAGGAAACAGAAAGCCCTCAGCCGGGTCCCCTGGCTCGAGCTGTGAAAACTGGGTGTGCCGGGCCCTCCTGGGCACCCCCTGGGCACCTCTCGCCTCTGGCCCCGGCTGCCCGGCCCACAGCCCCCCCAGGCTGCCCCCCAGGCAGGCCCCCTTCCCGCCTGTGCTGTGGGGAAAGAGTTACAGTGTAGGGACAGTTTTTCTTCCATCCTTTCTTTTTAAAATATTTTTTGAGTGAAAAACCAACCCGCCTGTCTTTCCTTGCTTTGTTCTTGTTTTACGTGGTTTCCATCTGTCGATCGTAGATCCAAGAAAAGTGTGGGACTAAAATGGAAAGATGCCCCTGACCCCTGGGATGCGCCAGACCAGTGGTCCGTCGCGGCACTGCCTTCCACGCCTGGCTCAGGCGCGTCCCCACCCACGCACCGCGGTGCCTGGGACTGAGCGTGGCTCTCTCTCTCTGTTCCGCACTAGCGTTCCACGCCTACGGGAAGGCCGGGAAGATGCTGGTGGAGACCAGGTAGGCGGTGCCCCTCTGCGGGGGGGCTCCTCTGTCCCCCTGCTGCTGTGGCTGGTGAGAACGAGGTGCCCATTGCAGGCTGCAGCTCCCGTCTCAGATGTGGGCTGGGTTGTGACATCCAGTGTGTTTCTGACCTACACCTGCTGAGTATTTGGACGCTCAGTTTATTGCTTAAAATGATTGGTGTTGAGGCCAAAGCCCTACTCAAGTCTCAGGAAGGGAAACGAAAACTCGGAAAACCGAACAGAGTGCGGCAGGGCTCTCCCGGTTGTGGTGAGCGCTCGGTGCCACTCCCAACGCTGGGGTGCCCCACCTCCGAGCACAGCTGCATCGGAGTGGCGCTGAATCGGACGTGCCCCGTTTTCTCCCTTTGGAGTGAAATTTTACGAGGTGAAAGCTGCCGGGAAGCTGCACCATCAGGCCTGTGGCTCTGGGGCCGCACTTTCCGACAGCCCTTGGCCGTCCTGTGACCTGCCCGGGGCCGTCTCACGCACTCTCCGAAGCTCCTGCAGGGAGAAGGCTGGAAAACCCCGTAGAGAAGCGCAGGGTTGCTCGGCGTTAGTTCTAAGTGAGCCATGGCGCGCCACTCACACACCCCTGATCCCAGGAACTGTGAGGTTGCCGCTTTCGTGCAGCGTGGCCCCACGGCAGTCTCAGTGTCAGGGGTCCCTCCCTTCCTGGAGCAGAGCACGGCCTGTGTGGGGGCCTGTGCGGGGTCCTCAGCGGAGGCTGCCCCGCCCACTGCCTTCACAACCCCTGCTTCCTTCTCCGCAGCATGATCGGGCTGATGCTGGGCACCTGCGTGGCCTTCTACGTTGTCATCGGCGACCTGGGCTCCAACTTCTTTGCTCGGCTGTTTGGGTTTCAGGTAGGGAGCCTCTCATGTGTGTGTCTGGAGTCTTGGCACACTCGTGTGACACGCCTTAAGTCACCGCCTCAGACCTGCTGGAACCAGAGGGGTCAGGCCTGGGTGCCCGGAGGGGGGGTGAACCGGGAGACTTCTGGGCGGTGCCGGCCCAGGGTCACGCTCCGCCCCCAGGTGACCGGCCCCATCCGCGTGCTCCGCCTCCAGATGACCGGCCTTGTCCGCCCACTCCTGCTGTTCTCGGTGTCGCTGTGCATCGTGCTGCCGCTGAGCCTGCAGCGCAACCTGATGGCCTCCATCCAGTCCTTCAGCGCCATGGCCCTGCTGTTCTACGCCGCCTTCCTGCTTGTGGTGTGTGCCCCGCGCTGCTGCCCCGGCCGGGCCGCAGAGGGACCAAGGGCCTGGGAGGTGGCCCCCAGCGGGGCCCCTGGGAAGGGAGGGTGAGGCCGCACCTCATGTTCGGGGCAAGTTTTAGGTGGCTGTGTGGAGGGACAGCACTGAGATTGGTCACAGGGGATATTGTTTTCTTTTTTAAAGATTTTATTTATTTACTTGTAGACAGAGGGGGAGGGAGATAGGAAGAGAGGGAGAGAAACATCCATGTATGGTTGCCTCTTGTGCGCCCCCTACGGGGGAACTGGCCTGCAGCCCAGGCATGTGCCCTGACTGGGAATCGAACTGGAAGCCCTTTGGTTTGCAGTGCAGGGCACTGTTTTCCACGTGAGTGTTTCTAAGTGACCGGGTAGGAGAGTCCTGTGAGCAGTGGGCACTCAGAACACTCAGATCTTGCTGTGCGCTCGGAGGCTGTGTGGACTCCCGGGGGCCTGGGCCCGGACTGCCCGCTCCTGGGCGCGGTCGGGGTGGGCTTTCCTGGGGGACAGAGCCTGGGAGGCCCTGCGGTTGCCTTTCCTTCGAGGACCGAGCACTGGTGTGCGCTCCCAGCGGCCCTCAGCCGAGAGCGCTGGCCTGTGACAGCTGCCCACCCACTGCAGTCCACAGGCCTGTCCTCACGGGGCTGGGGGACAGCCTGCCCAGTTGGGGGCCCATCCTGTCCCTGAGGCAACAGAGTGGGCACAGCCGTGGTCCTGGCTGCCCACTGCCCGGGCTAAGTGGCACCTGACCAGGCCGCTGCCTCGAGCGTCAGGCGGGTGCAGCAGCGGGTGTCGTCTCGGCAGCGCTCGGCCAGCTCGTGGCCGGGAACCGGAAGGCGTGCACCCCGGCCCCCAGCTGGCGGCCCCAGGCTTGCCGCGAGGGCCGAGATAGGGAGCAGGGCGGACTGGTCCCCCAGCGCCGCCTCCTCCTCCTCCTCACACAGGTCCTGCTGTCCTCACTCAAGCACGGCCTCTTCAGTGGGAAGTGGCTGCAGCGGGTCAGCTACGTCCGCTGGGAGGGTGTCTTCCGCTGCATCCCCATCTTCGGCATGTCCTTTGCCTGCCAGTCGTAAGTACTGCCTGGGCCCGGGGCCCGGGGGGCGGGGGGGTCCGACGCTGGGCCACAGTCCTCATCCACTGTCCTCAGACGCCCGGCGCAGGCTGTGGAGGTCGATGCTGCTCGGCCGTAACCTGCGGCCCCGCCCCCGGAGGTGCAGCCGTATTTTCACACGTCCTTTGTGTAGAGACGTCAGCTTATCCCCGATCTGGTGCTAGCAATAATGGCGAGAGCACCCAGTGTGCCGAGCCCCCCCATGGGGAGAGCTGGCTGGGGAGCGCGGAGCAGCCCCAGCCAGCTGATGGCGGAGCCCCAGGCGCTTGCCAGCACTGAGCTGTCTGCGTGAGAACATGAAAAGGAAGTGGTGCAAACACCGCCTGCAGGCTGCCTCCGGGACGCTGCCGGGCCCGGGCGAGCGTCCGCACCTTCCCCTGGCACACAGCCTGCCTGCGCGGCGCAGACCAGCCTGTCTCCGGAGCTCCAGCACCTCGCCTCGCTGCCAGTGGCGAGAGCCAGTCACCCTCCCCGAAGAAAGGCGTGAAGCCGGAGCGGGCGGGAAAAGACCATCGGGGCGCAGGTGCTGGCAGAGTGGCTTCCCACTCCCGGCGTGCTCGCGGGCGTGCTGGCGCCGGCGCAGAGCAGCGTGGCATCAGACCCGCGTCCTGTGGGCTCCTGCCCATGCGCAGCACCTGTGGCGTCGTTTCCTGCCACTCGCTCCTGGTCGTGCAGTTCCCACTGGAGTGCATGCTGCTCTCCTGTCCAGGGCTTCCTCCGCAAGTGACACTCCATCGCCGGTCACCTGGTTACCAGGTGTCCCTGTTGTCTTGAGTTTGCTTTTTTTAAAAAAAGATTTTTTTTTAAGAAGGATTGATTTATTTATTTTCAGAGAGAGAGGGGAAGGGAGAGAGAAAGGAAGGGAAGGAAACACAAATGTGTGGTTGCCTATTGTGCACCCCCTCGAGGGGCCCTGGCTGAAACCCAGGCCTGTGCCTTGACTGGGAATCGAACTGGCGACCCTTCGGTTTGCAGGCCAGTGCTCAGTCCACTGAGCTGCGGCAGCCAGGGCAGAGTTTGCTCTGTTAGTGATACCCCGTGGTCATCTGTTGGGGGGTGGCCACAGGGCAGCCCGTGCATGTCTGTTGGGTTTGCTTCTTAGGTCCGTCACATTGCAGGTTCCTAGAGGGCCGTCCTGCTGCTCACGCACGCTGTGGGCCTACAGAGATGCCCACGCCCCCTGCGCGCAGTAGGCCGGCCCCCCTGCCGGTCTCCCCGTCTGGGCCGGGCAGAGACAGCCCTTCCCTCCCACAGGGGCCTCTCTGGAGTGTGTGCAGGGACCCGGGGCTTCTCCTGCTGATGCCCACGAGGCCCTGCCTGCATGGTGGCCGCCTTGTCGTGGGGACGGCCAGGCCCCTGCTTTGCATCACTGTGTGGCCCTGGGCCTTCCTTCCCGTCAGGGAGTGGGGGGGTGCACAGCCGGCAGTGCCCGGGGGCGTGGGGGCCTGGGTCTGTGCCGTGGGCAGGAGGAGCAAGCTTGGGGCTGTGTGGGGGAAGCTCCATGCCACTCGGGTGAACTGGGCCGTGGGGGCCGCTCAGCGGGCTGGAGTGCGAGGTGGCCGCGCCGTGAGGTCTGTGGCTCCTGCCATCGGGTCCCTGGGGCGGGGACTCGACGGGTGTGTGGTGGCTCCTGGGCCTCCCACACCTTTCCTCGTACAGCCCCTTCCCCGAGGAATCCGCAGCTCCCAGGGCGGGGCTTCTGTGTGTGTGCCGAGGTCGGGGGCGTGAAGCCCGGGGCTCGGGCCCGATGCCGCTCCCCAGGCTGGGCTCCCCTGCGGGGACGCTGCTCCAGCCCCAGGAGTGGCTGGCACCAGGTGTTCAAGCTGCTTCCCCTGCAGGACCCGGCTGTCTCCTGGCCACGCGGGCCTGAACCTCAGGGTCCACGGTGACCTGTGTGCAGGAGTGGGTGGGTGTCAGCTTCTGGCGTGAGCCTCCGCCCTGCCCTCGTGGCCTGCCCCGTGGTAAATGCAGTGTCCCTCCTAGTTTGTGCCTCCCTCTGCAAAGGCAGCGTGAGGTCGGCTCCACGGACCGCTGGACTCACCCACTTACCTCTGTCCGCCTGTTCTCACGCACCTCCCAGTGCCGTGGGCCTGTGTGATTCGGGCACAGTGTGGCGCTGGCCATGGCGGTCTTGAGGTTGTGTCTCTGACCCCCACTGGGACCTGAGGGTGGGACCGCAGAGCAGCCACTATCGGACGCCCCCAGTGCAGCTCCCTCCTCCCGGGGCTGCCCCCGCCCCCCACCTCTTCCACGCTCCCGCTTTCCTCGGAGGACCCAGCTGGACAGGACCCCCGTCGCCCGCCCGCAGCACTGCAGGGTCGGGCCTCTCTTCCGCCGTCTCCATCCTCCCTCCCACGCGACGCTGAGCAACGCCGGGGTGTGGGTCGTGGGCGTCCAGGCCAGCGTGTGTGTGTGTGTGTGTGTGTGTGTGTGTGTAACTCCCAGTCCTCTGTGCTGCCTCCCGCACCCCCCGCAAACTCTCGGCCTCCGCCCAGCCCTGCCCAGCCCCGCCCCAGCCGCCTCGCCCTGCTGCAGTGCACAGAGGGCCTCCGCTCCCTGGCGGGTCCCCGTCCCCATCCGCTGCAGTGTCCTGGCTCTGAGTTACACGGTGGGGGGTGGGGGGTGTCGGAGATGCTGGCTGGGGCCCCGGGCCGGGCCGACAGCTGGGGTGGGCGTGTCTCCGGAGCCACCTGTTTTCACACAGGCAGGTCCTGCCCACGTACGACAGCCTGGTCGAGCCGTCAGTGAAGACCATGAGCTCCATATTTGCTTCCTCCCTCCACGTGGTGACCATCTTCTACGTCATGGTAGGGTCCCCACGCCCCACCCGGGCAGTGTCCTCACAGGCCCCTGGCCCAGCGTCCCAGAGCCCAACGGTCACAGCTGGACCTACTCCTCACCTCCACTCCGGGCCACCCGGGAGCCGGAGTCTCCGCCCGGTGGTCTTGGTGGCCTCTCCGGGGGGTGCTCTGGGATGCGCGGCACTGCTGCCCGGGCCCTGGCCCACCCCCGCAGCTGGGGACAGCCAGCCGGCCGGTCCCCGCCTCCGGTCCCCACATGCTCCCGGTCACTGGGACATTACAGACTGAGTGATAAATACCCCGAGGCTGTCGCCCCAAACTCCATGGCGTCAGTGTTCTCGTCGTGTTCACAGATGATCTGCACGGCTCGGTGCCAGCAGGGGGTCTCTGACCACAGGGGTGGGCCTGCGCCTGGAGCCCGGGCTGAGATTTCAAACCACGTTAAACCTGCCCTCTTCGGTCCCAGCTCGAGGGCCGTGGGGCCGAGCTCACCACGCGGCAGCTCCGTTTGCTCAGAGCCCCGCCGCTGCCCCGTGTGAAGCCGTGTGGGGCCCCGCCTCTGCTGCCCGCCCGGCCTGTGGAGGAGGGCCGCCTGCGAGCCGGGGGTGGGCGGGCAGGGGGCGGCCCAGCACACGCGCCCCTGCGCTGTCCTCCGCAGGTGGGCTTCTTTGGCTACGTGAGCTTCACCGAGGCCATTGCTGGCAACGTGCTGATGCACTTCCCCTCCAACCTGGTGACGCAGATGATCCGTGCCGGCTTCATGATGTCGGTGGCCGTGGGCTTCCCCATGATGATCCTGCCCTGCAGACAGGCCCTGAGCACGCTGCTGTTCGAGCGGCAGGTGAGGCTGGGGGCCTCGGCGCGGGGCCCGTGCTGTCCTGGGCGGTGGTGGGCAAGCTTTTCGAGCTAAATGTGGAAAAGGTTCACTTACAATGAAATCTCTTATTGAGGTTTTTTAACCCAATTTTAGAGAAAGGAGACCGCGCCAGCACAAACAGGGACTGACTCACGCGTGTGGTCAGGCCCAGTGTCCACATGGCTCCGGCCCGTTGCTGAGACCTCCAGCCCCAAGTTGCCTCCCCAGAGGAGCAGCAGGAAGGGGGGCCTTGCGTGCCCCGTCCTGGGGGGGCGTGAGGGGGCCGAGCCGGCTGGGGCGGCAGGGCCGGCCTCACGGGCTCCTCACAGTGTGGCGGGTGTCACATCCCTGGTCTGAGGTCCCTGTGTCTCTGGACCGAGGCATCAGCAGGGGCTTCTGGTGGCTGCACAGGTCCCACAGGACTTCCTTAGGCCAGTCTGGGGTGCAGGGGCTCCAGGACAGAGGGTGACAGCCAGATGGGAGTGTGGGACACACAGGCTCCGGGATGGCTGGGACGGGTCCTCGTGGTCCGCGCCACCGCCCAGGGGTCCTGCCGCCAGAGACGGGGTCCCACGTGGACGCCTGGCACTGCCCCCTGGAGGGCAGTGGTGCACACTCCTGTGGCCGCGGAGCCGCCTGTGGGTCGGGGCCTCCATCTGCAGCGTGTGAGGCAAACGCGACTCTGCGTCCAGATGGTGCTGTGTTCCTGTGTGCAGAACGCCTGGTTTTCTTTCTTTCCTTGGTGGGGGGGAGGGAGAGAAGCATCGATGTGTGGTTGCCTCTCACGCGCCCCCTACTGGGGACCTGGCCCACAACCCAGGCATGTGCCCTGACTGGGAATCGAACCAGCGACCCTTTGGTTCACGGGCTGGTACTCAATCCACTGAACCACACCAGCCAGGGTTTTGGGACCGAACCCACAACCCAGGCGTGGGGCCGGACTGGGAACTGAACTGGCGATCTTTAGCTTTGCAGGACAACGCCCCACGACGGAGCCACCCCAGTCAGGGCTGCAGTGGCGTTTCCATAGTCAGCCCCACTGTGTGCCCTGCGTTGTTCTAGAAGCTTCACTGCAGTCACCTCACTGGGTCCTCACCGTGTGAACCCAGGGTCCCAGGCGAGGACTCTGAGCCGCTGCCTGGGCGGGGGCGTGGCCCTCACTGAGGCCGCAGGCGCGTGGCCTGGAGCCGCCACTGTGTGTGCGGCGCCCTGGGAACCCCCTTCATGGTGCTGTTCTGAGGGGTCAGGACCTGCTGCCGACCTTTCGACCCAGAGTCGCGGGGCTCGTGCCCACGCCTGGCCGTGGGGGGTCTGTGCTTCTGGGGGCCTGCGGGGCCCTGTCGGATCCTCCAGGGTGGCTGGCGCCCCCACGCAGAGCCCCAGTGGATTGCTCGAAGGGGGGGCGTCTGCACCTCAAAGCCTTTTCCTTTCGTTTCCTCCCACGTAGCAAAAGGACGGGACCTTCGCCGCAGGGGGCTACATGCCGCCCCTGCGCTTCAAGGCGCTCACTCTCTCGGTGGTGTTCGGGACCATGGTCGGCGGCATCTTGATCCCCAACGGTGAGTGGGGCCGCCCTGCCCACTGGCCTCCTCTGCGGTCCCTCCCGCTCCGCGTTGTCGCTGTTGCACGGGGGCCCCAAGCAGCGGCCACGCCCTGCGTCCAGCCCTCGCTCCGGGCTCCTGAAAAGCCCCGACTCTCAGCCTTCCTCTCGGGTGCCGGAGAAAGGCGGGGCAAACTTGGCAGCCCGAGGGGCCCACAGAGGCGTGGGGACCCGCGCTGACACGGGCAGAGACCAGACTCAGGCAGGCGGTGGCCGAGGCCCCCGGAGAGACGAAGGGTACTGCCACCAGGTGCCGAGCAGGACTGTGTGTGCCCTCCTGGCTCCCACCCATGTCCCGGGACAGCGCTGCTCGGTCACCCGCTGAGCAGCAGGGGGTTGGTGTGGAGCTGCCCCCACGGGCGGGGGTGGGGGTCAGAGCTGAGCTTCCCTGGGGCTGCTTCTGCCGTGGGAGGCTCCCCCTCGGCTGCCGAGCCTGCGCTGCCGAGCCTGCGCTGCCGAGCCTGCAGGGGACGGGGCGGTTTGCGGGCAGCCCCAGCCCGGCTGCCCCAGGAGCCCCTGGGCGCTCACCCCTCCCTCTGCTCTCGCCCCCAGTGGAGACGATCCTGGGCCTCACGGGCGCGACCATGGGGAGCCTCATCTGCTTCGTCTGCCCCGCCCTGATCTACAGGAAGGTCCACAAGAACACGCTCTGCTCCCAGGTGCGAGTGCCGGCGCGGGCTCCCGGGACTGCCGCTCTTCCTGTGGCCCAGGGGTGGGCGGGACTTCCTGGTCAGCACCAGATCCGAACATCTACTCCCCAAGTGTGTCCACGTGGGGCTGCGTCCTCTGGGGGGCCCCCTCTGGAGGCCCCCCACCATGCCGCCAGGACCCTGACAGAGCCCCCCTCCCGTCTCCCTCTGTGGCGAACGGGGCGGGGGTGGGGGGCTGGGAGAGCCGGTCACCACGTGGGGGTCGTGTCCGTAGGAGCTTTGAGAGAGGGAGGCGCCGCGTCAGTGGGCGGAGCAGTGGCTTCCGCCCGGCGCCCGCGTGCAGGGCAGCTCGTCTGCCTGCTAACGTCCTGGAACGATTTTGCCTGTCCAGTGGCGTGAACAGAGCCTCACAGTGTGCGTTTGTGTGTGTCTGGCTTTGTTAGGTCACGTCTGCGAACGCCTGTGTTTCCTTGGGGCTGGGCCAGGGCCAGGGCCAGGGCAGGCGGGCCGCCCGGAGCCCCTGGAGCACGGCGTGCGTTTCGAGGGTCACCCACTTCGGGGGTGTTTCCGGCCGGGGTTCTGCGCACCCGGCCTTGGTGCGTTTCACTGAACTTCTGGTTTTACCGCACGGTTCTGGCTCCGTGTTAGGGTTCTGGTGGCTTTCGCGCCTGCTGTCCCTTCTGTGACTCTGGCCTTCTGGTGGGTGCAGGGACGTCCCCACGTGACCGAGGCAGCTGGAGCCCGCCGTGCCCGTGCCCGTGCCCGCGCCTTGGGGTCTTCTGGACCGTTTTACTGACCTTGTGGTCTCTCTTCTCCGTAGCTCGTAGACGTTTCAAGGTTCTAGACGCACGGTGACTCTCGGTGCAGGAACCCACATCGCGTGGTTTCTCTCGCCCTGTCCACCTCCCCACTCCCTGCGTGGCTCGCTCTGACCAGCAGGTGCGGGTTCTCATGTCTTCCAGCTTCTCGGTCCTCTTCTGCGAGGTGGACACTGCAGAAACGTCCTCATTCTGTCCTCGTTCACAGCCTCTGCACTGGTTGGCGTGAGGCAGTCTGGGCTCCGGTTGGCCGGCACTCCGTCCCTGGGGCCCCCCATGGACCGGCGCACTCGTGTCGGGGGTGGTGCCGTCCGTCGGGCCTCGGAGCTGGGCCGCAGAAGCCCTCCACCTTCTCTCCTCTGGGACACCTTCCCTGCTGCGGGCCTCACACCTTTGACCAAGCGTTCAGGCAGCTGGTCAGGCCTGCAGCGGGCCGCACACCTCGGGTGGCCTCCCCGGGCCGCAGCAGCCTGTCGGTCTTGTGGTTGGTGCTCCTTCTCCTGCTTTGGGGGTCTCATGCTCATCCCCTCAGTGTGTTGTTGGAGGACACACACCGGACTTTAGCCCTTTGTCATCGGCTGGGACCCTCCTAGTGGCCTGGCACGTGGTCCCCTGGTGGGTGCTCCCCTCTGCCGGGTGGTCTGCACCTGCTGATTTCCGTGTGCTCCTGACTCTTAAGTCTTTTTGTTTGTCATTCTGGGAATGGAACAACCACTCCCACCACGGCGGTAGATTTGTTTCTTCTATAGTCCTCACCTTTTACTTGGAAGCTGAGTTACTAGGAACGAGCAGGTTTAAGATGTCTTGTTAAACTGACCCCTCTTTCTGCAAAATGCCCCCTTTTATCTTTGAAAATGCTTCTCCTGAAGTCAGCCTCCTCTGATACATTGTAGCCAATGCAGCTTTGTTTGGGGTTTGTGTTCGCACAATGTAGCTTTTTCCTTGCGCTCCTTTTGATCTGGCTACGCCTCTGGGCGGCCGGGCGTGTCTCTTATGGAAGCGGGCTTGGCCCCGTGAGGCCGCTAACGGGCGTGTCCGGACTGTTCACAGTTGACGTAGTTACTGATTCGGGGGGGATTCACGCTTCCGTCCTTTGTTTTTTATTGGTCTCATCTGTTCTTTTTTTGGTGTTTTCCTTTTTGCTCCTTTTGGGTGAAGGCAGGACCTGAAGTGTTTATTCTGCACCCGTGTCAGCTGGTGCTGGCGCCCGGCTCCTGTCCCGTGTGAGGGAAGGCCCGGCCGCCCGAGTCGCCCGGAGCCAGGCAGGCCCTGCTGCTCTAACGCCACCACCGGCCTCTGGCCTTTGCTGTGTCGTTTTCACCCATTTCAGTTTCACGTGGATTTCAGAGCCCAACTTTACTTACGGACACCCCTGTGCTTTCTCAGTTTTCCATCCTCTGGCCCCGCCTCCTGGCCTGCCTGGTAGTTTGTGGACATTGCGTGTGAGAACCGTCGAGGTCCTTTCTTTAAAAAAAGAACATTTATTTATTTTTTCATTTTTAGACAGAAGGGAAGGGAGGGAGAGAGAGGGGGAGAGGAACGTCAACGTGAGAGAGAAACATCGACTGGTTGCCTCTTGTAGGTGCCCCGATCGGGGACTGAGCCCAGGCAACCCAGGCATGTGCCCTGACTGGGAATTGAACCAGTGACCTTTCGCTCTGCAGAACAACACCCACACCCTCTGGACCGCGGCGGTCGGGGCCCGATGGGGCTCTGGTGGCCCTCTCCGCTTGGGTGCATCCGCCCTGGGTCTCAGTGGATCGCCATCGCCGGAGGTCACTCGGTTCTCTGCCGGGCGTCTCTGTGGGACTGTGACAGCTGGACTGTGACAGCTGGCGGGGCAGTGGCATGCAGGACGCGGGCACCCCCCCCTCTGGGAGCGGAGCCCCTCACTCTGGCGCCCGTCCTGCGCGTGCGCCCGTGCTCACCGGGCCGTGCAGCGGCGGCCTCAGCCTCAGCCGGGGCGTCGGAGTGGTCATTCGGCCGTCACCGGTGCGAGCGGGGCATGGTCTCGGCCGGGCCGCCCTAGCCAGGGGCAGCGCTGCAACCTTGGGGGGCTGCTCACGGCGGGAAGGCCTGGGCACCGCCTGGCAGCTGGCACGTGTTTCCTCCATTTCTCACCTCACGGTGCTTCAGTCCAACTCTTTTTGGGGAGGAGTCAGAGTTCGACCCTCCCGCTCCCGTGATGCACGAAGGCTCCGTCCCTCCTCCTGCCCCGCTCCGCCCTGTCCTTCTGCTCCTTGGCACGCCCACTCCTGTGTGGCTCCCTAGCTGTCGACCGCGGTCCCCAGCTGATGGGAAATGCCGCTGGCCCCTGTGTGGCGCTGTTGGGCGTGTTTGGGCCCCGTGTGGGACTCCGTCCTGCCTGCTGCCCAGCCCGTGGCCTCCACTCTGTTGTGCCGGCCACGCCCGCGACAGGGCCTGCCCCGGGACGCTGCGTTCCGACCCCTCTGCCCTGCGTTTGTTCCTGACGTTTCCGGATGCTCTGGTTTGTTTCCCACGTGAAAGTTCAAGTCAGCAACTGGAACTCGCAGGATAACTCCAGCCTCTTGTGCTCTGGTCTGGTTGGGATTCGTTGCAGCTGAAGATGAATGAGTGTGGAGTTGGTGTCTTCACACTCTCGCCGGCCAACAGCGCGTCCTCGGGGCTCCCTGTGCGGTGGCAGGGCCTCCCCGCGCCCGAGTTGCTGCCTGGCTGCTGTCCGTGTGCCGGGGGCCACACCTCTCGGACGGGAGCCAGTCTCTCAGCCACGTCTCCACCTTCCGGCCATTAGCCTTGCTCGTCCCCATTGGCGCGTAGGCTCCGCCTTCTCCTGGCTGGGCCGGGAGGGTGTCTAGTGTCTGCCTGGTGAGCCTCGTGCCAGCCTTGGGCTCGGCGTGCAGATGTGTGTGTGCACTGCCCCCCGTTCACGTCCACACACGACTGTGAACTCGGACTGAGGGGCACGGCACCTCCCAGGCCGCGGCGCCGCGCTCACTGCCCGTGACCGTGCGTGCAGGAGGTGCCACTGCCCGTGACCGTGCGTGCAGGAGGTGCCACTGCTGTCCCCCCAGCACGGGCTGCACGGTTCTGAGGAGCAGGAGTCCCCCGAGAGGTTTGCACACCTGGGTCTCGGTGTCAGGCCCCCTGCCACACACGGGCCCCTCCTCTCTCCGGGCTCCCGCCGCCTCGGCCCTCCACCCACGGCCCGCACGGCCCTGGCCGATCAGTGAGGGACCATTGTCTCCTGGGAGCCAGTGGGACTGACCGGCAGGTGGGCCCCTCCTTGCTGTTCTGGGGGTGGGGCTCTGCCCTCCTGCCACCTGCCTCCTGGGAAGGCGCAGCCTGGGGCTGCGTGTCCCCTCCTGCTCTCAGGGTCTCTGTCTCACCCAGGTGGTGCTCTGGGTCGGCCTGGGCGTCCTGGTGGTCAGCACGCTCACCACCCTGTCAACGAGCGAGGAGACCCCCGTGGACTTGGATTTGGCCAAGGAAGCCCCCGGCGGTCGGCACGCGGGGGCCGAGGGTGTGAAGAAGGAGGAGGCGCCCCAGCTCCCAGGTACGCGGTTCCCAGGTGGGCCACGGCCCCCAGCGCCTTGGGGTCCTGAGAGTGCAGGTGGCCTGTTCCAGGCAGCCGCGCCCGCCCGGCTGTGTCCGTTCTGTGTGGGTGATGGAGGGGCGGGTGGTGGGGGTGGCCACCTGCATGCAGGGGACAGGCAGTGGGCGAGACAGCCGGTCCGAGACCTGCCCCTCTGTTCCGTGTGCCCACGGGGCGGGGGTGTCCGTGGGCACCGCTCACGTTCGTCAGCTCTGAGGTTTCACGTTTAGGCCGGTGTCGTCTGGATGGCAGCGGTGATGCTTCTGCACGTCGTGTGCTGCCGGTGCTGGTCCCTGGCCACCCACCTGTCCAGGTCGGGTGACGACCCTCGCACCTCCCTCAGCCAACGCCACCTGGCGGAGGCCAGTGTGTGGGCCACATCGCCCAGGGGGCCCTCGCCCGTGGGGTATAGGAAGGGCGGTGGTTGCTGAGCTCGGCTGGGGCCTCCCCACCTGTCGTGACAGACAAAAGAGGAGGACACGTGGAAGGGCTGGCCAGGGGCGCAGACACGCCAGGCGCTGGCAGGGGGCCGTGCTCCCCAGCCCCGTTGCTGCGTCTGTCCCGGCTTCACCTCCGTGTGCCCTTCTGCCTCCCTGGGTCTGCAGGGCTGGTGAGAAGACCCTCCCTCAGTGGGTCTCCCGCCTTGAAGACCCCTAGGAGGGGTGGGGCTCACGGGACAAACGCTGGCAGCCGGGAGCCGTGGGTACCCGTGGCTGGTGCCCTGATGCAGCAGTTTGCTCGGGAAGAGGTCCAGGTGAAGGGGGAGGGGTGGTGAGGGCCCCCCCCCCCCCGCTGGCGCTCTGCTGGGCCCTTGCCCGGCCTGTCAGCCTGTGTGTATGGGGGGGAGCCCTGGCAGAACCGGACTTGGGCACTGGCCCCGCTCTTCAGAGCTGGCTGCGGCAGGTCTCATGGTGGGCCTCCTGGCGTGAGCCTCGCGGCAGCCCTCGGCCCAGCAGCTGCGTCCCACCCCGCAGGCGGTGCGTCTCACCTGGAGCCCGCGGCCACATCTGGTCTCCATTTACTCCCCGAGGCTGTAACAAAACACACGGCCCCTCGGAGCCGAGCCGCTTGTCTCGAGCGCGCTCTGAGTTTCTCGTCCCAGCCGGCCCGTAATTGATGGGTGGCCTCACCGCATCGGAGCAGGGCCTGCGGCTCCGCGCCGGGCACATCGGGCGCTGCTGGCCATGCGAGAGCAGTCCTGCTGGTCTCTGACGTCTCGGTGACGGGGTGGCACTGACTTGCCTTAGAGCCCCGTGCTGTCCTGCCCTCCTGGCGATGTGTGTGACCAGCACACAGCCCAGCACGCTCTGCGCACAGACCTGGGTGCACACCCGTGTGGGCGCAGCAGGGAGAGGTGCTGAGCCCTGGGGAGGCCCAGGAGGCAGAGTCACCCGTTTGCCTCCTGGTTGGGAGCGCCCACGGGGGCGGGCTGGCGGGCACGGGCTTGTGACACGGCAGCTCCCTCCTGTGACCACGGCACCCCCTTAGTTCCTCCCCCCAGCACCTGTGCCCCGTCCCGGGTGTTGGGGAGCAGCCCCGGCTAGTGCCCCTTGTATGAGCACTCACTTCCTGTAGTGTGCGGGGGGCATGGCTGTGCTCCTGCTCCCTGGGGAAGAAGGGCCAGGTGGTGGCCCTCTGGGTGCCCGGCTGGACATGAAGGAAGCCTCTCGCTGGCACTGATCGCGCTCCTGAGTGTGGACGCGGGCGGCAGAGGGTGGCACAGGCCCCAGTGGGGGCTTGCCGCTGCCCCTCTTGTGCACTTGCCCAGAGCTGCCCACCTCAGCTGGCCACCACCCAGACTGGGGCTCGTCCCTGCTGCTGGGACAGGTGCCAGCGTGTCTGCAAGGGCCGCGGCCCCACGTCCGAGTCTGTCCTCAGGTCTCCGGTCTGGGAGCCGCTCGGCGCTGCCGCAGCCCCTGCGCACTGTTCTTGTGACCCACTCTGCCCAGGGCCCACCCTGCGTTGGGACGTGGTGGGGGTTCAGGGAGGGGCCCCTGGGGGCAGGGAGGGGTGCTGCCTCCCACGTCCAGCCCTGAGTGGCCTCGCCTGGGACTGGTCTCTTGATGAGTGGACCACCCGCCCCGTCTACTGCCTGTGGGCAGGCGTTTCTGCGGGCAGAACTGGGAGGAGTGAGCTGCCCGGAGGTGTGGTGGGGCCCCGGGGGCAATTTCTGGGAGGCTGGCACGTTCAGAAGATGAATGAATGCAGTCTCAGGGGTCGCCCTGCCCCCAGGTGAGGACCGGTGGGTTTAAAGACACGCCCTGGCTGAGCACCTGTCTGGGGTGTTGCGGCCGGCAGGACGGGTCGGGGAGCTGCCTCGCAGGAGGGCCTGGCTCCCGAGCAGCGTCAGGGGCCTGCTTGCCTTCTGGGGCCCCGCGTGTCCCCCCGAACTCCAGCCCTCCCCCAGGGGCAGCACTCGGGCCCTTTTAAGTGCTTCTCTTGGTGGGCGGTCTCTGGGACGCCTGCTCTCGTCCTCACAGACCGGTCACAAGCTGCGCTCCCCCGACCCAGGGCTGCCAGCCTCCAGCGCAGCGGTCCTTGTCACTGTGGGCAGCTGCTCTGGACACCGTGCCTTGGGTGCTGTCATGAGTCCGGCCCCAGGGACACCCGGGGCAGAGCCAGGATGGCCTGGCTGGCAGTCCCCAGTCCCCACTAAGTTGTCTGGTTGCCAGAACCAGACAGCTGCCGACACCTCACTGGACCTGGGAGGGGTCTGATGGGTAACAGGCCACCGGCCTGCTGTCTCCCAGGACCTCCTGGCCTGAAGTACCTCAGTGTGGGCACCTGTCACCACAGCTCTGAGTGTGCGGGAAGGTCACCGACTGGCCACCTGGACAGCCCCAGGCAGGTTGGACCCACCATGGCCTGGCAGAAAGAGGCATAAACTTGGAACCTGTGGGTCTGGTTACCTTGGCCAGTGACTGCTGGCAAGTCTTGGAAATGATGACCTGGAGGACCAGCAGTGAGCTGGCCAGTGCTCACCTGGGGGCCAGGGTTTGTGCTGGTGCAGGGCGCCCTCTGCTGGCCGCTCCTGAGCCCCACCAGCTGCCAGCCTTGAGGGAGAGAGTAGGGCCCAGAGCCCCATCCCCACTCTTCCTCCGTTTTGTGGGGTCGCACTGCCAGCCACATGGGGCCATTTCCTGTCTTTCACTACTCGCTGTCACGTCCCATCGGAAGCCAGGCAGGCAGAGCGGGGGCCGTTTTCAGTTACTTGTTTGAAGTTTTATGTCCATTTTACAGCACTCAGGAGGTGTTGCAGGCCAAGGGCCCGCAGGGAAGAGCTGGGCTCCACCCTAGAAGATGCTTTGGCCCTTACAGGCAGAAGCTTTGGAGTGCGGAGTCCAGGCCTGGGAGGCTGCTGGGCGGGGCCGGGGGGGCCTTGCTTCCGGCAGGTGGCGGAGAGTCGCAGTTCTGGGCGCATCCGCTTGCCACCACGGTCGTGGCCCAAACGGGCAGCTCCGGGTGGTGCTCTGGTTTTGCTCCCTTCGGTCCAGGGCAGGTTCATGCTGCCATCTGGTGGCGACAGCTAGTGTTGCATGAGTGCTGCTCTTCTGCGCCAGTTAGGTGTGAGTTTCGTTCTGACGTGTGTTTGTTACAAATACACATGAAAAATGACAGTTCTTTGTGCTACTTTGCTGCTAATGATGGAACAGGAGAAACCAACTGCTTAGGCTCTGCCCTCCGACTGGGGAAGGCAATTACAACCCTGGGAGACCCGGGTCCGTGGGGAAGCGGGGGTAGCTGTGTGGAAATGCCCCTCACCAGCCAGTCTGTGCTTGCAGGCCAGAACCCCGGCGCAGATGTGGCCGCGGACAGCCCTGACGAGCCGCAGCCGCCTCGGGAGAAAGACGAGATGGAGCAGGCCCAGATTAAGGGCCCCGTGGACGTGCCCCTGAGGGAGGACGCCAAGGAGAAGCAGGAGTCGGCACAGCTGGACCGGCCCGGGCAAGGTGACGCGGGCTGGCGGGGACCAGGGGTGCGTGGGGTGCTGGGGCCACGGGGGCCTCCTGGGGGCTGCGCCCACCTTCTGGCCCCTCTGCCTCCCGTCTCCTCTGGCTCGGAGGGTGGTCCTGCCCCTGCCAAAGTGGCTGGTTTGCAGCTGCCCATCTGGTAACTCTCTAGAAGCAGCATCAGTCCCCGGCTAGACATCTGTCACATCTGCGAGAGGTGGCAGCTGTCGGCCTGGGACTCGGGTCACAGTCCCTGGGACGGAGTCCCGGCCATGCTGTCCCTGCTCCCCAACACACCCTCCGTGTCCTCCCAGGCGTGGTGGCACCCATGGGAGAGGCCCACCGCCACGAGCCCCCTGTCCCTCACGACAAGGTGATGGTGGACGAAGGTCAAGACCGAGAAGGGCCGGAGGAGAATGAACGTTCACACGTGGATGAAAAGGCTCCTGGGGCCAAGGGTCAGATGGCGCCACCCCTGCCGGATCCAGAAGGAGGGAGACGCGAGCAGGCCCAGGCCTTGGGGGCAGCGGCGGGCCTTCCTGGAGAGCCCCAGGAGGTTGCACAAGGAAACGGTCAGCCGGCCGCGGAGCCTGTGGAGGAGGACCCGAGGCCAGGTGGCAGGGGTCTGCACCCAGGGCCCCAGGCAGGGCTCCCTGAGGGGCCGGACGCCCTGGGGGCAGGCGCCCTGGACGGAGGCGATGGCGTCCCGATGCCAGACCAGGCCGCAGGAGCCGCAGACAGGCCGGCGGCCAGGCAGCCCGGTGGGTGCCAGCCTGGGCCCATCAGAAGAGGCCCCTCTGGTGTGGGTGTGGGGGCGGCCAGCCCGGGTCCTTCTCTTCTCACACGGCTGGCCTGCGAGGGCGGGTCTCGTGGTGCGGCGGTCACCGTAACTCGTGTTGTGGAGCCGTTCCCAGACCATGGGACCCCCAGTGCCACCCTGCTCCCGTGTGTCCAGGTGCGCTCGGGGACAGCACCGAGTGCTGACAGGCACCACGCCGCCGAGCGCCGGCCGGTGATGTGCTCGGGGGGAATGCGGGCCTCCTGCCAGGGCCTAGGAGACCGTGATGTGTTTTCACTACTTCCCTGGTCATCAGGCTGAAGGGAGACTCAGCCAACGGGGCGGGGGGCGGGCGCGTGCAGGGTAATTTTAGGGAACACCTGCCACCTTCCGCGTCCTTCCTGCTGCGTTTCCTGAGAGCCGGTTCTCCGCTGTGTGCAGGCGGGAAGCCAGCTCCCGGGGCCAGGCAGCAGGCGGAGCCCGGTGGTCAGAGGAACTCGGAGGGACAGGCCGGAGGCCACGCCGGCAGCAAGTTGGAGGGTGAGGGCTCTGCTTTCTCACCGCGCGCTCCCCGGGGCACGGCCGCCCCGGAAGGAGCCCCGAGTGCCGGTCCGTCTCGGGCCCTTTCTCGCTGCCGCGGTCTCGGGTTCCTGGGTTTTCTCCGGCAGCTCTCCCGTCCCCCCTCCTCCCCATAAAGGCCGCTCTGTCTCAGAGCAGCGCGGCCTCACGGCAACAGGAGTGGGGCCGGGGCACGGGCCCTCTGGGAGGCCTTCCCGACCGGCGGGGTGGGGTGGGGGTGCCTGCGCTGCTCCGTCCCCTCGTCCGTGGTGAAGGCCCATCACCACTCAGAAGGGGAGGGCCCGCTGCCCTTTCCGTCCAGTGAGCGAGACTCACTGCGAACCCTGCAGACCTGCTGCCCAGTGTGGGCTGCTCCGACTGCCGGCTCTGGACGCCCCCAGCCTGGCCTGCCAGGCGCCGCCCCCTCGGTTGGAGCTGGTGGCCCTGATGTCTGGTGGCCCACTGGCTCCAGTGCCGTCTCCCAAGCTGAGCTCCCGCACTCGCTTCACTCAGTGGCCGTGGGTGGGGGCCAAGGGGCGCCCCCTTGGGTGGGGTCCTGGGACAGGCTGCACTGTCCGGACTTGCCTCCTGGTGGGGCCCCGGGCCGGCCGCCCGCCCAGGGTGTGTGTGGGGGTGTCCCGACTCAGGGCTGTTGCAGCTGTGGCGCGCGGTCCCCCCTCCCTGTGCTTGCTGGCTGCTGTGCTCGGGGCCTGCTGCCTGAACCTGTTCGATCCTTTGGTCTCTCTCTCTGAAGAGCATTCTCACAGTTTCCTCTCTGCCTTTTCCTCCGTGCGCCTCTCAATGGGACGAGCAGCCGAAATCCAAAAGATAGTCGCAGGTACGGACCGAGGGGCGCCTGTCACCGCAGGAAGCACGCGTGTGGAGGGCTGGCCACGTGAGCACGGGCCGGCACGCACACTGGGCCCCTGCCCCGTGGTTGGGGTCCTCCGCGGCCCCAGCTCACTCCTTTCTCTTCCAAATGCGCCGGTCTCTCGGGGCCCTGTGGTGGCCCCGCGGTCACTGGAGGACAGTCTGCAGGTGCTGGTGGTGTCGGGCCCACCGAGGGGAGCGGCCGGGGCCGTGCGCAGCCCCCGAGTTCCCAGCCTGATGGCAAACGCCCCACGTGCACAGCGAGTCCCTGGGGGCCAGGTGGGGCACAGGCCGTCCCCTTCACCGTGTACTGTGTCTGTCCCCGTGCGGATGCAGGATGGCCCTCCGAGGGGCCAGTGAGGCGGGGCCTGACCTGCCCGGGGGAGGGTGCCGGCCGCACGCAGGGCCGTCCCTGAGCCGCTGCCCAGTGTGCAGTCACGGTGCCGGGGGCCAAGGTGGCCAATCGGAAACTTGTGGGGATGGTGCCATGTGGCCCCCTCATCAGAGGGAGGGGTGTGGACCCCTGGCCCTGCCTACCGCTGTGGCTTTAGGTGGTTGTCCTGGGGACCTCAGGGTGTCTGGGGGGCGGCGGGGGGGGCCTGGCGGGGCCCGTCCTCCCCATCGTCAGCCTTTGTGTGCTCCTCACGGGCCCACCACCTGCACATTCCCTGCGACCCCACCCTCTCCTGGTAGGTCACAGGTCCGAGGTCACTGTTGGGAGGACAGGCCAGCACGTTCTGTGTGCCCAGCAGGCGGGGCCATCGCTGGGTGGTGGGCTCTGTCTACGGCAAACGTCTTCCTTCTGATGCGCGCGTGCAGGTCACCCAGCTGCGGCGTCCCCGCGGTGTCTTGCTGCTGAGACTCGGGTGTCCTGGGCATTCCACCCCCCAGCTTCCCACAACTGGCCACTGGCCTGGTGCCGGTGTGCAGGAGGGAAGCGGCTCCCGTCCCCGCTCCGGCCACTGCCGGTGCAGGAGTGTGCCCCCGGCCTGCCCGGGCCACGCTCGCTGGGGCTCTGGGCAGCGGGGCCCGTCCACACCTGCCGTCCTGGCCTGGGGGCGGGCCGAGGGGCCTCGTGGGACCCCGTGTACTGGTGGGGGCCCTGCTCTCAGAGGGCCCAGCCGCTGTCCTTGCTGGAGAGGATGGGGCCATTTGTCTTCCAAACCCTTCCCTTGGAGGACACAGTCTGTAGTTAGGCGCCAGTGTTCTTTCCCGGAGTGGGTTCTAGCTTCAACCAGCTGGCCTGGGCCATGTGGGCGCAGCTCTGGCAGGTGCCTCCGGAGCAACTTAGGGCACCTGGGGCTGCCAGGTGTCTAAGCCACGGGCCAGTGCAAGCGCCAGGCCGTTAGAACGGTCACTGCCTCGTGAGTGGCCCTGGGAGGCCCCCCTGCCCTTAACCGACCAGCAGGGACACAAGAGGATTCTGCAGGTGTCCCAGGGAAGGCCCTGGCAGGGGGCTTGGGTGCCCTTGTGGTGACCCCACCCAGGCTCTGACCAGGTTTCCTGGCCCCCAGAAGCCGGGAGGGCGGAGATGCTGGACCACGCCGTCCTGCTGCAGGTGATCAAGGAGCAGCAGGTGCAGCAGAAGCGCCTCCTGGACCAGCAGGAGAAGCTGCTTGCGGTGATCGAGGAGCAGCACAAGGAGATCCACCAGCAGCGGCAGGACGGGGAGGAGGGCAAGTGCACCGGGGCCCGGGCGGGGGCTGCGGGGGCCTCAGTCCTGACCGGCAGCTCTGCAGTGATGCCCCCTTCTGAACTGCTGGCAAGTTGGTTCCTTTCGGGCCTGGCGTCAGTGGCTTCTGCCCAGTTCTGTGCTAAACTGGTGTCTTCACTTGCAGTGGACATGCAGCCCGAGCCTGGGGTGGCGGCACCGCGGAGGAAGGAGCAGGAGGCCCACATCGCGGGGACAGTGGCGCATCCCCCTCTGCAGCCTTTGGAACCTGAGCAGGGGGCTCCAGAGCAGCCCCCTGCTCTGCCCCAGGGACACAGCCAGCGCTCCCTGGAGGATCCCAAGGGGGCTGCAGGCAGAGCCCCAGCCGGTCCTCCTGGTGTGCTTGACCCCGGGCTGGGGGAGGCCCAGGGCGCCGAGCCCAGGGGGGCTGTGGTGCAGGAGCAGGTCCCAGAATCAGACCTCGCTGGGGCACCTGGGAGTCCAGAGAAGCGTGACACCGGGGACCATGCTGGGCAGAGTCGGGATGTTGCTGGCGGAGGCTCCCAGGAGAAGGACAAATCTGGAAAGGAGGTGGCAGCCGCTCGTGCCAATGCTCAGGAGGAGGCGAGGGCAGAGGCCGGGGACCCTCACCTGCAGCCCCAGCAAGGGGGCCGAGAGCAGAGACCGGCAGGCCTGCCCAGCAGGTTGGGAGGGGAAGTGCCGGGGGCCCAGGCCGTGTCCCGGCAGCCGGAACGCCCGGCCATCTCTGCCAGGGCTCAGGGAGGCCACCCAGAGGCAAGAAAGGATGTCCTTGGTGGGGACCGTGTGCCCGATCACGAGGACACTGCCACCCAAGAGCCTGGGCAGAGGCTGGACCCCGCGCTTGGGCCCAAACCGGCTGCACCTGGAGCTCCGAAGCTGGACAATGCCAAACCCAACCGAGACCTGAAAGTCCAGGCCGGTGCTGACCTCCGGCGGCGACGGCGGGATGTGGCTCCGCGGGAAGGCGGCAGGCTGGCCCCCAGAGAGGGGGTCATCATCAGCTTCCACCCCCTGTCTGATGTGCAGGTCGGCGACCTCCACAGCCCCCTTGATGCCCAGCTTCATCAGCCTGTGGGCGGCGCTTTGCAGGTGGTCCACAGTCGCCAGATCAAGCAGCTGCCGGGGGCCCCAGAAGAGGCCTGAGTGTTCCCAAGTGCCCACCAGCCTCCTGGCCAGGTGGTCCCCTCCAGGCTTGGCTGGGCCGCCCCAAAGGGGCGGTCTGAGGGCCATCTGGCACTTCCTCTCCCAGAAATGTGTCTGCCGTCTTGGACACCACTGCTAACCTGTCCAGTGGCCACCCGCTGGACTCCTTGTGACCGCCCCTCCACATTCTGAGAGAGCGGGTGCCATGCAGCTGTGGGACCCATGGGCAAGGGCTGGTGCTGCCCGGTGCTGCTCGTCCCGGCACACGGCTGCCCAGACCCGGTCTGGCTGCACCCCTGTGCTTGCCTCGAGTGCTGAGTCTCGTTCAAAATCTGAATAAACATCCTGCCTTTCGCCGTGAGCCTGCTTCCTATCCTGAGGGCCTGCAGCGAGAAGGCCATCTGAGAGTGGCCGAGCGTACCATGCAGCCCTGCCCCACGCTCTGCGGTTTCCCGAGTGACCGCGAGGTCTCGGAGACCACCACCACCACTCAGGTCTGGTTAGTGAGGTGGCTTAGCTGGCAAAGATTCTGTATGACAGACATGACAGGCCGGGAAGGGACAGACCGGTGACCAAACCTGGCCTCCCTGGAGGCCTGTGCGCAGTCAGAGCTGCTACCCCGGGCTCACTGGCCTGCAGTGCCGCGTGCGTGGCCTTGACAAGCAGGCCCGGGGAGGGGGGCCTCCTGGGCCAGCACAGGAGCTGCCCTCACGTCCGAGCTGGAGCCCGAGCAACTGTCGGGGCGGTGCGTCCCCGGCTCCCATCCCTTGCGAGCCCGGGGCTGAGTTCACTCCCTCCCACGAACACCTGGCTCTTGTCAGCACAGCAGGGAGGCTGCTGTGGCTGCAGACCTGCCGAGAGCCCATTGCAGCCCAGGGAGAGCCACACTGCCTTGGCCTTGCTAATCCATTTTACTTTTTACTGTAATTTCTATGCACAGGCAGCCTGCCAAGCAGAAATGAATAATAAGAGAAATGGGGTTTTCTGGAGGCCAAGCCGATTCCTCCTGAACCCCGGAGACGGGGGTGGGGTGCATAGGGCCTGGGTGCTGCTCACGTGAGGCCTCTGGACGTCTTGGGAGGCCCCAAGGGCGAGGCTGGCGTTTGGGGTGCACCTGGCCGGTCAGTGCCGAAAGCCCACATCAGCCCTGGGCACGGGGCAGTGGCTTCACCTGCCACCAGGACTGGAGTTTGAAAGGGTGGCAAAAAGGGCGCCTGCTGGGATGGCACTAGGAGGTGGCTGGGGAGGTGTGTGCAGTGGAGACACCAGGAGCTGGCAGATGTGAGCATGGACGGGGAAGGGTCAGGAGAGGGTCCGTGCTTTGGGCCACGTGCCTGCTGGGCACAAGCTGGGAGGTCTGGCCCACCCCTCCCTCCAGCAGGGGTAGGGGTCACACCACCAGTTTCCTGTCCTGAATTCCAGTGGTTGCTGTGAAAGGTGACTGCCCGCAAGCCAAAGCCAGCTAGGGACCCACGTCTGAGGAGGTTGCGTCTCGGATCTGCAGGCTTCACTGCCTGGGGAAACTGGGCTAGTTGTGAAGACTCAAGTCTTCAGAGGAAAGTGCGGGCTTCAATCTTGGGGCTCAGGGGTGCCAGGGTGGGTTCACCTGAGGGCAGGGTGACCTCCACGCCCCTGGGCAGGGCTCCTGGAGCAGCTGCATGTGCCCAGCAGGTGGCGCTCAAGAACCGCAGACTGGGCCTGCTGCCTGCTGGGTAAGAGCGGGGCGGGCGAGGGTGGGGGGCCTCAGCATTATTCCCAGGCCAGGGGCCCTGGGACTAGACAGGTGGGAAGGGACTTGGCTGACCGCCTTGGCGGCTGAGGAAGGGCAGAGGGCAACCCCACATGGGAGGGGACCTGCAGCCTCACTGCTCTCAAAGCCGCCAGGTTCCTCAGCCAACCCCCGGGCTCAGCCTTGTCGGCACCACTGTCTACAGAAGGGCCTTCCTTCCCCTCCAGCTCCGATCCTGAGGAGTGTCCCTCCCCCTCATCGGGGGGTCCCTGCCTTCATTCAGTGTGCCCTGTGGGCTGGCAGTTACGCCTTGAGGCTTCATGAGAATCCGCTGACACTTTATTGGGGAGACCGAAGAGTGAGGGTCCCAGGGCAGCGTCTCGGCAGCCTGCGCCCCGTCAGGTTCTTTGGGGTGACGCCAGCCCCGAGCACACCATGCTCATGACACGGGTTGTGTGTGGCCCGAGGGGTCTACGGCCCAGACTCTCATGCGCTGCGCGCGGGCCCCTCCCCTCTGCCCGTGGCAGGCCCCGGTGGACCGTCCTTTCCGCCCTCAGAGTTTTAGATGTTCCAGGATGCTTGGCCCTGGGGCCATCAGGACCACGTGCCCAGCTTTGTGCCTTCGGTCCTTCCTAATGGCCTCCCTCCAGGGTCTTCTTGGCCTGAAAGACAAAGTATTTTGTACAGAGAGCTTGCTTGCGGGCCTGGCTGGTGGGAGCCCCCCCCGCCCCCCATCAGGCACTGTGCGCACCATGCAGGAGCCCTTCCCATGGAGGACACTGGGGGCAGAGACGTTGACACGCTTGCCCGGGGACAGGGCTCACAGGGCACGGCTGGCACGGAGCCCCGTCCTCCTTCCCTGCAGCCCCTTCCTGTGGGTTCATCTGCACACTGCCCACTCGGAGGGCCACTCGCACCCCCAGCTCTGCAGTGAGGGGCTCTGAAGGCAAGTGCGCCTGCAGGCATGTCTGCGTGTGGCTGGGTCAGAGGAGCAGATGGTAAGTCACAGGGGACCAGGCTCCTGGAACAGGGACCCCTGACTGACCACACAAGGAGCAGAGGAACACCTCCGTGTAGGAGGGCTGCTTGACCTTGCCCTCACCCCCAGGAGCCACCGGGGGAGGTCTGGCCCATCCCCTGGGAAGGCTAGGAAGCCACCAAGAGGCAAAAGCAAGTCTGAGGGACAAGGACAACTCTGTCGGACAGCCTGCAAGGAGTCTGAGATTGGTGACGAGGCCTGCCTGGGGCGGCACGGTGAGGCCAGTGTGCCCCAGCCCTAACGACCTAAAAAACATGGGAAGGCACAAGGGGTTCCCTGAGCCCCGGGGAAATGAGCGTGTGAACTGTCAGAGCCGGACGCATGGGCGTCCGCCCTCGTCCTCTCAGCCATTCCCTTGGGGTGGTTCTGGGAGATCCCGCATGGCCCAGGCCCTGTGAATGCCACCGAGCCAACCTCTGCTACCAGGGACCCCGGGGACCCACTGAGGCCCTCCATGGGGCTCCCCCAGACACGTCTCCCCCAACTCCAGCCCTCCCTGTCCTTTAGGACACAAACGAGTAAAAGCGACACTAACTCCTTACTCCCCCAGAGGGCCTGAGGATTTCCACCAGATTTGCTGGGTCAGGGACCGGGAAGCGCCGGGGTTCGGAAACAGGAGACTTGCTGCAGCAAGGCTGCAGGCAGCCCCCGAATCCAGGGCCAAGAGAAGAACAGACTGTTCCCGTTCAGGCCCCTCGACCCAGCCTACGCGATGGATGGCTTCTCCTTTCAACCCCTGCAAAATGGGGCTGTCGCGCGGGCAGTGGGGTACCTGGCAACCCTGCAGGTGCTGGACGCCCCCGCGGCTGGAGGCGCACACACGTGGGTGGCAAACGCCGCTGTGGCCAAGTCACGGGGGGCGCTTCCACACGCTCCTCCACCGCCTTCGCAGCCCGCGCGGAGCGGCCGCAGGTGTGCCCCCACCTGACACACGCGGCTCCGCGGCGGCGGGGTCGCGCGGGATGGTGGGTCGGCGAGAAGCGTCGAGGCACCAGCAGGCGCCCAACACGAACCCAGGAGAAGGGAAGGCAAGGGGGACCAACGGGTCCCTCGCACGCGGCGAGCCTGCAAGTGGGGGTCGGGGGCGTCCACCTACCGCGGCGGCGAAGCAGCTCCTTAGGGCCTCGAACTCCTGCGCGCAGAGATCCTTCCTCAGGCGGCCACCCGGGGCCGTGGACGCCTGCACGCACCTACCGTAGGCCGCGGCCTGGGGTAGGGGCAGCGCGGGAGAGGGTCGCTGCGGTCCCCGCGCCTGCGGGTCACACAGGCAACCCCCGCCCCGCCTCTGTCAGCTCCCGGCCTCCCGTCCCGTCCCGCCCCGCAGGCCCTGCCCCGCCTGACGGCTCCTTACCTCGGCCCCACAGGCCGCCAGGCGCTCTGGGAAGGCGCGCAGGCGGCTTCGCACGCGCCCCCACACCGCCCCGTTCCCAGACATGAGGGGCTCTTCCTTGCACCCGTGGGCGCCGCCAGCTTCAGTCCGTCCTTTTCCGGCACCAAACACCTTGATAGGCCGAGTCCTCCGCCCATCACCTCTTCTCCGCTTTCTAATTGGTCAGGCTGCAGCACTTGTCGCTACCTCTCCGGAACCTCCGTCTGCAAGAGCCCTACAACTGGCTGGTAGGCTGTCTGTCTTTGATCTGAGACTTCGAATTGGTCCAGGCTTACACTGTTTACCTAAATCGGCATCAGGGCCCGCCCCACGCTAGCGATTGGCCAGCGGGGCCAGACCCACGCGGTGACTGGAAGGGGCCTGGCGGAAGCGGGGCGGGGCGGGGCGGGGCGGGGCGGGGCCGGAAGGTGACCGGCATCATGGCGGCCACGCCGCTGCTGAGGGACCGTCTGAACTTCCTGCACCGGGTGAGTGTGGGCGCCCAACCCTGCTGCGCGCCGCCTCCCCCGGCTCGCCCTGGGCCACTGCCGTCCGCTACCCGAGCCCTGCTCGGCTCGGCCGGGGTCACCGCGCTTCGGTCCTCCGGGACTCCGTGTCCCCCTCTGACTCCCACTGACCCTCCCAGCTTCTCCTTCGCTCCCTGCCGAGGCTGGGGGACCCCACCCTGTGTACGCGGCAGAGGCAGGTCTGGACAACGCTGCGTTAGGTCCACCAGGGACAGTCAGGTCCCCGAACATAAACAGCAGGAAAAGAGCTGGGGGCGCTGATTTCTCTTTTCTCCGTCAGTTTAAAGCAGCTTTGCAGAAAAAGAACCGTAGTGAACCCTGTCCAGCGTGAACACAGCCGGGCACCAGTATGGGAAGCCAGGGAAACAGTCTGGGCCCTGAGGTCGCCCCGAGCTCCCTCCCGATCCGTGCACAGCACTGGGCTTCTAAGAGGAGAATGAGAGGAGAGGGGGCTCCCGAAAACATGGTGAGGGGCTGGGCCTGCGAGTGCCACTAGGCCGGCGGTGTCCGCCGGCTGCCAGGCACCCACGTCAGGGTCCTCCCACCCTGCGGGGGCTGCCTCCCCGATGGTTACCTGTTGAGGAGTGGCCTCCAGAGTTGTGGGAGGTCCGTGTGGGCCGTTGTGAGTCCTTTCCAGTAAATGCTTGGAGAGAGGGAGGCGGCCCGTGGCCAGGTGTGTTGGCCAGAGTGGACATCCGCTCTCCTGGTGCCTGGAGCTCCCTCGCAGCGTTTTAGGGGGACAGGCCTTCCCCACACTGCTAGAAGCCCCGCCAGTTCTCAGCGCAGAGGCTTCTGTGCCTGTGGAGGGTTCCAGGGCTCCAGCTCCCCTGTGGGTCTCGGAGGGCAGGCAGCGTACAGGGTGTGTGCACACAGCCTTGTGTGACAATCAGCATGTGTTGTGACGCGACACAGCTGCCATTCAAACTGCAGGCTGTGGCCTGCCTTGTGTCCTGTCTCCCACCGCGGCTCACTCTGAAATGAAGGTTCTGGTTTTCATTCTCAGGGGAACAAGCCAGCGGGTAACACGAGCACATCTGTGTTGTGCTCACGAACAAGCACAGACATGCACCGTTGTTCTCCGGGGGGCTTGTGGCTGTGGGGTCTGTTCCCACAAGTTGGCTGTGGTGGTGGGGGGGCAGACCTAGGGATTATGTCACGTTGCCGGCCTGTGCTCCAGAAAGGTGCGCCCTTTGCGGCCCCTGGGTGGGAAATGGGCTCAGGCCCTGCTTTTTTGTTCGGCCAGCTGACAAGCAGGTGTAGTACAGGTGCCTTGATGTCGTCTCGTCTGTCTGTTAGCACAGAGCCCGGGGGGCCAATCTGACCGAAGCAGGGTGGCTTGGTGCCATGTCCCAGAAGGGAGGCTCCTGCGGCTCCCTGTAGCTGGTGGGGCCGCTGCCGTCCTCCCCAGTGTCCCTGACCAGGTGGTGCGCCGACAGCGAGATGCATGGAGACCAGAGCCTCCGGGGGCCCCAAGAGCGAGGGCTCCGACAGCCCCTTGGGGACAGCAGCCCCTTTGGTGGCTGCAGGTTCACCCCTGGGCACAGTGGCCACTCATGGGCAGGGCTCTTGCTGCCTTTCAGCTCCCAGTTCTCCTGAAGGGGACGTCAGATGACGACGTGCCGTGCCCAGGCTACCTGTTTGAGGAGATCGCCAGTATCCTTCCTGTGTCCCCGCGCGGGGCCCCCAAGCCTCGATTCTGGGATGTGCGGCTCTTTACCAGAGTACCCCAGTGTGGGCGGGTCTGAAGGTCACAGGACTGATGACATGGGGCCCAGGACGCCCTGGAAGCCGAAACTCCTAAAACCACGGCCTGGGTTGGGACAGTGCCCTGAGGGGTCGGTGACGGGGAGGCCAGGGCCAGCCACTCCTTCCCTAACCCGAGCGCCTCCCAGAAATCTCCCACGAGTCCCCGGGCAGCAGCCAGTGCCTGCTGGAGTACCTCCTGAGCCGTCTGCAGAGCGGCTCAGGGCGCGTGAAGCTCAAGGTGAGGCTGGAGCCACCCCCACGGACCCCCACCCCCACCTCGGGGTCCGTTCAGGGCCTGAGTTCACGCCTGTGGGTGGTGAGGTAGGAGTGGAGGAGGTGGCGGGGGTGCCCTCTGGGCCTGGCCCGGCCCCACGTGCCTGTGCCCCCAGGTGCTGAAGATCATGCTCCATCTGTGCAGTCACGGCTCCTCCTCCTTCCTGCTCATCCTGAAGCGCAACCCCGCCTTCATCCAGGAGGCCTCAGGTGTGGCCCCAGAGCGGGTGGCCCTGTGGGGGGCAGCCAGAGCAGGTGTCAGCCAGAGTCCCCTAGTCCAGGCTCGGCCCCCACCTCCTGGACCACCCTTACCCGAGCTCCGCTCTGGGCTCCCTGTTGCCAGCATCTGCCTCTTCTGCCCACGGGGCCTCTTCTCTGCTGGTGTCCCTAGGCTGCGTCCCTGCTCTGAGTCCTCCTGGGCCTCCCACCGTCTGCCGCGCTCCCCGGGCTGCTGCCGGCTGGGTCTCTGAGTCCTGCCGGGCCTGTGCAGGCCACCCTTCCTGCCCCTCTGTCCGGGGCCCGGACCACACACGGTGCTCGGTGGGCGCACAGCCCTCCCCTGCCAGGGGCCATCTCCCCACCAGGGCAGCTCCCGGGGCCTGAGACAGAGGCAGCACAGTAGCCTTTGCTCTCAGAAGGGCTGTGGGAGGGGGGCCCTTGGCCAAGAGCCCCCCTCACCGAGGCCCCCCTGAGAGGGCAGCTCAGGGGTTGCTCTCACCCCACCCCACTCGTTGGAGGCCCGCAGCTGACCACAGCGGGTCTCTGCTGCCCCCCAGGTCCCTCCAGCTGCCCCCGTGGCTCACGTGTGGTGCAGGTGGCTGTCAGGGCGATGGTGCCCGGGGGGGGGGGGGGAGATGGTGTGGGTCTGTCACTGCCATCAGGGAGCCATGCTGGGGTGGGAGGGGCATGCCAGCCCCTGGCCCTGCTCACACGCAGGAGAGGCAGAGTGTCTGGCGTCTGGTGGCCGGTCCCCTCCCCTCTCATCTCAGGCCCTGTGGGGAAGGCAGGAGCCGTACCCGGACAGGAGTGAGGGGCTTGCCATCCACTCACTGGCTCAACTTCTGGTGGCAGCCTCAGCAGGACACTGGCGCTGCCGCCTGGGAATGGAGGGCCTCCAGGGTGGAGCTGGCCCCCGAGGGCGGGGAGTGAGGGGCGCTGGTGAGGAGGAGACGGGGCACCCTGCGCTCCCGCTCATGCTGAGTCTGCAGGGGTGCAGCCGAGCGAGGCCCCTGCAGCGCCCTGGACAGCAGCTGGCCCATCCAGCTGGGGCGGGGCCCCAGGGGTTCTTCCAGCCCAAGACAGCGACTGTGCGGTGTGGGCTTTTATCCTCAAATCCCTGGGAGCTGCTGGAGGGTTTTGAGTTGCATAAAACTCCGTTTCTGTCACCTCTGGACAGAGTAGGTTGAAGGGGCAGTTCAGTGGCAGTGGGATGGGGAGGGCCCATGATGACGGTTGGAGGTCTGGCTGCAGGCGCAGGTGGGGCGGTGGGTGCTGGGGGAGGGGTCTGGGTTCCCCGCACTTTGTCCAAGGGGCAGAGGTGTTCTGGGGCCCCCCAGGCTTGGGGGGACAGCAGGGACGTTGCACAGGGGATTCAAGGTCGTGCCTGTGTGTCTGAAAGTGCACCCCAGTGGGGGTGGAGGGTGGGGGGGGCAGGACTGCAATGACCCTGCCCCACCCACCCCACCCTGCCCTACAGTGTTCACGGGTCCCCCGGACCCGCTCCACGGGAACAGCTTATACCAGAAAGTGCGGGCAGCCGCCCAGGTGAGCCCGGGCCCCAGGGCACCCCCAGGCCCCAGCTGTGCTCCTGCTGTGGGACCAGAACTTGTGTGTGGCCCCCAGGGCTGAGGGCGGGAAGGGGCACAGCCGGGCCTGTGGCTGCGCTGAGCACCCCCCTCCCGTCTAGGACTTGGGGAGCGCCCTGTTCTCGGACACGCCGGCCCCCTCTCCTCCCTCCCAGCCTCCCAGGGCCCTGCCTCCCACAGGTATGCAGCCTGGTCCTACCCAGGGCAGGGGCGGGGGGCTCACTCCCCCGCGGGCAGCAGGGTGACCCTCACCCTCCACAGGCATGGGAGCCCAGTCCAGGCCCCTGAGCGCCCTCCAGGGCTTCGGCTACAGCAAGGACCAGGGCCACAGTGGTGAGTGCCGAGAGGGCTCCGAGCAGGGTGGGGGCCGGCTGTGACAGAGGTGCCTGAGGGTAGGCAGGGCGGGTGGCGACCCTCAGACACAGCCCACCGGGCTGCTGGGAGCACATGGGGGCCACCTGCAGGAGCCCCGACTGCTGGAGCGGGTCTGCCCCCAGGGTGGCAACATTCCCCCCCCCACCCCGTGCTCCCAGAGAAGCCCAGCCCGGCCGAGAGCTGCTCTCGAGCGGTCACACAGGGCCAGTCATCAGGAGGTCCCTCGATCCGAGGTGCACAGGCCTGGGCTGTGAGCTCCGTCGGGCCTGCATGTACACTGAAGGGGAGTTCGTGGGAAGCTTCTGGAAGGCCCCCGCTCCCGCCACATGTCCACTGCTTTGTTACTACAGCTGGTTCCCTGAGCAGGGAGCAGCCATGGCTCCCACATCCTGGGGGGGGCGTATGGGGACCAAACTGGGGCTGGGCCACCCCCGTCCCTCTGGCGCAGGCTCTGCGGGAGAAGCCTTCCTCTCCACCATCCAGAAGGCCGCAGAGGTGGTGGCCAACGCCGTGTGCCCTGGTCCTGAGAGCCCTGGCACCCAGGGGCCCCCGCCACAGGGTGATGCCTACCAACCCGCTACGCCACCTTCAGCCGGCCACGGCCCGCTCACTCCCGGGGACGCGCTCCTGGCGGCCCGAGGTACCAGGGGGGCTCCTCTCTCCCAGGGGCTCCTTCCCGACCGTAGCTGGGGCCAGCGGAGCCCGTGACAAGGCCCCGTCACCAGTAAGGACCCAGGTTCCAGCTCTGAGCAGGGGAGGGGGGAGGAAGAGGGCAGCCAGCCCTCCGTGCCACGCGTGGCCCGGTGGCCTTGGTGGCAGCTTCATGCACTGTGTCCAGACTTGATGCGTGAACAGCCCTGGGGTGGGGAGGCAGGAGCTCCTGTGGTCCCCGCTCCTTGGAGGCGGGGCCGGTACCCCCCCCCTTCGTATGAGGCAGATCCCATTCTGCCCTAGCTCGTCCGGGTTCTGGAGCGAGAGCTCAGGCCGCTGCCCTGTCTGCATCTCGGGACCCAGCCCCCCGCCCCGGTTCTTCCTGGATCCCCCAGTCCAGGGGTCCCCAGTGGATGGGCGTGAGGCCAGTCCGAGGCCGCTGGGACTCACTGGTAGTCACCGTGTCTTCCAGCTGTGAGACACCGGCCCGGACAGGCCGGTGGGGGCTGGGATGAGCAAGGCGGCAGCCCCAGCTCTCAGAGCTCCTCCCAGGAGAGCGGCCGCAGCAAGGCCTCGGACTCAGGCAGTCGGTCAGGCAGCGACAGCCCCTCGGGAGCCAGCCGGGCGCCCAGTGACCTGGCCGAGAGGTGAGTGAGCACTTCTGAACCCCCTGCCAGCGGGGGCTCAGTCTGGAAGGGCCCTCCGTCCACCCTGACCTGCTGTACCCCTGACAGGGTCGAGGCTGTGACCCTGAGTGACTGCCAGCAGGAGCTGAGGCTGGTCCAGATGGTGACACAGGGGCCACGGGCTTTCCTGAGCCAAGAGGAAGCACAGCGCTTCGTCAAAGAGTGAGCCCCGACCGACACCCTGCCCCCACCACTGCCCTCCGCCCCCGGGCCATGGAGGGAAGGGCCCCAGCTGCCCGCCCTGCCCAGGTGCCCCCTTCCCGCAGGTGTGGGCTGCTCAACTGTGAGGCCGTGCTGGAGCTGCTGACCCGCCGCCTGGCCGGGACCAGTGAGCGCGTGCAGATGGTGAGGGTGCCCTGAGCACGGGCAGCCGCAGTGACGTGCTGCCCGGGGCTGCCCTGGGAGACGGGTGGGAAAGGGTGAGCCCAGGGGACACCGGGGTCTCCGGCCTTCTGGGGCGGAGCCTGCTGACCCCTCCCCCGGTGGCCCACAGAGAGCCCTGAGCGCCATCGCCTCCCTGGGGCGCACGGACCTGCTGCCCCAGGAGCACATCCTGCTTCTCGCTCGGCCCAGCCTGCAGGAGCTCAGCTCAGGCTGCCCGGGGCCCGTGACCGACAAGGCCGCCAAGGTGGGCAGCACCCGGGGCCCGGAGGAGTGGGGCAGGGGCACCCCGTCCCTCTGGTCTCTTCCAGCTCCTCTTGCCTCTGTCCTTCCGTAATCCCCGGGACGGCCATACCCTCAGGGCCCTCCAGGCTGGCCGGCCTCTTCCTGTCCTGGGCCCGCCCTACTGCCCAGCAGCTATGCCCTGCAGACCACTTCCCTTCCCACAGGCTTCAGCTTCCTGCAGGAAGTCCTCCTTGACTGCTTGGATGGTCTTTTCTGCTCTTTCCTACCCTGAGTCACACACGGTTCCCAGGGCTGTGCGTGGCTCCCAGACCCACGGGTCCTTGAGGGTGGAAGCTGTTCTACCCACTCAAGGCCCCTCCCTGCTTGTGCCCAGGCTGCACGGAGGCTGCCGGGACGCTCTCCCCACAGCCGGGCCCCACGCCTCCGCTGCCCGTGCCTCCATCCCTCAGCTCCTGCTCCTTTCCTGCACGGTCACTGAAAGTGCAGACCCTTAGTTGCTCGTCTCTAAGTTACCCTCTGTCAGGGCGGCACTGAGGCCATGCACAGGAGCACACGTCGCCGTGGGCCTCATGGGGGTCTTCCTGATGGGCGAGGCACAGCGGTTCCCTCTGGGGCCGCCTCTCCTGCGGGGGGCTCCTTGTGTGGCAGGGTTGACGGTGGGGAGACTGCTCACTAGCAGTGGGGGCAGGGCACAGCGTCTGTCGGCACACACGGTGTGGCCTGGCGTCTGGGCCGCAACCTTGAGGAGGAGCAGGGCCCTGGGGAGGGGGTGCACTCCGCGCCTCACCAGGCCCCCTCTGCTCCCGCCGCCCAGATCCTGAGGCATTTCGAAGTCTCCTGCCGCCAGCACTGCCCTGCACGGAGGCCCGTGTTCGAGCCGGGCCCCGAAGCCGCCCATGTGGGCCCGTCGGACCTGCTGGCTGATGCTGTGCCTTTCTCGGGGGGCCAGACATTTCTCCAGCCTCTGGCTTCAACCCTGTTGTGCCCCAAGGGCCCCACAGCCTCTCCCCCCCTGGACGAGGGCCCCCTCCCAGCCCTGGGGGACACCACAGAGGTCCGGACCGGACTGTCAGGTTCCGAACGCCGCGAGCCCGGATCTGAGCGGGGCTCAGCACACACAGACGCCCCACTTGGAGGACCAGGGCTCGGCCCAGGCCCCAGCGGCTGCCTGTGGGGCCCTGTGGCCAGTGACAGCCACAGCTCCTTGTTTGCTGGCATGGAGCTGGTGGCCTATCCCCGCCTGGTGGCGTCAGGGACCCCCGGGGAGGAGCCCCCCTGTCCGCCGTGGACACTGTCGCCGAGGGCAGCAGCCGAAGGGCGTCCTGGCTCAGAGCTGTCAGCGTTTGCATTCTTAAACTCGTGAGCTTGTGGGCCTCGGCCGCATGTGGGGTGTCCCTGTCCTGTGACTCCCAGGACCCCATGATTCCACCCTGTCCCCCTGTGCTCAGCCCCGGGTGTCTGTGGTTGGCCTCTTCCCCTGTCTTTGCAAGGCCCGGGTGCAGGGAGCTGCCCAGCCTGGGGAGCTCAGCGTGGACGCACCATCCTGGAACGCAAGCAGGAGCCCATGGGCTGGCCGGAGCCACCATAGCCCCTCGGAGGCGTGGTGGCGGGGGGGCAGCTCACAGGGAGGGCAGGATGCACAGAGCCCGGCGGCTCAGGGCGGGACTGGGAGCTGAGCTCTGGCTCAGAGCGGCGGCTGTGCGCCCTGGGCTGCTGGCTTCCTGCCCCACAGCCTTCTGGTCTCGTGACATGAGCACACAGCCTGTGCGGCCCCGTCTGCAAACACCATCAGGCCCCTCAGGGGCAGAGGGCACCCCGTGGCCTCCCTAGGGGGACAGGACAGGAGGGGAGGCCTGATGATGGGGCTTGGAGGCTGACCCATGCTGAGCCACCCCAAGTCCACAGGGCACAGGCTGGCCCCAGCTCCTGCCTGGGGTGTGTGTATGGGGGGCCCATCTGCACAACAAGCTCAGACTGGCACTGGCCCTGCTGCCGCCGTCTGGGTGGGGACCCAGAGGGGAAGGCCCTGGGGCTACCTCAGCCCCCCAACCCCCCAGGGGCTGGCTGTTTGGCCTCGGCAGTGGCGGGCCCCCAGGGTCCCTGGAGGAAACCCCCGCCGGCCTTGCCCTGGGGACATGGAAACTGGGGGCTTGGGGGGATTCGGAGCCACTGCCTGGATCCTTGGTTTTGAGCTGAGAACCTCCCTCTGCAGAGTGGCCCTGGGCAGCCACCCGGTGGGGTCTGGCCCAGGGCCGTTTCCGTGGGTGACGCACGGCAGCTCCCTGTGTGGGGACTGACTGCGTGGGGCAGGCAGCGCAGGGCAGCCTCGAAGCCAAGCCGCTCCCGCTTCCTGAATAAACCTTGTCCCCCAGAGCTGGGCCTGGTTTGTGTTTTCCTGTCACAGGGGGAGGGGTGCACTCACAGGAGTGTGTCCTCAAGTCGGGGACAGGCACCATTTTGCCCTTAAACTTTTCGAAGCCCCCCCCCACCCAGTAGAATTCTGGTTTTATGATTTTCTGAATCGCAGTGTTTTTAACAAATTCAATTTCTTGAGTAGATACAGACTATTTGGGTTATGCGTCTTGTGAATTTCAGTAACTTGGTTCTTTTAAGAAGTTAGTTTATTATAAAAATTGTCCTTTAAAAAAAAGATTTTATTTACTTGCCTATTTGTAGAGAAAGAGGAAGGGAAGGAGAATGTGAGAGAGAGAAACATTAACTGGTCCCCTCTCACACACCACCGATGGGGGACCTGCCCGCAACCCAGGCCTGCGCCCCAACCGGGAATCAAACCTGCGACCTTCTGGTTTGCAGGATGATGCCCAACCCGCCGAGCTACACCAGTCGGGGCTCCAGTTGTCCTTTCTGTTTCTGTAGGATCTGTAGTTTGTGATACAAACAGTTTATTCCTCTTTTCTTGGTTAGTCTGATTAGAAGTTCATTCACATCATTGATCTTTCCGAAGAACCAACCTCTGGTTTGACTTTTCTACAGGTTTTCTTTTCTCTGCATCACTGATTTCCGCTCTTGCCTTCTGCACAGTGTTCATTTCTCTCCTGGTTCTTTAGAGCAGGAGCTTACATGGTTATTTGAGGTGTTTCTTTTCCGATGGAAGCTGCTGTGGCTGCCTCCCACGAACTCTGATTTATTTTCATTCAGTTCAGAATACTTCGTAGTTTTCCTAGTGACTCCCTTTTTGTTCAGGGTTATTTAACAGGTAGGTTTTTTCCTGTAGTTAACTACTTTAATTGGTATAGTGAGATCACATGTTGTATGACTTAAACTTCATTGTTAAAAATGTCAAATGTTAGAGTTTGTCTTATGGCCTATAGTCTGTCTTGAGGAATGTTCCGTGGGTACTTGGTCTCAGAGAGAAATACAGGCTAGTACCCAGACTAACAACAGAGGAAAAAACCCTGAACAAAAATATTAGCGAAGTGAATCCAGCAATGTGTAGAAAGGGTACTACGTCACGGTACGTGGGGTTCATCCTGGGTATGGAAAGCTGGTTTAACATCTGAAAATCAGTGTCATTCACCATACTAACACATTAATGAAGAAAAACGCGCAGAAAAAGCAAGAGACAAAATTCCACACTTACTTATGAAAAAGCTCTCAGCACACTACAAATACAGAAGCTTCCGGAGTTGCAAGGGAGCCCGGGCGGCCTGGGAGCCCGGGGATGGCGTGGTTGCGGGGGGGGGGGGGGGGGGCGGGGGTAGAACCGCCCCGCCTCTCCATCCCCACGCCCCGCCCCTCTTCACGTTCCCTCTCGGACCCCGCCCCCTCCAGCCGCGTCAGGTCCGCAGGCCGGCGCCGCGGCGGCCCTCCCTCTGCGCGGCTCCTCCCACCCTTGAACTTCCCGAAAGACAGCTGAGCGGCCCAATGAAGTCCTGCGGCTGCCGGAGCAGCCAGCTGAAGAGCCAATCCAGAAGCGGCACGGGTAGAAAAGGCGGGCCTCCGTGACGGACAAGGGAGGACGTGCCAGACGGGTTGCTGTTGGTTGCTAGCTACCTCCGCACGCCCGACCGCTCGGCGGCGTCATCGTCACCTGGGCCTAAGAGCCGGCACCCGGTTTGTGGGCGCGAGGTAATCACCCGAAGCCTGGGCACCGCGCGCCGCTGCTTGGCAGACCCCACTTACCTCTCGTCTCTGGTCACGCAGGGCCCGCGACCCCCGCCCCGCTCGCGCGCAGGTGAGGGGCACGTGCAGGTGAAGAGGCCCCAGCGCAGGGGAGGAGCGGCTTTTGCCCGCGCCCGGCTGCTCGTTCGGCCTCCCCGGGAGGGCGAGGCGGGTTCCGGTGCGCGGCCGCGGCCGCAGGTCCATCCCGGAGATCCAGACCCCGGGGAGGTGTGGCGCGGCCCAAGGCGTCCCGGGGGGGGGCCCTCGAGAGAAGGACCTTCTTATGCAGGGCGGCCTGGCCCAGGCGTTTCCAGGGAGAGGCTGTGTTTACTGCCCTGAGCCCCGCGCACGCTGCTGCGTGACTGGGACGGGGCCACGGGGTCCGGGAGAGAGGGTGATAAGTTTTACCCCCACAGCCGGACACGCTGCCCGAGGCCCGAGCAATGGCAGGGACAGTCAGCACCCAACTCTGGGCCACGGGCCGTTTGCCGACCGTGGTGAGGACGGGCGTGTGCGCGGTGGCCCTCCAGGGTGCCGGTGGCCCGGAGGACTGCGCCCTCTCCCCTGTGGTCGTTCTTCATGTGGTGCGGCTCGTCCACTCCGCTGCCGAGCGCTTGCCGCGGGCCAGGAGCAGGGCCATGTAGTCCAGTTCTCGTCAGGTGTCCGCTCTTGCTTAGGAGTATCAGACAGTGCACAGACCAACCCGTGGGGCCGGTGGCCAGGTTGCCAGCTTGCCAGGTGAAAAGGAAAGCAGCATGAGGGAAGGAAGAGTGATGGGGACCGGAGGCTGTCTGTATGAAGGCGGCCCCGGAGAAGGGGCTCCAGGCAGAGGGGACAGCAGGTGCAAGGCTCACCCTGGACGCAAACTGGCCGAGACCTCTGTCCCCACGCAGAAGGCTGGCTTGGCTGAAGCTGAGGGAGGGGGCAGAGGGTGGTGTTGAGGAGGCCACCGAGAGAGCAGGGTCAGACCTGAGGGCACCTGGGCTCCATGCTCTGTGCCTGGGGCCCCGTGGGTGGCTTTCAGCAGTGCAGTGTGGTGCTCTGAGACCCCGTCCAGGTCAGCTCTGGCCACATTGTGGGGACACACCACTGCAGTTGTCCAGAGTTGCTGACTGGGACTTGGGCTGGGCTTGTGGCAAGAGAGGGTGGATGGGGACAGAGCAGCGTCTGGGAAGCAGGGGGCAGTTGTGGAGGTGAGCAGGAAGGTATCAGGATGTAGCTGGCCTGAGCCAGTTACAGAAAACGCCCGCTGGGCGGGGGCAGCTGGAGGGGGAAGTCGGGAGTCTGTTTCGGCCTCGTGGGTCTGAGGTGCCGGGGCGGGGACGGCAGTCTGGGTTGGGAGTTAGGGGACAGAGGGGTGGACGGGGGCCATCAGCCCCTGTATGAAGGCAGAAGGCCAGAGGCCATCTGCCAGGTGAGAGGGTGGACGGAGGAGGAGAGGCCAGCAAGGGAGACCCTGGTGTGCGGTGTGCTGGGAGGGTGGCAGGGGACCTGGAGTGGAGAGCGGGTGCCAGATGCCAGAAGCTCGTGGTGTGCGGTGGATTCTGAGGAAATGCAGGGGGCCCCGTGGCCAGGTAAGTTTGGGGACCTGCTTGGGTAGGTGGCAGTCAGTGCAGATCCTGGTTGGAACATCACCCTGTGTGCCCACCTCCTGCCACCTCGTTTGACCGTGGTGACAATCCCTGAAAATGGCACTTTCCCAATGTCCACTTCGCAAACGGGAGAGGGAGGCTCAAATGGGTGGCGAGTCTCTGGGTGTAAACGGAGAGTCGGCCCACGCTCAGAACTGCCTGCCGGCGGCCTGGCCGCTGTCAGGCGAGACCCCTCCTGGGAGAGGTCGTCTAGTCCCCGGAGCTCTGCTCTGGTGGCAGCCTTGTTCTTGGGGGAGACCACAGGCTTCTCAGAGCGCTTGGCAGCAGGCAGGCCAGGCTCCCTGAGGCCTGGGGGGGTGGGCGTGGGACCCCATCCGGCGGAGGGCCTCACTGCACCTCCTCTTGCTTGCTCAGGGCCCACTCTTCCACCATGAAAGGCTCCCGGGCCCTCAGCGGCACCCCCAGCCCCCATGAGGGCAACCTGGAAGGCTTGGATCTCAGTCTGACGGGGCTCCCCCCGCCCGTGTCCCGGCGCCCCAGTAGCGCCTCCGCCGCCAAGCCCGTCATCCGCTCCATCTCTGTGGCTGCGGGCAGTGAGCAGAGGAGGAGGGTGCTGGTGAGTGCTCAGGCCGGTGGCGTGGGTGGGTCTTGGGGGCCACCTCCTGGGGAGTTGCCATTAGCGGGGCCCCTGGCCTGCCATTAGGGTGGCCCTTCCCACCTCAGCAGGCACCTTACCTCCATCCCGGGGCCATCTGGGGAACAGGGAGGACCAGGGAGCCAACTCACAGAAGTCAAGGCCAGAGTCCGCTGGCCCCAGACAGAACCAGGACGCTGCCAGCCAAGCTCTCTCCCTCCCACTCCACCAGCACTGGGGTCTGTCTGAATTCTCCAGAAATGGGGTTGACCCGCTTCTGGCGCACAGGAGGAGCCTGACGGGCTGGCTCATGGGTCATGGGGAGACAGTGGAGACACAGATTTTGCTGCGGCCCTGGCGTCACGCATCCGCTCTTGGACCTGCTGCCAGCCAGGGGGGAGGGGCCCCCACTTCTTTCCAGGAAGGGGGGCCGGTGGAGGCCTCGCCCCGGGCCCTTCCCCCCACACCCACCTCCCCTCTCCAAATCTGTCCCGCGAGGCCCAGTGCTAAAGGGACTGGCCGGTGTGCAGACCTTTCCCACGCGCTGGCAGTCTCTTCCTTCTCGCAGGAGGCCGGGGGACCCGGGGCCGTCAACAGTCTTCGCAGGCCCAGCAGCACCACACTGGTCCACCGGCCGCCAGCCAGGCAGGCGTGGGCTGACCCCTTCAGGTGAACCCACCTGCTCCTGTCCTGCCTGCGTGAGCCCTTCTCCTGCCCTCACCAGTGTGGGCACTGGCTGGACGGCGGGGCCGGAGGGCGCTTCCACCTGGGGCCAGTGCCGGGCGGGGCAGGCAGGGCAAGTCTGGATCTGCCGTGTCTGCAGGTGGAGCTCCAACCTGTGGGCTCACGTCCCCCGCCTCCCCCTCCCCCTCTGTCCTTGCTATGCTGTTCCTGGGCATTAGGGTGGGCCCTCCTCTTCCAGGGACGGTCGGTCGGTCAGTAGATTAGGACCGAGAAAGGTCATGTTGAGCTCCAGGCTTGGGGACAGAGTGCTGGCTGGTGACGCTGGCCCTCCCACCCTGTCATAAGCTGTCCCCATCTGCACTTCTGAAATCTGCCTTGGCCCCGGGCGAGTGACTGCCTGTCCCCGCCTGCTGTCCTCTCACAGGCCGGCAGAGCCCCCGGGCTCCCCGACGCCCGTTGAGGGCGGCACCGGCGGGAGAAAGAGGCTGGCCAGTCTGAGCAACTCTCCCGGCAAGAAGGGGGCCACGGGGAGCGTCCTGGTGAGAGCCGGGCTGAGTCTGGTCCCGCTGTCCCTTTGGGAGGGACACCTGGCCTTCTTTGTTTTGCTGCCCCTGCAGGACAGGTCCGTGGGGAGTGGGGGGTTGTGCCAGCTGTGACCACAATGTCGAGAGTGGGGAGGAGCAGGAACTCCCCTCCCCCGCCATCCCATCGTCCCTTTGTGGGCGAGGCCATGGGGGCAGGCAAGGGCTCGGGTCAGCGAGCGTGTGGCAGGTCACCGGCTTAGGCAGGGTCTGTGTCCACGGGCAGGATGAGCAGCCCACGGCCGCCACCTTGCCACCTGAGGCCCGGAGTCCCAGCGCCCCGGACGCGCCAGCGGGCCCACGGAGAAGAGAGCGCACCGCTCCCCTCGCACCCCGCTTCACTGCCAACAACAGGTGCTCTGGCCGAGGGTGCTGGGCGTGGCCCGCCCGTGGGGGCAGACGCTGTGTCTCGAGTGCGTGGATGAGTCCAGTGAGTGAGTGATGGGTGAGGACCCCAGAACGGGCTGCCCAGGGCGTCCCTCAGCCTGGGGCAGCCCGACAGGCCCGCTGCTGCGGGGCCTTGCTCCTGCGGAAGTCGGGTCAAGACGGGCCCCGAGCAGGTGGCCTTGTAGGGCTCACTGGGGGCTCTCTGTCGAGGCTCAGCCCGCACGACTCAGAAGGGTGCCATGCGTCCCCTTGGGCTGCGTCCGTCATTTCTCAGCCCTGTCGACTGTGACGTGACAGGACAGAGCATGGCCGAGTGGGGTCAGCAGAGGGTCGCGGCCGCTGGGCCTCGGCCACGGGGCTGGTGGCCCGGGGCGGGTGGGTGGGCACGGCCTGGAGAAGCCCCAGGAGAAAGCCCCCGGGTTCCAGGCGAACACCCAGTGCTTCATGGAGACTTGTCCTCCTGGCTTTCGGCCGCAGTGGGGACAGTTCAGGGGGATGCGGAGCCGTACTCGGCTGAGCCCACGGGAGGACCGCCTGGCACTTGGAGAGTGCGCCCCTGCCCGCGGGTGGCCCGAGGGCTGGCAGAGGCCGGGTCTCAGGCTGTGTGTGCATGAGGTCTGAGCTCCGATTCTGCATTTCCTTTGCCGTGGGGCCGGGGCCTGGATCCTCGTCCTTCGCAGGGAGGCGGTGCTGTGGCTCCTGAGCCAGCAGGACTGCAGGCTCCCGGGACGCGCCCTTCTCCCTCCCTCCCTCCCTCACAGTGATCTCTCTCTCTCTGTGCTGGGCTGCCTGTGTGCTGGGTGCTTGTCCTGGATCTGACTGCGGAACCCTAAAGTCTGCCCCCTGCACCCACACAGCCCGCCCCTGGCCTGCTTCTGTGGGTGGGGAGGGCCACAGGGTCCCGTTTATCGGCTCTTTCCTGCTCCACCTGCAGCCGCCTGGCCCCACACTTACCTGGCCCGTGGGGTCTGTTCTCCATTGGTGACATGTGACTGTCCTCCTGCCCTGGGCTCACGCAGAGTCGGGAACTACTGCTTTCATGGCTCAGCTTGGCAGAATGGCCTGGTGCAGCTCTCCCGGGTCTCAGGAGGGTCCCGCTGTTGGACACGGGGGCTGTGCGGGGCCGCCGAGCATGACCCGGGAACCTGTCCCCTGCCTCCCGGGGCCTGAGGCCACCCCCGTCTCTCCGGCAGGAGCAACAAGGCAGCCGTGGGCAACTGCGTCACCACCATGGTGCACAACCGCTACACCCCTGTGGATGCTGTGCCCCCCAAGAGCTCCAACCACACGGCCCCCTCCCTCAAGTAAGGACCCACTGCAGCCTGGGAGCGGGTGCCACGGCTGTACACACGTGTGTGTGAGGGTTCCAGCCCTGGCCTGGGACTCCCACAGCTGCCACTGCCACCCTGGTGGCACTGGTGGGGGGAGGCTCACTCGGCCTGGTGGGCTCAGCCACGGGTCCTGCCGAGGAAGCCACAAGTCTGTCCGAGTCTTGGGGGACCTCGGCCGAGCTCGGGACAGCCCCGTGTGCTTAGTCAGGCGGCCAGATGGGTTTCCTGACCCGCCTCCAGCTCGGGGGTCCTGAGACCTTTTTGCTTTTTAAGTGAGTTGCGGGTGTCACCGTGCACGCGTGTGGGGGACAGACCGGCAAGTGGGAGTGGGGTGCAGGCCCGAGGCGGCCACTGTGCCCGTGGGCAGTGTCCCAGGTGTGACTGGGCCCTCGGGTGCCACGAGCCCTTCTGTTTCTGCCCCCTCTCAGCAATCTCGTCAAGGCGGCCACCGACGAGGGCGGGAGCAGCGGCTCCTCAAAGCCGCAGAAGAACTTGACCGGCAGCAAGCCCGTGGCCCAGAACAACACGGGGGCCCCCGAGAGCCTGCTCAGACGGAGGGAGGTGACGGAGGAGGAGGCGGAGAGGTGACCGCAGGTGGGGGACAGGCAGGAAGCATGAGGCTCTGGTGATGGACGTTCTCACTTAATAATCGTTCACCAAATGGAGGCCGGAAAGCCCAGAAACGCTGTCTGAGTCCGTTTACCAGAAACGTCTAGAAAAGGCAGGTCCTGGGACGGGGCAGAGCCGTGGTGCCCAGGCCGGCCGCGGGAGGCGGGGCTCGGCTGGTGCGTGTGTTGGGCCGCCTCCCCTGCCCTGCCGCACACACCCTGAGTCCCTGCTGAAGATCCGACTCTGAGCCACGCACCAGCGCAGGCAGACGTGGGGTGCGGGTCACACTTCCGTGGAAGTTACGTGTTCAGTGCAAAGAAGACACAGAACTAAAAACAAAAGCAGTCTGGGCCGCCCCGGGGCTCAGGGTGTGGTGGGACCTGCTGCTGCGGCCCCAGGCCTGTGACATCACGCAGAGAACCTGTGCCTGGCTGGGCGGGCACCAGGTGCAGTCAGTGCCCTTAGAGTGTGGGACCCAGGCCTGGGCGGTGGGAGGAGGAGCCGGGTGAGGTCCGGAGCTGCGCAGCCTCCCTTGCCAGCCCCGGGGGGAGGGTCCCTCAGACGTGTCTCGGGGCAGGCGACCGCTCACCTCCTGGAGCTGAGGTCTCGGTGTCTCATCCACCTGGCTTTGCTGAGTGTGACTTACCCCCGGCAGAGTGCACCGCTTTGGCCGTGCGGCGTGGCGAGTTCTGACACTCATGCCGCCACGTCTGCAGAGGCAACACAGAGAGACGCCGCATGTCAGTCACCCCAGCCCTTCACGGCCCTCACCCAGCGCTTCCCAGGCCTGATGAGGGCCACCCTGACCTGTCCCGACAGCTTTGTCTTCTCTGGAACGCTTTGTGACTGGAGCGCACCATGTCTGGCCTTTCACACCCTGTCGCTTTCTGTCTGAGCGCAGTGCCCACCGTCCACGCCTGCGGGCCTTGGGCAGTTTCCAATTACAAGTGATCGTGGGTGGTCTGTGGACAGGGACGGCCACCTGCGTGGACGGGTGCTGAGTCCGCTGTCCGGACAGGTTTATCCACCAGGTGAACCAGGCGGCCATCACCATCCAACGTTGGTACCGGCGCCAGGCACAGCAGCGCAGAGCCCGAGCTGCCAGCTGGGGGCCCCTGCTGGCATCCAAGCAAGAGGTGGGTGTGTGCGCCGCACCCTGGGGGGGGGTGCTCAACCCAGGGCTCACAGCTGTGCCGGCAGGGTTTCCTGGACCACAGGTTCGAAGCTAGAGTGGTCTGTGGTACATCCCCTGTCGGGGGCCTGCCCTGAGCCACTCACTTGGTCAGCAGGGCCTGGGTGTCCGAAAGCGGCGGCTGGTCCGCCCTGGAGGAGAGGACTGGGTGGGGTTCTGGTTTGGGGGCCCCTGCAGTGCCATCTCTTTGCCCGAAGGAGCTGATAGGAGGGGGCTTGCTCTGTGGGGCAGAGAGGTGACAGGCTGGGGGGTCATGGGGGTGCTGTGGAAGCCCGTGTCCGGATCCACGACCCTACCTTCCCAGGGGCGGCTGGAGGAGGGGAACCTGCTGGACCGGCACCGGCAGCAGGAGGCGGCCAGGAGGAAGGCCCGGGAGGAGAAGGCGCGCCAGGCCAGACAGGCGGCCATTCAGGTGCCAGGGGACGCTGGCCTTGTGGGAGCCCAATGCCCCGCGCGCCTGAGAGTGTATCCCCGGAGGACCCCTGGGCACCGGGCCTCAGGTAGCTCGGCTGAGGCAGAGGAGAGGCCCCAGTGTCCCGTGGGTGCAGCTGCTCGGGGTGCCCCCACAGGAGCTGCAGCAGAAGCGAGCCCAGAGGTCAGGCGAAGCCAAGCCTGGGCTGCTGAAGGGGACCTGGGAGACAGGGCAGTCCCAGACGGTGCCGGAGCGCCCCCTGCTGCCCGGAGACCCTGCTCATGAGACCCCTCGGACCCCCAAGGCCGACAACACTGGTGAGCCGGGAGAGCAGGAGGTGCACAGAGCAGGGGTCAGGGCCCCCCAGTCCCCCTGCTGCCTGGGTCTGGCCTCTTCCGAGGGCTGCTCCAGACAGGTGACACCCGGGGGGACCAATGCTGCGTTCTGTCCTGCAGGGACCAGCTTCTGTACCGCAGGCGCAGAGGAACCCTGCCAGCCTGTCTCCAACTCCTCCCCAGAGCCCTGGCAGTTCCCAGAGGACAAGCCACAGGTTCGGTCACAGCCCTTCCTGCCCTGTCCCTGCCCCTCCATGGCCGTGGGTCCCTCAGAGCAGGAAAGGCTGCCCAGATGGGACTCGCCGTTCCACTGCGGGGACAGACAGGGTCCTGTCAGGTCGTCACAGATGCCCCGGGGGGCCATGCCCACCCCTCCAGAGAAAGCTGGAAGTCCAGAGGTCAGGCGACGGCAAGGACACCAGGTCAGGGAGGCCCAGCCCTGACACGTTCCCCTCGGTCTGGGCAAGCCCTGTCCATGGGGCTGGGTGGGTGTCCAGCCTAGCCCCCACGGTCGTCAGGTGGTGTCAGCCTCCAGTGGCCTTTCCAGCTTTCTCACCCATCTGTCCACCCGTCTGCTGCAGGACACCAACTCCCAAGACAGGGCGGGTAAAGCCCCAGAGCCCGTGGGCCCAGCCAGGAGCAGGGCCAAGTGCAGGTCAGCCCTGGATGAGCTGCTGGACACCCTGAAGCTGCTGGAGGCGGAGCCGGAGCCGCTGCCCCGCCCCAGGGCCCATCACAAGGACAGATACGCCTGGGTTGACGAGGTGACTGCAGGGCCTTCCCGGCACTCAGCCCCAGGCCCTGGTGTCAGCCCCACAGGCCCAGGGAGCCCCGAGGGCTTCCTCCTGTCTTCCTGGGGACCCTGAAGAGGACCAGCTGGGGCCTTGGTGATCCCTGGGCACCCAGTAGCTCGCTGAGGTGGAGGACCCTCAGAGTGTCCGGGCTTGGGTGGCACTGTCTCTGCCCGGGGAGGGTCTGAGCAGCCCAAGAGGCCCTTCCCCCAGACGGGGCCCAGCTGCCCTGCCCGGGCCCTGAGGACCTGCGCCTGATGCCCGCCCCCGTGCCGTGCCCCCACCCCTGCAGGAGGACAGCGCCAGCTCCCTGACAGCTGACAACTTGGAGAAGTTGGGGAGGCTCAGCGCACCTGCCGGGCCCCCCACAGACGGGGCGCTGCTCTCAGAGGCCAAGCTGCACAGCATCCTGAGCTTTCTGGACGAGATGGAGAAGTCAGGGCAGGACCGGCCGGCCGCCGCCCCCCAGGTGTCAGGGGGTTACCCACGGAGGGGTGGGCTGGCCGGCCTTCCCGGGAGACCAGGCCTGCCTGACCCGGCCTCGTCCTCAGGGGCTCGTGCCGGAGGAGGGGCTGGGGCGTCTGGAGTCTGCGTCTGCGGCGAGCGCGACCGTGACGCGGCTGAGGCTGCAGGTGGAGGAGAAGAAGCAGGCCGTGGCGCTGCTGCAGCGGGCCCTGGTACCGCCGCCGCCCCTCCCCGGGGGGCCTGCCCGGGGGCTGTCACCGCCCGTCCCAGGCCTCCCACTGGAGTGTGCAGGCCAGCACGCCCCCCTGAGCCGTCCTTGTCCTCTGGGCCCCCTCCCCGCGCCCTCAGGCACAGCAGCGGGACCTCACCATCCGGAAGGTGGAGGAGACAGAGAGAGAGCTGGGCCGGCAGCTGCAGCGGCAGAGGCAGCACTACGAGGCCGCCATCCAGCGGCACCTGTGTTTCATTGATCAGGTGATGTGGCCCAAGAAGCGGGGCACCAGGGCGGGGTGTCTGGGCCCCCGGGCTCAGGGAGGGGGTGGGGCAGCTGCAGGGCAGCTCGGGGTCTCCGGGAGCCTGCCGGATTCATGGCCATCCTGGCCGGGCCTTTCCTCCCTTGTCTGAGAGGAGCAGTGTCTTCCCGTGGGGACGAGGCGTCCAGCACATGCAGGCTGGTCCAAGGCTCCCCAGCCCCATTCGGTGGTCCCCCCACAGCCTGGGTCCCTCAGAGGGCCAGTCAGTAGGAGGTGTCCTGTGCTTTCTGGGGTGTCGGGTCCTGGGCGGCCGCATGTCTGCCAGGTGGGGTCTGTGAGGAGAGGAGGGAGCCCAGAGGAGCCAGTGGCCTCCGTTGGCCGTGGGGGTCCTCTGCTTGGCGATCGCAGGTGTGTCCTAACTGAGGGTCTGTGCGGAGGCCGTGGCAGGCCCTTGTCCGCAGACTGGGTGACGAGTGACCCCTTTCCCAGCGCAAACCTGACACGGCCACAGAGAGAGGGGCGCGCAGCCGAGGGCACCGTCCCCGGCCATCCTCGTCCAGGCTCTGCTGGCGCTCGCCAGGCCCTGGCGGCGGGGCAGGGTGGCCGGCAGCAGCTGCAGCCTGGGGCGCGTGCAGGCAGCCCTCCCAGCCCCGGGTGGTGGGGGACTGAGGGGCTCAGTCCGGGTGCTGGACCCCAGGCAGGGGCAGTCGGGTGTCGGGCACCCTGCGGGCCGCTCCCTCGCCTCAGTGGAGCCACTCACCTTGCACCCCGACTGCAGCTGATCGAAGACAAGAAGAACCTGGGGGACAAGTGTGAGGCTGTGGTGGCCGAGCTGAAGCAGGGGGACCAGCTGCGCAAGGACAGGGAGGCCCAGATGCGGGAGCAGCACGAGCTGGTGAGCCCTGTCCTCCCCCCGACGCCTGGCCAAGCCGAGCCTCCCTCCTTCCCCGGCCTCAGAGCGTGGTCGGTCCTGGGGCTGGTGACAGGACCGCCCAAGGGCACTGGGAGAGCCCTCCCAAGGAAGCCCCGCAGGCGGTGGCGGGCTTCCTGCCTCCTGCTGCCCCTCTGCCCTGTGCTCGCCCGCAGGAGATTAAGAAGCTCCGAGAGCTGATGAGCGCCGCCGAGAAGGTGCGCAGGGAGAAGTGGATGAGCGAGAAGACCCGGAGGATCAAGGAGATCACTGTCAGAGGTGGGCGGCCGAGAGGACCGGCCTCGGCCCGAGGCCCCCGTGGGGTCTCGGAGTGGGGACAGTGGTCTCAGCCACACGGCTGGTGGGGGAGGCGACGCCGGCCTCGGGCGGTGCAGCCCCCTGGTCTCCGGGCCTGATGAAGCAGCCAAGAAAGGGCGGTGAACAAGGGGGACAGGCCCTCCCTCCCAGGTCCCCTCTCCTTTGGCTGCCCGAGGAACAAGCTGGGTGGGGGTCCCAGGCTTTCTGCCACCTGTTCTGTGGCTCCTGCCCTGGGACACGTTCTCCCCAGGAGTCTGGGTACTGCCAGGGGGTTACCCTGCTGTCCAGGGGGATAGCAGCTGGAGCCCTGAGGGATCCCCTGGCTGGACTGCAGCCCTGGTGTCACAGTGAGGGAGAACTGGGGGTCCCGCACAGCACCGGTGGGGCAGAGGTCAGGGGTCACTGCAGCGCCGTGTGCCCACCCAGGCCTGGAGCCCGAGATCCAGAAGCTGATTGCCAAGCACAAGCAGGAGGTGAAGAAGCTGCGGAGCCTGCACGCGGCTGAGCTCCTGCAGGCAGACGAGCGGGCTGCCCAGCACTACGGGCGCCAGGCGGAGGCGCTGCGGGAGCAGCTGGCGCAGGAGAGGGAGGCGCTGGCCCAGCAGGAGCGTGAGCGCGCCCAGCGGCGGTAGGTGTCCGTGGCCTTCCTGGGACGCAGCCAGGTCCCAGGCCGAGCTGGGATGCGCCCTGAGCCCAGGGTGACACCGGGGCCCCTGGAGGGGCTCGGGATCAGGACGGGACAGGTGGGTGCTGAGCAGGACGGCCTCCTGGCCGCAGTCTCGCCCCAGCAGCCCCCTCCTCTGCAGCTTCGAGCAGCAGCTGGAGCAGGAGCAGCGGGACCTGCAGCAGCTGCGCAGGCGCCTCTACAGCGAGGTGGCCGAGGAGAAGGAGCGGCTGGGCCAGCAGGCCGCCAGGTGCGGGGCGGGGCTGCCTGCGGCCGCGTAGCCCCCCACCCCACCTTTTGCACTGACCTCCGGGTGCCTGCAGGCAGCGGGCCGACCTGGAGGAGCTGCGCCAGCAGCTGGAGGACAGCAGCTCCGCCCGGGGCCGCGCCCTGAGGGCTGAGTTTGAGAAGGGCCGGGCAGAGCTGGAGCACAGGCACCAGGTCTGCTTCCCGGTCCCCGTCCCCGCGGGCCCACTGGGAACCCCCATTCTGGAGGTGCGGGGGAGGCTGTGAGGGGCACCACCGGGCGGGCCCCTGGGGCAGCTGACGGGAGCACTGGTGAGCCCAGGTCCGTGGGGGGGTGGCCACTCCCTGCAGACCCTCACTCTGCTCGGCCGCAAAGCCTGGGGCAGCCACCGGGCAGGCCACACTCACTCCGTCGCCACCCCCAGGCAGAGTTACAGGCCCTGAAGGACCAGCTGGAGGTGGACCGGCAGGTGTGGCAGGCCAACTGCGCCCGGAAGGAGGTGGGGCTGCCCCTCCCTCTGCTCCGGGGGCTCCCTGTGGGTGTGGCGCGCGGTTCTTGGTTGGCTGCTCCGGCTGGTGGTTCGTTCTGAGCGCCACCCAGTGCTGCCTCAGCCTGTCCCCGGGGGACACGGGGCTGCGGCAGGTCCCAGGCAGCCACAGAGGAGAGCACCCCCACCCTCTGTCCTCCTGGACACCTGCTCCCGAGGGCACGACACCCAGTCAGCTGACAGACACGCTGCTGGCCCTTTGGCCTGGTGACGGACTCAGTGGCGGCGGAGCAGCCACAGGTCCTGCTCCCACCCCTGTGGGTGGAGGGGTGACGAGTCAGGCTGGCTGGGTCAGAGTGGGTGTCCAACTTGCTGGAGTTTCTGGGGGCCCAGTGCGCACCCTCCTCTGAGAGGCTGCCACAGGGGCGGGGGCACCCGGAACTCCAGCACCAGGATGAGGCCTCACTGTCCCACGTCGGGGCCCCAGTGACAGGACGTGTTCCCTCCCTGGAGCACTGACGGGGCCTGGGGCCAGCTGAGGCCCTTCGGTCCCCACGGGTTGTCCTGGGTCCAGCCCTGGGCCGTGTCCACCACTCAGCCGTGCCCCTGGCACTGCGGCACCTCCCCTCCAGGAAGCCTGGCTGCGGGAGCGCGAGCGGGAGCTGAAGGAGGAGATCCGGAAAGACCGGGACAAGGACATCGAGCTGGTCGTCCGCCGGCTGGAGGCCGACATGACACTGGCCAGGGAGGAGAGTGAGAGGGCCGCCGAGAGCCGGTGAGTCCTTGCCGCACTGGAGCTGGGACTGTGTGCCTGGCCGGTGGGCCCAGAGCGGCGGGACTGCTCTTGACCTCGAGCCTGTCCCTTGCCAGTGTCCAGCGAGTTCGAGACAAGTACGAGGCGGAGCTCGCGTTGCTGGGGCAGGCGGAGCGGCAGCTGCAGGGCCAGTGCGCAGAGCTGAAGGGGCGGCTGGCGGAGGCCGAGGGCGAGGTCGCGCGCCTGCAGGGCCTGGTGCGGCAGAAGGACAAGGCCCTGGCCGCAGAGAAGGCGGTGAGCCAGCCGGAGCGGGTGGCTGGCCGGGCCCCGGCCCTCTGCCCACCACAGGCTCACGTCTTCCTTGCCGGCCCAGGTGAATGAGCAGCTCGCCGGCGAGAGGAGCAGCCTGGCCCAGGTGCTCCGCCAGGAGTTCGCCGACAGGCTGGCCGCCTCTGAGGAGGAGAACCGGCAGGTCCGGGCTGAGCTGGAGCAGCTGAGGCGGGAGAAGCAGGCGGAGCTGGAGGACGTGCATGGGAGGTGGGTGCTGGGTGCACACCAAGGGGGGCGCTGCGGCTGCTACAGGGAGGAGCTCTGGCTGACAGAGGCGAGCGCCGAGGGCCCTCCATTCCCCTGGCGGATGCAGAGCGCAGAATGAGCTCTCAGCAGTGGCTGCCTGGTTGAGGCCCCGATGGGGTCCCTCCTGCAGCCTTGGTTCCAGGGCCTGGGAAGAAACCAGCTGTCTGAGCACCAGCCATCCCAGGGGCCGGGCCAGGCCAGGCAGTGCCCTAAGTGGGTCTTCAGAGGGACAGTCCCCAGTCCCCAAGGTCCCTGGCCTGGGTGAGGTGGGTGCTGTGCAGACAAGGGGGTACCCCACACCCACAGGCCCTCACAGTCCTCCCTGGGCCTCCTGTCTGCCCATCACGGCCGCTTGGGGAGACGGTGCGGGGGGGGGGGGGGGGGGCTCGCGCCCTTCCCGGGACTCCTCTCACCAGCCTCTACAGGCAGCCCGGGGTCCTCAGTCTGCAGTCCGGGGTGGGCGGCACAGCCGACCCTCTGGTATCAGGGTGGAGGTGCCCTCACCCGCCATCCTGCTGCCCCCAGACCAGCCCCCCCGTGTCCCGCAGGGTGAAGGCGGCCCTGGCGAAGAAGGAGGAGGCCGTGAGCAGCCTTCGGCGACAGCACGAGGTGGGTCCTGTGGGGCCGGGGCGGGGCGCGGGGCGGGGCGGCCTGGCCTGACCAAGGTGGGCGTGTTGCAGGCCGCAGTGAAGCGGGCTGACCACCTGGAGGAGCTGCTGGAGCGGCGTAGGCGGCCCCTGCGGAACGCCAAGTGACCGCCGCCCTTGTCTCCCGTCCCCCTCCACCGCGGCCCGCCCTGCTCTGGAAGTAAAGCGATGTTTCTTCACACTGTGTGTCCCCTGCCTGTCTGTCTCCGGGGGTCTGGGAGGGGCGGGACGCCACCCGAGGGCCCCTCTGCAGAGCAGCTGGGCAGGGGTGTCCATGGCTCGGCTCAGCCTGCCCCCTGCCCCCCACCTGGCCCTGCGCCCCTCAGCCCCCTCCACTCCTGGGAAGGCGTTCCCAGCCTCCTCCCACCCCTGCCAGGTAGCCTAGCCCACCTCCTGCTGTGACCCCAGGGGGCCCTGGAGGTGTGACAAGTGGGGGGAGGGCAGTGGGAGAAGCTCTTCTCCTGGGGGCCTCACTGCTCCCCACCCCGAGCCCCACTGGGCTGCCCGTGGGTGCTGCTGCCTGGCTGAGGGTCCGGGCCCAGGCCCCCTGCGGTCGGAGCCGGCCACGAGGTGGCTCCTGCTTACACCTTGGGGGCACCTGCTGCTCGTGGGGTTGCCACGGGGCCGCCCCTCACGTTCTGACGGCCCTGGTGGGTTTGGGCTCTTGCTGCTGCGAGTCCAGCCAAAGTCACTCCCAGTCCCTACCACCACCAGGACCTGGGCCGTCTTCCTGCCCCAGCCAACACATCTGGGCCTCTCCCCTCTTTCCCAGCCGAGGTCAGAGAGGGAAAGGCTGGGCTGGCGGGGCTCTGGGAGGACCGGGGTGGGGGGTGGGGGGGGGGCTCGGCCTCTTCACACGAGCCGGGGGTCCAGGAGCCAAGGTGGGCGTAGGCGCCGGAGCCCCTGGGAGAGGTCTGGGTGGGGGCTACTCGTGTCCAGGTGGCCGTTGGACCGCCCCTCGGGGGCTGAACAGGGCGGGCAGGTGGGGAGGGGCATCTCCACAGGAAGAGCCTGGGGGGAAGGGGAGGCAGGGAGGCTCAGGCGGAGGACCAGCTCAGAGCGCAGGGCCCAAGGAACACGCCGGGGTCCCCCTTGGCCACACCCCGGGGCTGTAGCTGTCCCTGCACTGTGCTCACAGCTGCTGCGGGGACTCCGACCACCAGGGAACCCGTCTGGCTTGGACCCTGAGCAGAGCCCCTTGGGGTCAGAAAAGGGGGTCCTGAGAGTCTGGGCCCAGAGAGCACTGGGCTGGGAGGGTGGGCCCAGGAGAGGCCAGGATTGGTGGTGAGACCCCCTCCGTGGGCGTCGGCAGTGGTGGGGGACAAGGGGAGGGCAGAGGGGCAAGGGCTGGCCACACTCCCCCCTGCCCCCGTCTTCCCTTTTGCGTCTCACATCCCCGCCCTGCCACCAGCCGTCCCCAGAGACCCACGACCCAGCCCCCAGCTCTGCAGCTCCCCCCAGACACGTGGGCCGAGTCTTTTGTGTGATGCTGGCTTTATTCCACACTCCCGGCACGGGCCAGGGGCAACCCCACGGCCTCCTCGGAGGGTGCTCGGGGGTCCCCACTGCCCCTCGGGGACGCTCGCTGGGCTGGGCATGGTGCTACTTCTTCTTTGGAATTTTCTCCTTTTTGATCAGCTCAGAAAATTCTAGAGCAGGAGACAGATTTCTAGTCCATAACCCACGGGCCTTATGCGCCCCCGGAGCCATACGGGCCCAACAGGGCGGAGGCCCCGTAGGAGCTCCCCCAGTCCGGGGCCCTGCTGCCTCCCCTCCCTCCCCACTGACGCCCCTCTCCCCTCCCACACCCTCGGTAAATCTACCGCCAGCCCTCTGCCAACTCCAGCCACCACTCGGCAGTCTGCAGTGACCCCCTCGGCACTCAGCCAGCACCCCTGGGCCTCAGTTTCCCCGCCCATGAGTGATGCCGGCACCCACCACAGATGGCAGCGAGCTTCCGGGGGCGGCGCCTGGCGGTGGGGGCCACTCAGGTCTGCCCTGAGAGGGACAAGGGACACCGTGCCAACTGCCCAAGTACAAGTGGTCCCAGGGTGGGGTGGTGGGGTGGTGGGCAGGGGCAGCCCACCTTCGAAGTCAATCCTCCCATCGCCGTCCGTGTCAGCCGCCTGGATCATGGCCTCGGCCTCCTCATCTGTCAGCGGGGCGGTGGGCCCGCTGCTGGGTATGGTGGACAGGACATACCTGGGCCGGGCGGGCTCCCGTCAGGCGTCTGCTGGCACCTGGCGGCTCACAAAGTGCCCCCTGCCCACTTCACAGGCGGGGAGACTGAGGCCCAGCAGGGACGGGTCCCTGGGCCTGGTCTGGTGCTGTCCCTGTGGCCCCGTCTCCTGAAAGGTCAACACGGGGCCCCTCGGCCTGCCCCCCTTCCCCACCCTCGGCCGCTCGCTGTTACTTGATCTCGTTCCACTCGATGAAGCCACTCTTGTCCTTGTCCAGGGTCCGGAAGGCATCGTGGATGGCGCCCTCCAGCTGCCCCGAGGCCTGGAACCTTCGCATGTATTCAAAGAACCTGAGGTAGTTGAAGGCACCTGGAAGGACCGCGCAGGGTCAGCGGGTGGCCTGGCCGGGGCCGGAGGCTGGGTCCGGAGGGGGCCTCTGCCCTGGGGCGGGGACTGCCAGGTCCTGTCCCTCTCTAAGGTGTCCGGCCCCCTGGGTGGGGGGCAGGCCCCGAGGAGGTGCCGTGAGGGGTGGGCCGTACCGTGGTGCCTCATGTCCGGGGGCAGCAGCTCTACGTCCTTGTCCGACAGGGACGTGCCCATGGCCAAGGCCACCTTTTTCACCTGGGAGGAGAAGTCCTCGTCCATCCTGGGCCTGCTGTGGACAGGAGCCAGCTTGGTGCTGTGCACGGTGAGAGGGGCAGTGGGCTGGGACCCTGCGCGGTGCCAGCTCCTGGGCCCCACGGAAGACCCCGGGCCCCCGAGGAGGACAGGTCCGAGTGCGTCTAGCTGGCCACTTTGAGGTAGTGACCTCGTGTCATGGAAGGAGACGAGGGCCCAAGGGGTCAGTGACCACCCCGTTCCTTCACTCTGCTCAGACGAGGTGGCCATGGCAGCCGCCGGACCCTCAGTGCTGCTGGGGAAACTCCCGGTGTCACCCTTCAGGGCCCATCTCGAAGCTGCCTCCTCTGGGAAGCCTCCCTGGTTTACCTGAAGGGCCCCTTCCTCCGGCCAAAACTCAAGGCCCAGGGGCTTTGCCTCACGCTCCTGGACCCCAGACCAGCGGGCCCTGCTCCTCCTAGCTGGTCGCCAACCACCGTGGAGCCGGCCCTGAGCTGAGGGAGGCCCACGCTCCCACTCTGGGCGGGGCAACCACCGCCCCTTCCAGGCCCTCAGGGCGCCCGGCTGGAGGTGGGTCTGTGCGTGGCCCTGAGCATCACCGTTGGGTGGGGGTCTGGGCACAGGGAAGGGGCCCGCAGCTGGGCACTGGGCTGTCCTGTGCCCCTCACAGTAATGCCGTATGACCTGCCGAGCTCTCAGGTTGCTGTCCCCAGGGGGGGTTGGGTTCTGGGGCTCTCGGCAAAGCAGCTATTTCAGAGGCTCCTTGGCCCTCTCAAAAGTTCACCAGGTGGTGGAACCTTCTGGAACATGCTCCCGCTATGGGGAGGGGCACCCCAGGGCCCGAGGGTCTGAGCGGCCCTGGGCCACGGTTGGGGGTCTCCACTCCCCTCCCCAGTGGAGACGCCATGGGCCCAGCGTCGGGTCAACCCTGGAAGCCCTGGGACGGCCCAGGTCCACCCCGCCCCCATGCAGCCCTGCGGCGGGCCCCACCCCTTCCCCTCCCCCCAGGAAAAGCCTCCCTCCCCCTCCTGCCTTCCCGCCCTCCACGGCCAGGGCTGGCCCCTCAGACCGCCATGTCCTAGCCTGGCTGTGTCCTCGGGCCCCCAGGCTGGCAGGGAGCCCACCCAGCCCACTCTGGACGCCCACCAGGCCTCTTGGGTCTGCACCCACCTTTGTCAGGGAGTCTCCGAGTGAGCTCAGGGGTGATGTGAGAAAAAGGGGGGGGGCAACTGGGAGGCATGGGGCGCCCCTGCAGACAGGGCTGGCTCCGCGTGCCTGCCCGAGTCGGGGGGCCCACTGGGCTCGGTTCCTTGGTCCCGCCAGGCCTCCTCGCCTCCGACTGGGCCCCTGGGGGCCTGAGGTCAGCGAACGGGTCTCAAGCTCCCCTGTGCTGACCGGACTCACGGCTCCCTCCCCACCTGCTGAGCACCATGCCCACCCTCCCCGCAGACCCGGCCCTGTGGCTGCCTCCCGACTGGAGCTCCCTCCTCCTCTTCCTGCTTCCCCTGGGCCTTCCCTCGACCCAAGGGTGAAGGCCCCAGGGCGCAGCTGAGACGCTCCCCCGCCCCAGCTCCCAGCAGGGCTCACTTGCGTTTGGCTTACGTCGAGGGCTCTGCAAGGCGGGTCAGGCTGGGTGCTGAGAGGTGTCCCCGGGCTCCAGCCTTTATACCCGCTGTCACCTGGCCTGCGGACAGCTTGGGGCCACAGTGCCCTCACCCCCTGGCCTTCCAGTGGCACGGGATGCCCCCAGGGGCTCGTTAGCACGTCCACGCTGGCTGGGCAGCCTGACCGTCAGGAATGCCTGGCCTCCCTGAGCCCGGGGTGGGGGTGGGGACACAGAGACCGTTTCTGTCTGTCCCAGGAGGTCCCACCTGCCTTCTGGCCTCACACTGTGGTCTTGTCCCCGCTGCTCGGCACCCGTCTGTGGTGCCCCACAGCGCAGCGTTCTCAGCGTGACGGCCGAACCCGATGCCCCCGTGCTGAGTGGGGGAAGCCAGCAGCAAAGGCCGCACCGGGTGGGCCCTGTCCCCTGTGTTAAGTGTCCCTGAGAGGCGCCCGCCCAGGGCTGGAGGACGGGGGACCGGGTGCAGTTTACGGGGCCAGGGCTGATGCTGGGTGCCCGAGTGAGAGGGTCGGGGCTGCCCAGCGTCCAGTGTGCAGGCTCCTCACGCCGAGGTGGTTCTGTACGTCCCGTGCACCTCGCCCCAGTTAGAGGCAACACTCACAGTGAGAAGCAGCTTTAGTAAAGGGCAGACAGAAGTCGTAAGGGGACAGGCAGCACCCCGGGGTCTGCCGAGGGACCCGCCGCGCACCCCCGCCCGGCCCGGCCCTTTGAGGGAGGGCAGCCCCCCCGTCTGAGCCCACCTTCCCTGGACCCCCACTCCAGGGGCAGGGAGTGTGCAGGCAGGCTCCCAGCGCCCGCACCTGTCCCCGAGCTGACAGATGGCTGGTCCCCTGGGTGTCCCCTCGGGTCTCATTTCTGTGCACAGACAGGCAGCCTTCCTCGCCTGCAGCCCCAGCTCGCTGCTCCCCGCTCCGGGCTAAGCTGGCCAGGAGGGGCCCCAAGGACCACCTCAGAGCACTGGGGACACTGTCACGCCCTGTGTCTGGGCAGGGCAGGCCCTGGGCTGTGACCACGAGGAACGTAAGGAACTGGCTGTCTTTTCCAGGGACCGTTTTTTCTTCAGGATGAAGCCCTTTCAAACCGCACCTCCTCCCCAACCATGGTTTGTCCCCCTGGGGGACTTGGGTGGCCCTCGGTCAGGCCAGCTCAGCACTCTGGACACCTTCCCCTTCCTGGGGAGCCTGTGCCCCACCTTCTGGGCTCTCTTTGGTAGACGGGAGAAGCCCCTCTCACCCCTCCCTGCAGAGCACAGCGTGGGCTTGTCGGGGGCGATTCTTCCGGGTTGGGGGCTATCTCAGGCAGGTTCCTCTTAGCAACAGCCACTGCCCCTCACAGCAGGGGCCGTGTGGTCACAAGGGGCACCTGTCCTTCTCCGACTCAGTCTGGGGCCACGTCCCCAAGGGCAGTGGGAAGGGGCTGTGCCATCCTGGGGTTGTGGGCAGGGGGGCAGGCCGGTGGGCAAGTCCCGGCCGCTGGCTGTCCCTGGGCCCTGGGGCACCCATGGCGATGCCTGGGGTGTGGCTGTGTGGCCGGGGCCTCTGTGTTCTCTGGTGGGGCTCCAGGAAGCGGCATCCCCGCCGGCCTGCCCTTGTGTATGGCTGTGCGCCGTGACCAGCCAGTGCCCTGGGGTGTGGCAACTCTGGTGAGTGGCACCCTAAGCCCACCATAGTTGGGCCAGGCCCCTGCTGGGCTTAAGCGAGGCTCTGGGTGTCCTGCCTACCCCCAGTTTGGGGGGAAGGGCGCATCTTCAGAGACCTCTCGCCCTCTGAGGTCAGCAGACACCAGCACAGTGGGATCCTCAAGGTGGGCTGGCCACTGGTCACCCCCAGACTGGCAGGCCCCCTCCCGCCCACCCTCACCCCTGCATGCCTTGTTCAGAGGGACCTGTCGCGCTCCCTGCCCCTGTCCCAGCACTGGACAAGCGAGGCCAGGCAACCCAGGGTGCATGGCGTGGGCTCCTGCCCCTGTGGCTCGGGTCCTCTGCTCTTTCCCAGAGGAGGGGTCTGGCCTCAGCTCAAGAGGCTAAGGGGAGGGTCCGTGGAGCCTGGCGTGCAGGACGAGGGTCCCAGGCTCTCCACTTGACCTTCCCCAGGCCGCAGGGCTTTGTCCTGTCCTGTGAACCTCCTCCCACTGGCCGAGGTCCAGGCTCATGGCTGGCCTGGAGGCCTTGGGTTCAGGGGCCCTGGAAGGACAGCAGGTTCAGTCTCCAACTCCAGGGCTGTGTAGGCAGAGCCTCCCCCTGAATCCTAGCATCAGGCTTCCCACCCTGCACCTGATGAGCACCCAGCCCAGGTGCAGGCACGTGGCCCTGGCCACACGTGGGCAGCGCTGGTCAGAGGGCCAGAGTTGTGGGGGCAGGGGAGCCCTCCAGGGCGGTGTCACTGGCCCAGGGGGCAGCAGGGCCGCTGAGGTCCCAGAGGTGCATAGGGAGAAGGAGGGAGTGCAGGCCTCCAAGAAGATCTGCAGCCCTAAAGCCCCAGAGGTCCAGCCCTTCCGTGTGCCAGCGTGTGCACGAGTGTGCCAGCGTGTGTGTGCTCACGGCAGACCCAGGTTGCACAGAGCCGTCTGCACCGAGGCTGCGGTGGCTCAGAGGCTCCGGACAGAGGCTGCTCCCCTGCCTGTGCCCTGACTGCACAGGGTCCGCCCCCCCTCCCCGGTGGGCAGGATGGGGAGGCCCCCGCCGGGGACGCCGCCTGTCATCCTGAGGCCACACCGGGATGGCAGCCCTTTGCCGCCCCTGCCAGCAGCGGCCCTGGGACCTGAGCCTTGGCTCCCAGCCGGGGCCCCCTCCTCCTGGGCCACCCACGGCAGAGAAGCAGGACCCCACAGGGGCTGCCTTAGAATGAGAAGGACGCTCTCTCCCGAGGACTAAGCAGCCCTCGCTGTCCTTGCTCAGTCCCTGCCCACTGCTCTGTGGGTCACGTCTGTCCCCACTCTCCCGCCCAGACTGGCGGCCCTGTTAGGGGTAGGTGCCCCTCTCACTCCCGCTGGGCCTGGGCAAGGGGCTCTGCTCATCCAGCGGGGAATGAGTGGGCACGTGGCAGATGCAAGGAGCAGGAAGCTCGCCGCCCTCTGACCCTGCTCCCGCAGGACGAGGGGCCTTCCTTGGTCCCCAGGCCGCCGGCCCTGCTGTGCTCGCCGCTGCCGCCGCTGGGGGCAAGATGGCGCAGCGGGGCTCTGAGCGGCGGCGGGGACGGTGCCTGGGGGCGGGGCCACCCTGAACGCCCAGCGCTGTCACTCCGGGCGGGGCCGCGGCTCCATCTGCAGGGTGGTCTCTGTGCGGCGCGGGTGGGGCGCTGCGTGCAGACCGGACCCGCACGCTGTCACTGAGGCGCCACCCAGAGGGCCCTGGGGCCGGACTCCAGCGGCCCCTGGACCTGCGTGGTCAGGCCCCGTGCAGGCCTGACCCCGCGCGCGGGCCCGGCGTGTCCCCTGCCACTCCGCGCACCGTTTCGTATTCCTGCGTGCCACGGTGCCCACCCCCGCACGTGCCGCCGTGCCCCCACCGCGTCTCCACATCTCCCCCGGAGTCTTCTGACCCGGAGCCACTGTGACCCCTCCCCAGTCTCCGCAGACCCCCGCGTCTCCGCCTCCGGGTCGCCCATCCTGCGTCTTTGTGCCCCCCCAACCTCAGTTCCCCCCCAGCCTGTGGGTGTCCCCTCCGCACATCTCCCTGCCACCCCCTCCCCTCTGCGTTGTCGCGCACCCCCACGGCTCCGTGTCCCTCAGCCTCGCGTCCCCGCTCCACGCGTCTTGTCCCCCCCCCGCCTGCGGTTTCCCCTCCCGCGCATCTCAGTGCCCCCTACAGCTGGAGAGGCCCCCCCACCGGCCGCGCGCGCTCCCGCCAGTGTTTTCGGGCTGCACCAGCCCCGGAGCCCCGCGGCGCCGCGGCCGGCCGGGCGGAGGCGCCTCGTCTGTGACCGCTACCCGCACCGCACCGGCACCCCGCCCGCTCCAGAGCCTGGCAGCCCCGGGGTGGAGAGGCTCGGCAGGCCGGACAGACAAGGGCGCTCGCACTTGCGGTGGCGGCGGCGATGGCGCGGCGCGGGTCGGGGCCGCGGGCGACCTGAGCGCAGCGTCGCCGGGTGCCCGCGCCACCAGCCCTGGCCATGTCGTCGTCCTTCTTCAACCCCAGCTTCGCCTTCAGCTCGCACTTGGACCCTGGTGAGTGCCGGCAGCACCCCTGCGCTGCCCCAACCCGCTGTCCTGCCGGGGTCCCCACTGCAGACACGATGCTTCCTGGACCGCTGGTTCCTATTTTGCATGGAAATTAACCCTTTCCCCGTGCTGAGTGGAGCTGCCGCAGGGCCGGCTCACTGGCAGGACCCCCTAGAGGCCTGGGATCCGCCTAGGTCAGCGGGCCTTGGGGCCGGCACTCAGCACAGCGGCAGCCGGTGGGCAGCGCAGGTTCGTCCCCCAGCCCTGTGTCTCTGGGTGTTTCTGGCACAGGCAACCAGGGCAGGAGGGCCTGCGTTTGCCACAGGGCTTCAGAGCAGAGGACAGCCGGGACTGAGGTGCCCGGGGAGGAGTGGGAGTGTGCCCCCAGGCCCAGGCCACTGTGGCCCTTCACCGATCCAAGGTCTAGGGGCAGGAGACTCGTTCCCTGGGTAGGAGCTGGGTCTGGGAGCTCTGCCCGCCCCCTGGCAGATGGCACTTGGGGGTGGGAGCCATGGCCAGCCCAGGGGACAGAGGGTCAGAAGAGATGGGCCTTTGTGGGCATCCAGCGCCCTGGCCCCTGAGAGCAGGGGGGTTGGGGGGTTGCTGTCAAGCAGGCTGCAGGGGACCTGGGCTCAGGCCTTCATCCCTGCTGGGCTGGTGGCCCTGGCAGGGTGTTTACCATGGGTATTTGGCCTCCTGGTGGTGGTGGGCAGCTGGGGTGGGCAGAGGGGGCCAGGGGCAGAGCTGGTGACCTGCCTCAGCCACCTGCCAGCTCCATCCCCTTCCCCAAGCCGGAGATGGAGCCCTTCTCTGGAGCTGGGGCCCAGGGGCCCAAGTCCCACACACAGGTCCCCGGGGCTCTGGCACCGGCGAATCCAGCCGAAGCAAGGCTGGGGGAGTGGGAGGGGCCCTCCTGAGCCCCTCCCTGTAGCAGGGCCCAGTGCCTGCCACGTGGGGACTCTGGGGGGGCCCCCTGGGTGCGGCCCCGCCTGCAGGTAACGCTCCCCCAGGACGGAGCTGGCGGCCGGGCTGTCTGCTGGGCTTGGCGTGTGGGTGTCACTCGCTCAGAACCAGCCTCCCAGGTGACTCTCAGGGCTTAGAGAACATAGTGTCACCAGCCAATGGCCCAGGCGAGAGCCCTTGCTGGACCCTGAGGGTGGGCGGTTGAGGTGGCCCGGGCCCAGGCAAAGGTTAGGGACAAGCACGGGTGTTCCAGGCAGTGTCTGCTGGGGGGTGGGGGGCAGCGGGGATGCAGCCCCGGGGGTGGGGGTTGGGACTGCTGGTGGGGTGCCAGGACAGACCCGGAGGGGGAGGCCCGCCCGCAAGCCCTGCCTCTCCCGTCTCGGTGGGACCCAGACGTGCTCTCTGTGGGGTCCTTACTCCCCGCACCGGGGGTGCTGGGCATGAACCCCTTCCTTCCCCAGAGAACAGCAGCCCTGCCCCGAGCGGCGTCTGGGTGGCAGCTGTGGCCGGTGTCATCATGATGTGTCAGCTCGGTGGTTCTCGGGGAACAGTTATCGGGGGGCGGGGGGCTCTCTGCTCTTTTGGGACAGTAGAGGGAAACCTGGACCCTGCTGTGGCTGTGGCCTCTGGGTGGCGGTGCCGTGCATTGGGAGGGCCGGGGGCAGGGCTCCTGGCCTTCGGGGAGAGGGAGAGGTGGGGTCCCCTGTCCCCCACACCCTGGAGTCCTCCAGCCCAGTCTCGTCCCCCGAGCCTCCATTTTCTCATCTGCAAAATGGGGTAGCAGTGCCGGGGCCGGGGTGAGTGAGTCTCTGGGGTCATTCAGGGCAGACAGAGGGGCTGGACCTGGGCAGACTGTCCTCGCAGCTTGGGCCAGGCCTGCTGCCTGGACGCTCCCACCCCCCACCATGGCTATTCCCAGAGAGGGGGCAGTGATGGCGGCAGTTGCCTAGAGAACAAATAGGGGCTGCGTTAAGAGCTCGGGCCTGGGGCCTGGGGGCCCGGTGCTGGGGGCTGGGCCGTGGGCAGCGCAGCACCAAAGGGCGGCCTCCCCGGGGTCCAGCCCTCTCCCAGGGCGTCGGGGACTTGGGGGCTGCAGTCGGCCACAGCCCTGTGACATGCAGGCTGTGTGGCAGGGCCGTCCTGGGCAGCCTGGGGCTGCCTGTCCCAGGGTGCACGTGGTGAGGCCCACAGGTGACCTCTCACCGTGGGCTGTGGTCAGCCTGGCCTTGTTCATCCCAGGCGAGGGGCTCGTGCCCCGCTGTCCTCCAACGGGGGACAGGGCTCCTACTCCCCCTCCTGCCTGGGCGCCTGGCCTCAGGCAGCTGGGGGACAGTCTACCTACCTGTGTGAGTCCCGCAGGGGAGATGGCGTCCAGGGGCCCTGACCTGGGCTCTGTGGAGGTCACTGCCCCGGGTCCTGGGGAGTCCTGGCAGGGACGGGGGTGTCTGCTGGGAGGCCCTCCCAAGGGCTCGTACTTGGTTCCCGCAAACTTGAAATTCATGATGATTTTGAACAAGGGGCCCTGTGGATTCCACCGCCTGTCTTACTGGGGGCCGCAGTCCAGCCTCAGGCCCCCCTGGCTCCACGGCCCCTGCGGAGGGAAGGAACCCGCGGTCTGCAGAGCACAGCTCGCACGCAGCTGCGCAGCCCGGTGCCGGCGGCCACCCCGCGGCTGTGTGCCGGGCGCCCCGCTCACAGTGCTGACAACACCCCACGTGGGGCAAGGCGCGGCGGGTCCCTCGGCTCCGTGGACGGAGGTCGCCCTCCGCTCAGGTCTGGGTGACACAGTGAACATTCCACAGCCTTCCCTCCTGGCAGCTTATTGAGACCTTTTCTTTTAAAAAAAGATTTTATTTACTTTTTAGAGAGAGGAGAAGGGAGAGAAACATCCACGTGTGAGAGAAATGTTGGTCCGGGCCACACCCGCAGGCCGGCGCTCAGTGGCTGAGCCATACCCGCCAGGTGGCTTCTCGACCACATGCACAGGGCTGTGTGGCCACCTCCACGGGGGATTTTAGGCCATTTGTGTCCCCACGAAACACCACTCGTGCCCGTGGTCACCGCCCACTCTGGCTGCTCCCTGCTGCCCCCCACCCCGGTCGCCTTGGCCAGACACTGCGTCCCAGTGTCTCGGGCACACAGGTCCAGCCTGCCTCTCGGGGCGCCTAGGGCCCGGCGCTGTGGGCCGTGCGTTCCTTCGCCGCCCCTCCCCACTCGAGCCTCTGCATCCTCGTCTGGCCGGCCCCACTGGCCACTTGGAGTCCTCGCTTCCCTCCTTGGTGCGTGGGTGTCACTCAGGTGCCCTGGGACCCGGTCCCATCAGCCGTGAGCGTCTCCGCCTCCGGTTGCTCCTCCCGGTCCTCTGCCCTTCTGGGACGCGTCCCCGCCAGGCGCGCAGCCTCCCGGATGCGTCTTCCTGACACTGTGCTCCTCGGCCTTGCGCTGGTGGCTGGACAGGGCCGGTGGCGGGGAGTCACAGCGCAGGAGTGTCCAGACTCTCTGTCCCTCCCCTCCCTGTCTCCCTGTCTCTCTCCCCAGCCCTCCCAGGGAGCCAGGTGTTACGCAGTTACCAGCACACCGCAGGTACAGGCTGCCTTGTGGCCCCGGGAAGCTGCCCGAAACGAGCGGTGGTTTCTGGTCTCTGGGGATGAACGGCCTGAAAGAGTGGCCCTTCCAAGGCCCCTGGGGCCTGCTCCAAGCGGGCAGGGCCAGGCCGCCCCCTGCCGGGCCCCTGGACATGCTGCTGCCCGCGGCTGAGGCTGAACCTGGCCTGGGCACTGACCCTGCAGCCCCCCACCAGCCGGCTTCGCGCCCGCCGCTCCACCCCCCCTGGGGCCCAGGCAGACTCTGAAGGCCCGTTCCCTCCCAGCAGCCCCCGTCCTCCACAGGGCGGATCGGGGAGGGGCGGTGAAGAGGTTTGGAAGGTTCTGCAGTGGAGGCTGTGGGGTGCTGGGGGGCGGGCCCTGGCAGTTGTGGAGGTGAGGTCCCGCTGCACGTCTGCCTGGAGTCGCCTGTGGAGGCCTGGACGGCAGACCTGGGTTTCCCTACCCGGCCGTGGTCAGGAGGGCCCGAGACCGCAGGGTGTGGGGTCAGCTGGGACTGGGGGCTGCCTATGACCAATGTGGACGCAATCCAGCTCTTGGGGTGGGGGGGCGGCCTGCAGATGTGGCCTCCCCCGGGACGCCCGGGGGCGGGGGGGCGGCTAGTACGTCTGACACAGTTGTGTGGGGGCACCTGCTCGGCCGCGTCACTGCCTGCCCCGAGAGCCAGCTCCCAGACAGCTGGGGCTCTGACTTGTGTCCCCACACCTGTGCTGTCTCCACCTGGCCTGAGAGACCCATGGGGACAGGTCGGGGGACGGGGGGCTGGGCCCGGTCCTGCCACTGGAGGCTGCCACCAGCGCCCGGACTGGCTTCCCTGTTCCTGCCGGCAGAGGGTGCCGGGCCCCTGCTGGGGGCCTTGTTCCTCTTGGAAGAAACTTGCACGGCTCTCGGGCAAACCTTTGCCAAGAAGCTCAGCCCCACAGGCCCCGGTACTGGGTCTGCCCCGTGGACAGCTTGTGGGGGCAAGGGCACTCGCTGCCACTGCCACGCCCCCAGGCTCCCGATACTGTGTCAGTGGGGGGCTGGGGGTGGGGGTCAGGCACGACACCGGCTGCCCTGGCTCTCCTGACACACCCTAGGCGCTTAACTCAGCGAAACGCCCGCTGGGTCACACAGTTCCTTCCTGCACGAGATCCTGTTTGCGACACCGGCGGGCTTGGGGGCAGGGGACCGTGCCAGGGTGTCCTCAGCTGCCCGGCGGAGGCCCCGCCCCAGCCCTGCCGGTGCCCCCGAGCGTGAGCCCCGTGGGTTGTGCCGCACCCGGCAGCAGGGCAGCCGGGGCACCAGGAATACTGCGGCTCACCCACCGGGCTGGGGCGGGCCCCTCCGACCTCCGGGCTGTGCTCCTTGGACACACGGGACCGCGGGGGCTGGGCCGGGGGCTCTGTGTCCTTCCGGAGAGTGGCATGCTGTCCAGGTGTTAGTGGGAGCCACGGAAGTAGCTCCCCAGGGACCGTCCTTGGCTGGGAGGGAAAGCGACAGCCTTGGGGGCCGCAGGACGCAGGAGCAGCTGTGCAGCAGGTGCGTTCTGAGGTGGGGGCCTGCGGGTGGGGGCAGGGCGCTGCCCCTGGGCGTTTGGAGCAGTTCAGCCTTGGGGGCTGTCTGAGAACACCCCCCCAGCCTCTGCAAGGGGTGCAGGGTGACCAGTCAGGGTCAGGACAGGAGCTGGGCCCTGGTGGCTGTGAGTGTGTGTGTGTGGGGGGTCTGGCCTGCGGGGGAGGGGCTCTCTCCACGGGTCGCCCACCTGAGAAAGGGCGTTGAGGCGTCTGAGAGGGCGCAGCGCTCAGAGCCCAGGCAGCCCTTCCTGCGCCGAGCCTGTCTAGCCCTGGCTGTGTCTCGGGGCACCTGCCCCTGGCCTGGGTGCAGCGCTGGTCTGGGGAGCGCAAGCGGGCAGAGGAACCCGGGCTCTCCTACGCTCCTCCCCCGGCTCCTCGGCCCCGCCCCTCCGGCCACCGCCGGTGGGCCCCGTGCGTCTGTGCGTGCTCTTCGGGGGTCACGCGGGAGATCCCACGCGGTTTGTCCTGCCCCGTCTGGCTGACGTCATCAGCCTGACACCCTCTAGGCTCGCCCGTGACGTGGCCCACGGTGAAGTTTCATTCTTTGCTGTGTGCTGCTCCACTGTGAACGGAGCCTATCTTTCTTTTTATTGAATATTTTATTGATTATTTTTTAAAGATTTTATTTATTTGTTTTTAGAGGGAGGGGAAGGGCGGGAGAAAGAGGAGAGAAACATCAGTGTGTGGTTGCCTCTCACGCCCCCTACTGGGGACCTGGCCCACAGCTCAGGCACATGCCCCGATTGGGAATGGAACTGGCGACCCTGTGGTTTGCAGGCTCCACCCACGGAGCCGCAGCAGCGGGGCTGTATCAGGTGCCCTTCATCTGCTCATCCACCGCTGGGCACTTCCGTTGCAGCCACGCACGGCGCCACCCCGCCGGCCGAGCGCGAGGGCAGAAAACCTTCTTACTGTCACCATCGTCACCATTTAACCCTGTGACCGCAGTAACTGGCACTGTTGCTGCCCCGTTAGGCTGGTTTTACCCCTGGAAACAGCCGAGCGAGCTCTGCGTGCGGTCTGCCCGTGGTTGGCGGCCGGGCCCCCCCCTTCCTTTTGTCCTGGACCGCGGTCCGCCAGGGCACTTGCTGAGGTCAAGTCCCAGAAGGGTCATCACTGGCCCCAGGGACAGCCGGGGTCCCCGGCCCTGTGCGTCTGGGGCCCTGTGACTTCCCAGGGGCCACCCCACGTGTCGCCAGAGCCTGGGCCTCGGGCCGGGTGCACCAAATTCAGCCAGAGCCGGGCATGGGCTTCCCCCCATGTCCCCCTGACTCGGGACGAGGCCGCGAGCGCCCCTGTGGGCCGGGCAGGCGGTGTTCACTCCCGGGCCGGCTGTCTGGGTTTCCCTTCCTCGAACGTGTTTTGAGGTCTTGGAGTTTTTTCCCCTTTTTGCTGGTTGCGTGCCCTACACAGCAATGGCACCAGCCCTGTGGCTCATTTTCTGTTTTTCCCAGATTGTTGTTGGCCTTGAACTGGGGTCTTGTGTTGGATGTGCATTTTTATGTTGACAAACGTGAATCTCTCAAGACTCTCACGTCGCTTTTAGCTGAAGAGCCCGTCTCCACCAGGAACGAGTTTTCCTCTAAGAGGCCCAGACGTGTGTTTGGGGCTCGGCCCGGAGCTCTTTGGCCGCGGCACCGTGCGTTCGAACCCGTGGCTCATTCATGTGTCCGCAGCTGGGAGGGCCGGCTCCCTGTGTCCGCTCCGCGCGCCCCTCCCACCCACCCAGAGCCCCGTCTCCCGTGGGGTCCAGAGGCTGAGGGACTTGGGATGAGCCCTGTGACCCTGAGGACGGGTGTTCAGGAACCCCCTCAATGGGGAGGCGAGCAGACCCGGTGGGTTTACCAGCCCCAGGTCCCCGGGTGGGACCACAGCGGCACCCAGTGGCTGGCCGAGGAGCTGCAAGCTGGGGCCCCAGCGGCCGCCCTGTGTGTCCATCTGCCTGCTCTGGCCGTGGGGTCCTGGAGCAGCGAGGGTGGAGGTGCCGAGGCCTCAGCAGGAGCCAGGGCTGGGGAGCTTGGGGCTTGAGGTAAGGGGAGGTGCCGAGGGGGGCCGGCCGCCGGGGCCCGCGCTGATGGCTCTCTCCCTGCAAACGCAGGCGGCACCCCGCTCAGCGAGCTGTCCTGGTCGTCCTCCCTGGCCGTGGTGGCGGTGTCCTTCTCGGGCCTCTTCGCCGTCATCGCCCTCATGCTGGCCTGTCTGTGCTGCAAGAAGGGCGGCGTCGGGTTCAAGGTGAGGCAGGGCCCGGGCTGTGGATGGGATCCCCGGGGGCCGGACCACACAGACCCTGGCCAGGGTCCCCCGGTCCCGCCTCCCGGGCTGCGGACACCAGGATCCCTCAGGGGGTCCGGCCCACAGCCTCTCTCCTTTGGGGTCCCCTCTGTGGGGTTGCGGCCTCATGCTGTCACGTTCCAGCTTAGGATCGAGCCCCTGGGGACTGGGCACAGGGCGGGCCCTCTGAAGGGTGAGGACAGGCCTTGCGGAGAGCCACAGTCCTAGCTGCTGGGGGAGGGGCCACCGGCCCAGTGCCCCTGCCTTTCCAGGGTCAGGGGAGGAGGGGGAGACATGCTTCCCGGCACCAAAACCACTCCGCTGCCCAGGACTGCCTGGCAGTGGGCCCGACGAGGACCGGTCTGGCTGGGCCAGGGCCGCCGTGGACAGCAATGCTGACACCCTAGGGCTGCCCAGCATGGTCCCCTGGACTGCCCTCCAGGGCAGAGCTCCCTCCAAGAGCAGTGGGCAAGGGGTGCCCCTCGGGTGCCGTTCTCCTGTCTTGCAAGCCCACAGGCTGCTGGGCGCCCCGAGCGGTGGTTCTGAGCAGGGAGGGCCCTGGGGGGGAAGCTGGGAGCCGGGAACCCTGACGCGAGGCCAGTGTGTGGGCCACGCTCCTGCTGACCTAGCACATGGCCAGCAGCGCCGGGTCCGCCCGCCCACCGGCAGCCCCGCCCTGGCTGGAGGTCAGATTCCTGGGCTTGGCGAGGTTGGGAGGGGGCCACCCAGTGGCCCACCCTGCTAGGTGGCCCCCACCCTAGCCATTTTAGAGGGACTAGCCCTGACCCCCGCACCCATCCCCTTGGGGGGAGGGCGGGAGGGGGAGCTGGTGCCCACCCGCTGAGGGTCATAGCCGGGCCCTCGCCTTTGACGGAGCCCACCTCGGGGGCTCGGCCACCCTCCCAGAACCTCGGGGGGGGGGGCCAGAGCCCTGCAGCTGGGGAGCTGGGCGCCGCAGTGGCAGGAGGGTCTCCGACCTGCAAGTGATGCTGGTGTTTCTGGAAGACCCTGGGGCCAGAGCTGGGGGTTTGGGGAAGGGCAGGGGCGGGGCCCGGAGTGGGACGAGGGGGCTGTGTGAGTCAGCCCCTCTTGTTCTCTGTGAGAACAAGGCCCCACACCAGGGCCAGCCAGGGCCCCTCCTACAGGCGCCCTCCTCACGGCCTGGGGCCGTGGTGCCGGAACATTCCAGCACCAGTGCTCCGCTGGGCGCCGACCGACCTGCCCGCACAGGGGGTCCCCTCGGGGGCTTTGCTGGGGTCGGGGCTGGCCGGCGATGCTCACCGTGCCCTACCTGATTGCCCGCTGCGCCGGCTCGCTCTGGCAGGCCATCCGGTGGCGCCGGCAGGTAATGGACTGGGGCCGGGGCAGGGCTGGGGCCACACACCGACGGGGACCCGGCAGAGGGCGGACAGTGCCCTTGCCCCACCCTCAGTGGCCCTGTGCCCCTGGGTGCAGACCAGGACGGGCCTGCAGGGACACTCAGAGGGCTTCCAGCTGAGAAAATCAAGGCCCGAGAAAGGAGGGCCCCAAGCCACACAGCGCCGGGCCCGGGCAGGTGAAGAGCGGGGACCTCCTGGCACCCGTCCCCACGGAGGCCCCACCCTGAGCAGAGGTCAGAGGCAAGGCTCTCGCTGCTGCATCAGGCCCAGGGGCTCTGCAGACTTGGGCTCCCGAGTTTGAGCTCTGGCCAGGAGGGCCCGCCCCCGCCAGACAGGTGTGGCGCGGCCCGTGACCCATCCCGGTCAAGGTCCCGGGCGGCCTGCAGGCAGATGGCTGTGGTAGGTGGCAGGGTGCTGGGCGGGGGTGAAGACAGGTGGGCTTCCTGCCCTGGACACTCGGGAGGCTGTGTCTGGGAGCCGGGGGCATTTCCTTACGGTCCTTGCCCCCACTTCCCTGCCCTGCTCCTGCGGCGGCTGCCCCAGGACAGGAGTCGGGGGCTGTGTCTGGGCGGGCAGCCTTGCTAGGGTGGCAGCGGGCTGAGATCGGGAGGCAGAGGCGGTGTGCCCTGGGGCCACGGCCCGAGACAAAACAATACTGGCCCTTGGGGACAGCTGGTGGCCCAGTGGGTGGAGGGTCTGTGGGTGTGTGTATGCCCCAGAAGCAAGGAGACTGGTGAGGGGTGCCAACCAAGGGGGTGGGGGCTTCACCTCCCAGCTGGAGGGGAGGTGGGAGCTGGGCCCGGGAGGTGAGAGGCCTTTCAGAGCCTGCCCCGTCCCCACCCGCCCCGGAGCTCACTGCCACCCCTGTCACCTCCGCCAGGAGTTCGAGAACACGGACGGGGAAGAGTATGCAGCCGACCTGTCAGCGCAGGGCTCCCCAGCGGCCGCCGCCCAGAACGGGCCCGACGTGTACGTCCTGCCCCTCACCGAGGTCTCGCTGCCCATGGCCAAGCAGCCTGGGCGCTCCGGTGAGTTGCTCCCAGGGGTCCGGGGGTGCTGCAGGGTGGGCTCGGGGCTCAGGAACCTCACTGCCCGGGAGGGGTGGTGAGTGCTGGGGGTGGGGCTCCTCGTGTCCCCGGGATGCCTGAGCCCAGACGCCCACTCAGCCAGCTGGCTGGCTGGCGGCCACACAGGGACACGGCCCCCCCCATCGCACCCACTGAGGGAGGAGGGGCTCTTGAGGCTCCCTCTGTGGGCGCTCGTGAATGGGCCTTTCACGCAGGCCCACCCACCTGCTTCTGTGCTGGGCCTGACCAGATGCCGCCCACCCTGGAGCCTTTATCATGGGCTGGGGACCCCAAGGCACTGGTGGGAGCCCCAGGGGAGATTTAGGGGCCACCGGCTGCCGGCCCAGGGCTCAGGGCTCCATAGGTGTTGCCTCTGCCCCCCAACCCCTGCCAGCATCTTCAGGGTACCAGTCAGTCAGGAATCAGGGCATTGGATCCGAGGACCCCCCATAAAGCCCTGAAGGCAGGCCCTGTGCTGGAGGGCCCCCAGCCTCCCTGTGTGGCTGTGGGGGTCTCCGAGCCTGGACCCCCACTGCTCGGCATTGGGAGCCGGTGAGGAGCCAGGGGCCACCCAGGGGACACTGCCCCAGGCTGGGCCCGTCACCGCCAGGGAGCGTGTGCCTGGGAGTCTGAAGAGTCTTCCAGCCACTGGAGTTTTCTGCCGGTCTCAGGGGTGGCAGGGCTCTGCCCCAGAACGCCCGGGGCCCAGGGCCTCCCCACATAGAGCCCCGCCCTGTGTCAGCGTCAGGGCTCCAGGGGCTTGTGGGTCTCCCCGAGGTCACGAGACGCCCCTCAGGGGGTGACACAAGGAGACGTTGAACAGACACAGGTCTGTGACTCACAGGGCCTGGAGGCACAGGCATGTGGGCCGCAGGAGGTCAGGGCAGAGAGAAGCCGGGCGCGGCCCAGGCTGCTGCTCTCACGGGGGCGGGCACTCACTTGTTAATGGTGAATTTAAAACACAGGAGCAGGGATTTAAAGCCCATGAAAAAAAATACCCGAGGGGCCCAAATGGTCAGTCATTGAAAGCAGCCAAGATTGCCCTCCTCCTGCCCCCAAACCAGGGGCCTGGTGGGGGCAGGGCCCTGGGATGGGGCGGCTCATGGCCCCCCGAGCCCCGAGCTGGCCCTCACTGAAGGGGGCACCTGGGTCATGAAAGCTGAAGTCAGAAAACATGGAAAACAAAAATCACAGGGGCTCACAGGACACCCCGAATCCCGACTTCTCCCCCTCTGCACGACCGTCCCCAGTGGAACGGCCGGGCAGCCCCAGCGGTGATCGCCTGCTCTCTCCATTTTTGCAGCCCTGACCTCAGTTTTACTCTGGGCCCCTGCTTCCAGGAGGGGAAGGATTTTGGGTGATGCTGGGGGCAGCCCCCTGGAAGGCAGAGGGCAAGGACCTGGGCGGCAGGGAGGCTGACCCAGGCGACCCAGGCCCCGGGCTCTGTGGCCCTGCTCCTGGTGGAGCCTGGCACCCTCGCCCCAGCCGGCATTCTCCTGAAGCTGGGGGGGCAGTTTTCCCACTGGGGCAGCTGCCTAGCTCCCACCTCCGCCTCTGCCCCACCAAGACCACTGAGCCTCCTCAAGGCAGCCCTGGGCCTGAGGGGCACTGGCAGGCTGGGGCTCAGTGGGAGCAGCCTGGGACTCGGGGTCCAGTAACCACCCCCCAAATTCTGCTCTGCATCAAGGTCAGCATTCCCAGGGCCCTCCAGGCAGTTGGCGTGGGAGCAGAATTTGGGGAATCCCTAGGGCACAGGAGGGCACGGGTGGGCCCTGCGGCCCTGGCCCTTCCCCCTGCTGACCTTGCCCCGCTGGCTGGCAGGAGAATGGGCCCAGTGTGCCCCATGTGGGGCGGGGACAGCAGCCCCCAACAAAGGGGCCTTTGGCATGCCTGGCCCTGGAATGCCAGCCTGTGGCAGGGGTGAGGGGACGGGTCCACTGGCCTCCCTGCCGCCTCCACTGCAGTCACACTGCAGGCCCGCGCTGCCTGAGCACTGTCCAGCTCTGGGCCCCCAGCACAGGGCACGGCCTCCCCGGGCCCTGGTAGAAAGATGCCCGATGCCTCTTGCAGGTCCACGGCTCCCCTGGGCAGTCAGCACCCACCCTTGATGGCCACCCCTCGGGGTGGCTCCCAGAACAGGCCAAGGGGGCAGCTCATCGAGGGGCTGAGGGAGGGCAGATGGGGTAGGGGCAGAGGCTGACCGAGGTCCCTGAGCCCCCGCCCCTGCCCCCGTGCAGCACAGCTGCTCAGGCCCGCAGGCCTGGGCCGGCACGGCCTCCTGTACCTGGAGGAGATCGGCCATGGCTGGTTTGGGAAGGTGAGTTGTGACTCCAGGGCGGGGAGCGGTTGACATCGAGGGCCCCTCTCTTGCCTGGAAGATGGATGGGGCGGGTGGAGACAGCTTCTCCTGGGAGCTGCCCCTGACCTGGGGTCCCCACCCTGCTGGGCCCCTGACAGGGAGCTGTGGTCTGCAGCCCCTCTGTGCTTTCCTGGGTCCGGCACTGGGAGGGGCGTGGAGGGGGCTGGAGGTGGGCATGGGGAGTGGCGCCCCCCCACCCCCCCCAGCCAGGGCAGGGCAACCATGTCCTTCATCCTCACTGGGGCTCCCCCGAGCAGACAGGATGTCACAGCCAGGGGGTTCACCGGGAGGGGTGCAGGCCCCCTTTTCAACAGCTGAAGCAGGGCAGAGAGCGGCGGTGCCCTCCAGGGAGGGCGGTGACACGCGTCCCCGCAGGTGTTCCTGGGGGAGGCGAACTGGGGCCTCAGCAGCGCCCAGGTGGTGGTGAAGGAGCTGAAGGTCAGCGCCAGCGTGCACGAGCAGACGCAGTTCCTGGAGGAGGCCCAGCCCTACAGGTGGGTGGCACCTGGGCCAGTGCGGCAGGCGGGGTGTGGGCTGTGCCGAGGCGAGCTCCGCGCTGCCCCCCCCCAGACCCCTCCTTGTCTGTCTGCGCCCCACCCTGCCCTTCGTGGGTGTCAGGGGGCAGCCTGTTGGCTCCCGCAGGGCCCTGCAGCACAGCAACCTGCTCCGGTGCCTGGCCCAGTGCGCCGAGGTGACGCCCTACCTGCTGGTGATGGAGTTCTGCCCCGTGGTGAGTCGCCCGCCCCGAACCCCCATGTCCGCCCTGAGCGTCCCTCCGGGATAGGGGGGCGGGCCCAGTGGCCCCACAGGGAGGACTTTGCTGAGCCGGGGACCCCTCTCTGCACTTTGCCGGCCTCATATTCCCCTACAGCCCCACGGCCTCCCAGAGGCCCCTGCGTCTGTGAACTGTCCCCAGGTCCCCCCACAGGCCCAGCTCTGCCACTGAGCTGAGCTGCCTGCTCACAGGGAGGCGCCCTTGGCAGTCGTGGGGCCCCGTAGGCCTCACTGCCTGCTTTCTGGACTCCTGACCGAACCCTGCCCTTGGCCCTGCTCGGAGCTGGGTGGTGTCGCCGGTCAGGGTGTGGCCCCAGCACACGGCTCACCTGCCCGGGGCTCTGCCCTGGCTCAGCGTCACCGCTCACGAGGCCTGTCTGCTGCCTGCCACTGGGCCCCAGCGGTCTGTGCGGGGAATGTGGGCTCCCTAGCCCCAGGGGGCTGCCTGGGGAATGTGTCCCCTTGCCTGCGGTTGCCCCGCAGGGAGCCAGACCCGAGGTGGTGGGCCCAGCGGCTCCCCTGTTTGCCCCAGCTGGCCCTGCGTCGGGGGAGGGGCTGGGCGACTGCAGGTGACGGTGCTGCCCCTCTCGGCAGGGGGACCTCAAGGGCTACCTGCGGAGCTGCCGGGCGGCGGAGTCCCTGGCGCCGGACCCCCGGACCCTGCAGCGCATGGCCTGCGAGGTGGCCTGCGGCGTCCTGCACTTGCACCGGCACAACTTCGTGCACAGGTGAGGGCGCCGCCGCGCGGAGCGATTCCATTACACAAAACGCACCAGGCAGCTGGGGGCCGGACGCCGCTTCGCGCTGCCCAGCTGGCCCGGGGCAGAAGCGCCACAGGGCCGAGCCCCGGCCTCCGTCCCGGCGGCGGACCCGGCCACCCTGTGACCCCACACTGGACCTCCCTCTCCCGTCTCCCTCAGGCCTGGGGCTGGGGGGCGGCTCTGTCCTGCTTTGGGCCCTGGCCCCTTAAGTCGGAAAGATGGGGGCGCGCGAAGAAGCGACGGAGGCCCCGGACGCCACTCGGGCCGTCCTCCCCAACAACATCCTGGTGCTGAGTGACGGCGCAGGCGACTCCAGCATCAGTGATTTTGTTGAGGAGGGCGGCCGCCAGCCTCACGCCCACAAGCACAGGCCTGTCCGCGGCCCCCGCGCTGCCGGCGGCGCTGGATGTGGGCCTGCCCCGCCATCTCCCCGGTCCCCACGCCCAGACCCCCACCCCAGCCCCGGCAGGCGGGGGAGACCCCCGCAGCCAAAGCGTCGGCCGGGCTGGAGGCGGGGCCGCTGCAGGCAGGCGGTCCTCACCCTCGCCCGGCCCCGGGCCCCCTGTGGGCAGGGCGGGACCGCCCGGGACTCGTGGGACCGCGGTTCCCGTCGGCGTCTCCCTCCGGAGGAGCCGGGGTGGTGGGCAGGAGGGAGGCCCCAGACTCGCAGGGCGGGCCGGCCCCGAGGCTGGTGTGGGAGAAGGGGCCCGTGGGCCGGGGCCCGGGGAGGGGCCGCGGGGCCGTGAGCGCTGAGCCTGGTCTCCCTCGTCTACGCTGGAAGGTCCGAGCCCCTGTCCGCGCGGACCCCGCAGGGCCCGGAGGGGAGGGCGGGGGGGGGCAGCCTCTCCCAGGCCCCTGGCCGCCCACCTGCGGAGCGGAGCCGGGACGCCCGTCTGACCAGCGGCCCAGCCCCTCGGGGACCTGGAAGCCGCGGCCTGTGGGGCCCACTGACCCCAGCCTCCCGCTCCCCAGCGACCTGGCCCTGAGGAACTGCCTGCTCACGGCCGACCTGACGGTGAAGATCGGTGACTACGGCCTGTCCCACGGCAAATACAGAGTGAGTGGGCGGGGCCTGTGCGGGGGCGGGGCGGGGCGGGGCGGGGCCTGCGCGGGGCGGGGCCTGCGCAGTGACGCTGCCCGGGCCGCAGGAGGACTACTTCGTGACAGCGGACCAGCTGTGGGTGCCGCTGCGCTGGATTGCGCCCGAGCTGGTGGACGAGGTGCACTGCAACCTGCTGGTGGTGGACCAGACCAAGGCCAGCAACGTGTGGTGAGTGCGGTCCCGGGGTCCGCCCGCGGCCATCAGACCTGCTGGCTGCCCTGCCCGTTGGCAGAGCGGGTGTCCGGCGAGGATGCAGGGACTGAGCCCGCTCACCGGGCCAGTCGCTGTGCTGAATGGATGTGCCCTGGCTGCTCAAAGGTCACTGTGTGAGGACATGCTCGGCTGTTCAGCCTCATTGCCCTGTAGGAGGTGGCCACCCGTGACCCCAGGTGAGGTCACGGGAGTGCCAGTGGCCCACAGCCGTGGGCTGGCAGGGCCTACGGAGGAAGCCCTGCCCCTCCAGGACCCCCTAGACCAAGGCCCGCCAACATCAGGAGGCAGAACCCTCTCTGGGGGAGGCCACCCCGCCCGTTTCCACACAGAGGGGCTGTTCCAGGACTGCTGGCGGGAGGTGCCGAGCTGGGCACGCTGAGCCCCTGGTGCAGCCTCTGAGACTGGAAAGGCCATCCCTGTCTCCCCCTCCTGCCTCTTCCCCACCCCCAGACCTTGGCCTGGCCTCCCTTCAGCTCCTGATGGACACTTAGAGCTTGGACCCACGGACCAACCCCCTTCCTGAGCTTATCCTGGGCAGCCCTCCCAGCCGCTGGGTGGTACCCCATAGTGGACACCCCATTCCCTCTGATTCTCCCCTGCCCCCGCACCCTGCTGCACATGGAACGGGGTCCCCTGGATGGTCCCCAGGCCAGCGTGACTTCACTGTCATCAAATCTGCTTTGACCCTCATGCCCCCAGCCTCCCAGGACAGTTGGGTGAAGCTGCTGCCCCCTCCACTCCACAGAAGGAGCCCGGCTGCTTTCCCCCTGCACATTCCCCAGTCCACACCGGTTGACCCGGGACGTCCCGACTGACCCCTCCCTCAGTCTTCCCACAGCCCCTCCAGCCTCCACTGGCCACTGAGGGGACGGGGAGCAGGGCCAGGGCAGCTCCTGGACCTGGCGCGGGGTCTGTCTGCACTGTGGAGCGCAAATGAATGAATGAGCATGTGCAGGGACGGGGCTCCTTTAAGGCCAGGCTCCATTTTATTTGCTTCTGCGCCCAGGGCACAGGCTGGGCCTGGCCGGGCGGCACATCCGGCCTGTTCACTGGAGGCACGCCCCCTGGGTGGGGGCTGGTGTGATGACAGGATGGTGTCCCACGCCCCGAGGTCCTGTGTGGTGGTGCCTTGCCAATGGTACCAGCCTCCTCCGATGGCCATCGCCCCGCAGGTCCCTGGGCGTGACCATCTGGGAGCTCTTCGAGCTGGGCGCCCAGCCCTACCCCCACCACTCCGACAGGCAGGTGCTGGCCTACGCCGTGCGGGAGCAGCAGCTCAAGCTGCCCAAACCCCAGCTGCCACTGATGCTGTCAGACCGCTGGTGAGGACCCAGTGATGCCAGGCTGGGATGGGGTGTCCTCGGCAGGAAATGGAGGACAAGCGGGTGCCCGGAGTGCCCACAGAGGAAGCCACTCCCAACCACTGCTGGGTCCCACACTGTACCCTCAGGGCCACAGACTCCTCACTCAAAGCACAGATTCACCTGCTGGCGGTGGGGGTGGGGGTGACAGGCCCTTTGTCGGCTCCCAAACTGCTGTGCCCGCCTCTGCCGAGATCTGTGTTCTTGTTTAAGCGGGGGAATCCGTTAACTGCCTTTAAGGATTCTCAGTGTGAGGAGGGGGCCCCAGAGACCCTTATGCGGATGGGCTCACTCCCACCTGGGCTTGGGGGCCGGGGAGGGGGGACCCAGGAGGAGAGTGGGGAGCGGCCTGAGCCCAGCCTCCCGCTGTGCAGGTACGAGGTGATGCAGTTCTGCTGGCTGCAGCCGGAGCAGCGGCCGACCGCCGCGGAGGTGCACCTGCTGCTCTCCTACCTGTGTGCCAAGGACGCCACGGTGGCGGAGGACGAGTTCGAGCAGCGCTGGCGCTCCCTGCGGCCAGGCGGGGGCGGCGCGGGCCCCGGGTCGGGGGCGGCCCTGGGAGGCGCGGGCGAGCTGGCCGCCGCCTCGTCCTTCCCCCTGCTGGAGCAGTTCGCGGGCGACAGCTTCCACGCCGATGGCGACGACGTGCTCACAGTGACTGAGACGAGCCGTGGCCTCAACTTCGAGTACAAGTGGGAGGCAGGCCACTGCGGCGACGCTTTCCCACCGCCGGGAGACATGCCGAGCCCCGGCTGCGCGGTGCGCCTGCAGGAGCTCTGCGCCCCCGACAGCGCGCCGCCGGGGGTGGTGCCTGTTCTCAGCGCGCACAGCCCTTCTGTGGGCAGCGAGTACTTCATCCGCCTGGAGGAGCCGGCGCCTGCTGCGGGCCACGACCCCGATTGCGCTGGCTGTGCCCCTAACCCCTGTGCCGTGGCCCCCAGTTCCGAGGGCAAGGACCACGACAAGGACTTAGACGGCAGTGCTGCCACCTCGCTGGCCATGGAGCCGCTGCTGGGCCAGGCGCCACCTGTGGATGGCCCCCGGGGCCACTGTGACCACTACCCAAGCAGGTGCAGCGCCCAGGACCTGCCCCGCCCCTCGCATGCCCCCTCGCCCAAGGGCCTGATGCCAGTGGAACCTGGAGATGAGGCTGGCGGCTGGGGCGTGGCCACCATCTGCCCGCCCTTATCTGAGGACCCACTGGGCACACACGTCTCTGGGACTGCAGGGGCCCCTCGGTCTGCCGGCAGGGAGGAGCTGGGGGAGGCCCAGGCCAGCAGGGCCACGCAGCTCGGACACTGGGGCTCCAACGTGTCAGCCAACAACAACAGCGGCGGCCGGACCCCTGAGGCGTGGGGCGCAGGCTGCACAGGGGGCGGCACAGACTGCTGCTCTGGCAGGAAGCAGCCCCTACGGGCTGTCCCTGAGCAGGGCCACCCCTTGGCCCTAGAGGACCCCAGAGAGCCTCCCCTTGGATCAGAGGGGGCCTCCTTTGGCCAGGAGTTGGGCCGCTGCCTTGACCTCCCCCACCTGCATCCTGCTGAGGGCCCACCACCTTCCAGCAGCCTATTCACACCCCCCTGGAGAGACGCAGCTGGTAGTGAGGGCAACACCCCTGAGACAGAGCGCAGGCTTGTGGAGGGCTCCTCCGGACCTCAGCGGCTCCTGGCATCCATCCCGTCCCCATCTCGAGAGGGAGCCCTGCTTCCCACCCAGGAGACCGGCACCTCTACCGCCTTGCTGGCTTCGCCCATGCCTGCCAGCAGCCAGGCAGCTGCCATGGAGCCAGCCCAAACACAGGACAGTGGCAGCAGCTCCCCGGAGGTGCCAGGCAGTGAGGACGAGGACACCATTGAGGCCACTTCCGGCGTTTTCACTGACGTGTCCAGCGACAGCCCGCAGGTGGAGAGGCGGAGTGTGACGCCGGCATTCCGCTGCCTACAGAAGCAGGTGGGAACTCCGGACTCCCTGGACTCTCTGGACATCCCGTCCCTGGCCAGTGATGGTGGCTGTGAGGTCTTCAGCCCGTCAACTATTGGCCCCTCCGGAGGGCAGCCCCGGGCCCTGGACAGCGGCTATGACACTGAGAACTACGAGTCCCCTGAGTTTGTGCTCAAGGAAGCGCACGAGTCATGTGAGCCTGAGGTTTTAGGGGGGCTGGCCTCGGAGGGTGAGAGCCCCGGGGCAGAGACTCAGCTCTCGGCCTCCCTCAGTGGCCTCAGTGAGAAAAACCCCTACCGTGACTCAGCCTACTTCTCTGACCTGGACACCGAGCCGGAGCCCCTGCTGGGCCCTGAGAAGAGGGGTGGGGCTGTTGGGCCAGGGCCAGATCTGGAGAGCCCGCAGAGCCCCGGGCCGCAGCCTGCACAGCCGCTTTCTGAATCTGAGGCACCTGGGGAGGCACAGAGCCCAGAGCCCAGGGAGGTGTCCCCATCACCACCGCCCGAGGACTCTCGCCCTGGACCAACCACCTGCCCCACAGACCTCAGGAGGGAGCCTCCCTGGGCCCAAAGCCCAGCTCAGGGGTCACCAATGCCCAGTCCTGGGCGTCCGAAAGTTTTCCTGCTGACTCCCGTCCCGCGGAGCTCAGACAGCCAGGGCGCTGAGCTCCAGGAGCCCCAGGGACTGCAGTCAGCCCTGCAGGAACGGACAGGGGCCCCGGGCGCCCCCAGAACCCCACTCTGCCTGGCCCTGCCGGGACTCCCCGCAGCCCCGGAGGGCCGGCCAGAGGAAGAAGAGGAGGACAGCGAGGACAGCGAGGAGTCGGACGAGGAGCTCCGCTGCTACAGCATCCAGGAGCCTAGCGAGGACAGCGATGAGGAGGCGCCGGTGCCTGTGGTGGTGGCCGAGAGCCAGAGCGCGCGCCACCTGCGCAGCCTGCTCAAAATGCCCAGCCTGCTGTCCGAGGCCTTCTGCGAGGACCTGGAGCGCAAGAAGAAAGCCGTGTCCTTCTTTGACGACGTCACCGTCTACCTCTTCGACCAGGTGGGCGGCTGCCCCAGGCTTTGCGCGCAGGTGGGGGCCCCCGGCGAGATAGAAAGCGGTGGGAGTGGCCAGTGCTGGCGGCCCGACTCACAGGCTGCTCTGACCTCGTAGGAAAGTCCCACCCGGGAGCTTGGGGAGCCCTTCCCCGGAGCCCAGAAGTCTCCCCCCGCGTTCCTCGCGGGCAGTCCCGGCTCCCCCGGCGCCCCCTGCCGACCGCGACGGGACGAAAGCTCACCCCACGGCTTCACGGTCCAAGAGGGTGAGCTGGAGGCGGGGCCTCCCGGGGCGGGGCGAGGTGCCATGGGCGGGGCCTCTAGGGCGTGACCAGACCTCGCGTAGTCGCGGAGTGGGCGGGGCGGCGGGGCAACGCGACGAACTGGGACTTCCGGGGCCCGGCTGGCTGCGCCTAGGGCGGCAAAGGACCCTTGCAGTCCGCGAAATTCCGTGACCTCCAGCCGTTTTTGCAGGGTCACGATTCCAGTGGGACCACGGCGTCCCGCAGGCGTCGCCGGTCCCGGAGCCGGCGCTGGCCCCGCCCGCCGCGCCGGCCCCGCCCACAGCGCCGGCCCCGCCCTCCAAGCCGGCGGCGCCCGCCCCCTTCTCGCGCTTCACGGTCTCGCCCACGCCCGCGTCTCGCTTTTCCATCACGCACGTCTCCGACCCGGACGCCGGCCGCGTGGGTGGTGAGCTGCGACGGGACTGGCGGGAGGGTCCGGCGAAGCAGGGCAGTGCAGCGGCAGGCCGAGACTTGTTTCCTTCGTACGAGCTCCGTGTTCGGACAGGGCAGGGAGGCTTTGTAAGAAGGCTCTCGCGCAGGCCAGCCCCTCTGGGCCCTTCGGGAGGCCTCGTCTCCCCGCCTGTTGCGCCGAGACTGGACGCTGAGCGCCTCCACCTGCCCTCTGCCCGGCCTTAGCCCCCCCCCCAAAAAAAAAACACAACAAAACCCTGCGGCAGCCCCTGCTGGTCTGCCTCAACCGCCGGCCCCACCCTCCTTGCTGACTCGGGACCCCCGTACGTCTCAGACCCGCTGGTTTTGCCCGGCGGGCCGCACCAGGGGCCTCAGCTCGCTCTCCCTCCGCGGTGCACTTCTCTGCCGGCCTCAGACCGGTGGGCTCCTCCCGCCAGGTGGTCCTGTAACCCCGCCAAGTTCTCGCAAGTTCTGCTTGACTTAGCCGAAAGCCCACCTCCACTCAGCGCCTCCTGGTCACCTTGTTCCCCAGGCAGACCCAACCCCTTCCCCCCTGTCCTTGCACAGTTGTCCTGAACAGACCCTGAGCCAATGAGATCACCAGAAGGCGAGTGCGCGCCGCTGTCCCGCCCAGGCCTGTTTCCCTACCTGTAAAAGGAGGGCTTGGGCGGGGAGGGGGGGGGGGGTGGCCTGTGGAGCTCTGTTGGGCTCGCATCCGGGCGGACAGGTGGGCATGGGGGGGGGGCGCCTGAGGGCCCTAGGCGGGAGTGGGAGTCCTGGAGGAGGAGCTCTTTCTGTCCCAGCCTATTCCTGAACTCAAGGCCTGTCCATCCTGTTTGCCAGGCCCTGCAGGAGGTGCTGGGGGTATCTGTAAAGAAGCCTGAGGCCCACGTGACCCCCCTGGAGGCCCTACTCGTCCTGCTCCCGCAGCAGCGAGGATGGTGACCAACTGTGTGGGGCTGCAGTCGGCGAGGTTGGTAGCAGCTTGCAGCACTTCGGTGCCCCAAGCAGCGCAGTGGACAGCGGAGCGCTGTGCCCGCCAGCTGGTCTGCCCTGGGGGCAGGATTCACCTCGGACACTGGATACACTGCTGTTTCCTTGGGGAAGCCCCCCAGCCCCCACCCGGCGGCGCCCCTCTTTGCGGTGTTCCCTGTGCCCTGGCCCCACACCGCTGCTTGGCCTCTGAGGCCTGGGGGCCTGCTCTTGGCTGCGGGCCCTCACAGGCCCCGCCCACTGTTCCGGGTGGTGCATTGCAGGGCGCCGTGCCGCCACCCTGGGTGAGACACCAGGCCCAGGCCCGAGGGGGCAGCCTCTCCCTGTGCCCTTAGCCCCTTCCGCCTGGTTCTGGGCATTCAGTGCAAGGACAGGCCCTGGGGCTCAGGGGCCCCGCCACCCTTACCTCAAAGTCTGTGGCTGTATATTTCCCCTTCACTGACTCCACTAGACCCCAGCCCGCCCTCCCCACAGAGTCTGGTAAGACTCCTGCCTGGGGCTTTCTGCTGGAACCAAGGGGGCAACTGGAAAGGGGGGGAACTTCCAGGCCCCACCTCTGCCATCTCAGCCTCATTCTAGAGGTGCCCCCTGCTGTCTGGTGTGGGTAGCACCCCTCTGCAGGGTACTGCCCAGCTCAACGCCAGAAGATAGTGGGGACTGCCCCCACCGCCCCCGTCAGGGGTCCCAGGCCACAGGGATGAGGATGGGCAAGAAGTGGAGCTGGGAGGGGGCGGGGCAGGGCAGCACAGGGAGTATTTTTGTAACCACTACTGTCCGAGGCCGGCCGGGGTTATGGTTTTAAGTTATTGTTGCCAAAGAGATGTAAGTTTGTTGTTGCTTTGGGAGTGTGGGGGGTGCTTGGGTTTGTGTTTGTCAGTTCGAAGCTTAGGATGCGGTGCCATTATTTTCTTGATCCTTGTTTGTTTTCTAAGAGAAATCGAGCTAAGAACAAACAGCCTTCAGGCTGAGTGTTTTCTTTGCGGGCTCGGCTGTGTTGGGGTGGCGTGGGTGCCCCCCACTGCCCTTGGTGAAGGGAGACTGACCTGGGCCCCTGGCATGCCCAGGTGGGCTTTGCTCGGAGCAGAGTGGGGGGCTGGCCCCGGGAAGGATGAGGAGGGGCCGCAGACACCCCCAGGAATCCCACCCCCACAGAACCTGTTCCTCAGCACAAGGGGGCAGTGGTGGGCCGCTGAAACCATTTGAGGAGTTGAGGCTTCTGTGCACCCCCAGCCCAAGCAGCCACCTTACGCCCCATCTACCCCCCCGGGCACACCCCCAGCTCTTGGGAGGGGAGGGGCCGTACGCCCACCGGCCTGCCTCCTGCTCCCTGTCTGGGTGCGGGCAGGCTGCTCAGAGGGTCCGGGAGGAGCGGCTCTGCCTGGGAGACGCCCCAGGTGGGGGCTGTCGCCGCCAGGGCTGAACTCCAGGCACAAATGTCTGGTGGCACGGATCCAGTCATAAAGTCTCCAAAATGTGGCATCTCTGCTGAAACGTGGAAGCTGCTAGGGTGGGGAGGGGCGGCCCCCAGGAATGCTGTGCTAGAACCAGCCCCCACCACAGCACACAACTCGGGGACCCAGCCCGCAGTGCCTACTGCCTGCCCCGGGGAGTAGGCTGGGGCCCCTGCAGCAGTCGTGGGTGGGGGTGGGGCGAGTTTAGGACGGAGAGGCTCCCACAGCTGCCGAGGGGCTCCCACCAGTCACCCCGCAGGACCCCTCGGCAGGCGGCCTAGCCCCCCGCCCCAGGGGGCCGACGATCACAACGGGGGCAGGAGGGCAGTCTGTTTATTGACCAGACACCTAGGAGCTATGGACAGGGTGGGGGTGGGGCTGGACTCCCCTGTCAACCACAAGCTGACGAAAGTCCTTCCCCCACCCGGTAGACGCCCCTGCCCACGGCCCAGCCAGCGGGTCCCGGCTGCAGTCAGCCCTCCAGCTCGTCACGGTCACAGCCCAGGCGCCCTGTGGAGGGAGCAGCCAGGGCCCGGCCCCGGCCGGACTGCAGCGGGCACGGCGCCGGCAGGCGGAGGGGCAGGTGCATCTCCGAAGGGCGAGCACATGGGCTGTAACAAAAGAGCTTACAGGTGGGGTGGGGGGAGGGGCCGGTGCACGGGTGCGGAGGTGGCCGTCAGCTGAGAAGGGGGGCAGACCTGTCACTGGTCACTGTCGGCTTCAGCTGAACGCTGGCGAAGGGGTTCCTGAGGAGAAGAGGAGAAGGGTTTGAGTGTGGGGTGCTGTGCACCCCCGAGCCGCCCTGGGCCCAGCTTCTGAGCCGGACCATGGAGGCTGCTGGGAGAGCCAGGAAGGGAGGGCGCCGCCCCCACCCTGAATTGCCCTCTTCCGCACCGGCCCTGGGCCCCAGACCGGCTCCGTCTGGACCCGCAGCAGGCCCGCATCGAGTCTGGGGAGCCTCCCGCGGGGCTCAGCGCTGCCCGTCTGCGAGGGCCACACGTGAACCCAGACGCAGCCCAGCAGCCCATGCAACCCAGCCCGTGGGCCCCGGGCTTCAGAGGGTGGCCCGGTCCCATCCCCCCACGGACACGACAGACACAAGGAACGCGCACACTGGCAGCCACGGGGCTGCTGGCTGACCACCCCACCGAGGCACGTCAGCCACCTGTCCCCAGGGGAGCCACACCCGCCCCTGCATGCCGGAGGCCGCAGCTGACGGACAGATGGACGGGCCAGACAACAGGCTGAGATGGAACGAGATGGGCACGAGGGGCCAGCGCCCGGCCTGGTCTGGGGAAGCCCGTGCCCGGAGTCCCTGGAGGCTCCAGACAGCAGGCTGGGCGCCGCCTGGCAGTGGACAGCACAGATGGCGCGTGCGACACAGAGGGCTCAGCACGGACGGGACCACACTCCGGGCAGAGCGGGCGGCACCGCGGCCGTTACCTGGGGCGGAGGCGCTCCTGGCACTGCAGGCGGCGTCCACGGGGAGAGTGCGTGGCGGGGGGCTTAGCGTTCTCTACGAACAGCCGCTTTGGACTGACATTTTGAAAGGGCAGGTTGCTGAAAGCAGGCTATCTGCAAAGGCATGGCTTCTGCGTCCTGACAGTGACGTCTGAGATCGTTCATTAAGGTCTTCTGATTCGGGGCGTCACCACCCCAGGGGAAAGGCCCCTTCCAGTCCTTCGGGGGACCGCAGGCTGCTTGCTTGGGCCTCTCTTCGGCTCTGGGCTCTGCAGGCGGGCTTCGGTGCCGCAGGCGGGACCGGGGAAGCTCCCAAGGCCGGGTCTGCCGTGACCAGTGGGACCCAGGGCACAGGGCGGCCCATGCCCTGGCTGCTCCCGCCACTGGCCTGGGTTCTAGAGGGGGCTTTGTGCCCTCGTCCGCCCCACCCAGGGTGAATGCGGGCAGTCTCGGGGGGCCAGCGGAGGAAGAGGCTCCGGCAACTGCATGCAGCTGGGGGCCGAGTGGTCCAGGTGATGGGTGTGGGTAGCTCACTCCCACTGACCCCGGGGCTAGCACGGGACCGGGCCGGCGGCCCCTCACGGGGCTCTGAGGGCACAGCTGTCCTCTTGCCAAGGGCCACAGGCAGCTCACCCTCCGCAGGGGCCGCTGTAGGGCCAGAAGGGCCCCACCCAGAGGGTGTCTGGCCTCTGCCCTTTCCTCATCTGCTCCCGACACCGCACAGCACCACCTGCCCATGCGCCGGTCCCCATGGCCGGGCCTGAGGACACAGGGGCCGCTGCCCACTCCAAGCCCCTCGCACCAGAGGAAGGGCACAGTCTCCTTGGACATCCACCACCACCTTCCACAACGTTCCTCCCAGGAAAGAGCCCACTCACCAGCTGCCCTGGGGAGGGCGCTGCTGCGACTCCGGGCGGGGCCTGGACTCAGTGCTAAGTTGGGACCCTCGGCCCCCAGCAGACCCTCCACCTGCCCTCTCCCAGGGCGGGCACCAGGCCGGGCCTCCTCCCAGCAGCGCTATGGGGCCCATCAGCACGGTCCAGGCTCGGGCCCTCACGGGGCTCCGAGGGCACAGCTGTCCCCTTGCCAAGAGCCACACGTGGCTCCCCTGAGCTGGGACACAGGCACGCCCAGCGGAGGCTTTTACACCAGAAACGGACTTTTACTGCAGACACAGCCGGCCCGAGGTCGCTGAGGGCTGGGGCAGGCCCAGGCAGGGCCCCAGTGCACAGGCCGGGCGGCCCACGGGGACACCAAGCCACACCACTGTCGAGGGGCAGCTTTCAGTCCCGCTCTCAGGAAACGTGCCTCACTGCGGGGGTCGGGGTCCTAGGGCTGTTCCTGGGCCCACTGTGTGAATGAGAGTGGCACTTCCGGGAGCAGCCTGGCCCCTCTGGTGCATTGGAGCCGGGAGGCCCCAGCAGGGCCGTCTCTGCACTGGCCTCCTCGTCCTGCAGCCCACCGATCTCCCGGGCATCGGCCCGCGGGCCCTTCTGGGTCTTCTTGGTGCCCCCCCCACCCTGGCTGCCACTTGTGCAGAGCTGCGCAGGGCCCCACAGTCGACCGGAGGTGGCTCTTGGCACCCCACCCCCAGCTGTGGCATCAGGCCAGGCCCATGCTGTGTGCACCGGGGGCCGAGCACGTCAGCCTCGCCGGCATCCACTGTGCCCCAGGTCTGACACGGAGGAGTGCGGTCCCTGAGCCTCCAGTCTTTCTAGTGCCTCCAGAGGCAAGGATGCTGCGGCCCCACTGGCCTGGAAGGATCACGGAAGGACCAGCATAGCCAGAGGCAGACCTGGGCTGATGGCCACTGAGCCACAGCAAAAGCATTTCCACCCTGTTCCCAAACATTGGGCACATTTCTCCCCAGAACTCCTGCCCACTGTCACCCACACAGGCAGTGACAGGAGAGCCACCGCACAGGGCTGCTGGGTGGTCTGGCCCCTGCAGGGAGGAAGGCTGCGACCCCCAGTGGGGTCACGTGGTCACCATCCTTTGTAAAGCGTGAAGGTGCTGGCTGCACAGGGCCCCCGTCTCAACGATGTGGGATGGACGAGCAGTAGGGGCCACCCTGAAAGGACCCACACCCCCACTGGCTGTCGGAGACGCTCTCCCAAGACAGGATAGGACTGTCACCTGAGCTGTCGGAGGAGGTGGCCAGGTGCCAAGGCCAAGGGCCAGTGTGGGGAGCTGGGCGCGGCCTCGGTGTGGCACCCCCCCCCCACCCCGGGGCCCTCAAGGCTGCAGCAGTCCCCTCCCCGGCAGGCTGGGCCCCACACCCACGCCCTCGGGGCCCCGCAGCCCAAGGAGCCTGAGGTCTGATTGGTGGGCCCACCCTGATTGTGGTCCAAGCACCCAGCAGAGGCAGGGGAGAAACCCGGAGAGTGCCCAGCAGCGGAGGCGGCGCCACAGGTGGGGGGCGGAGCGGCCCAGACAGGAAGCCCGTGAGCCCGAGGAGCAACCGAGAAGCAGCAAAGGCCCAGGACCCTAAGCAGAGCAGGTGGACAGACCCCCGGGCCCCGCCCTCCTGTCCGGCAGAGGCCAGAGAGTCCGTCCACAGCCCCTGTGACCGCGCACAGACCAGCACGAGGACACCGGCACTTACTAACTCGAGGCGGCGGCTCAGAGCCTGGCCACTTCCACGTCGGGGCTGCAAGGGAGGGAACACAGGGCTGTTGGTTTTGCGGCGGCTGTGGCCCGAGGGCCGGGGGGCCGTGTAGGGGTCGACACGCGCGGCCCGGCCACCACAGGCGTCCCTCAGGGGCAGCGGCGTGGGGCGCATGCGGGTGCTGGAAGGAGGCGCTGCGCCCAACTCGATGCAATAAATAAAACTTTTATTCAAACCACTGCAGTACAGGGCACAATTCAGATTTAAAAAAAGAAACAGGAAAAGTATCTTCAGCGCTTGACGGCTTCGCACGAGCTCCGAGTTTCGCGCTTGCGTCTGTGCGTCCGTCACACGCGGCACCCACGGGTGGGGGGCCTGTCTGCAGGGGACGCCACCCGAGGCTCTTTTGCACAGGTCCAGGTTCTGGCTTCACGGTTTCCTCAGACACAGAGTGGTCTGTCCTTGTCTTGAGTGGCTTCTGCCACACACCCTGCTGGCCACGCCCTGATCTGGGGGAGGCTTCGCAAAAGGTCAGGTCGGAGGAGGAGCGTCCACCTTGTCCTGGGCTCCTGCGGGGGGGCCTGGGGGCCGCCCCCCCCGCTGCCCAGACTTGGGGTGTGAGGCGGCAACACCAGTAACCTCCAAGTCCAGCAAGTCTCTTTCTGAAGTCGCCAAGACACACAAGAGGACGAGTGTTTAGGAGGGACAGGGGCAGGGACTGCCTGCTTCCCCCAGAACGGCAGGCACGTGGGCGGAGTGCCCAAAGCCACCCTCCTGGTGGCCCTGCCCTGTGCAGCCAGGTGGCTGAGACTCCCACACAGGGCCTGTTAAAGAACCAGTTTCCAGAACGTGTGGGGTGGGGTGGACTCTGGAAGTCTTTGGAATGTCCGTGTGCGGCCGGGCAGCGCCTGCTCCCCACCCCCTCCCATCAGGGCACTGTGTGAGGCCGCCACGCCAGAAGTGACACTCACGCCCCGGTCCCTGTACACCGTGCAACAGCGTCCACAGAGAAGGCAGGCCTCGGGCACCCGGCCTCGAGGCTGGGGCCAGGCCTGGGCCACGGCCTCCCTCACAGGAGCGGCCAGCTCCCTCAGGAGGCCCCGAACGGGGGTGGCCCTTGGACGGTGCCCGCGGGGCCATGAGCCTCCGGGAGCCCCGGTCCCTTCCCTTCTTGGCAGACGGTGAGCGTGCGCCGGGGGAGGTCAAGTGCGTGAGTAACAGGACGTACACCGGAGTCCATGCATGTCTTTTTGTTTCAGGGAAAAAAGTCCTTTCCCTGTTTTCAGGGTTTTTTTTTTAAGATTTTTCTTTTTCTTCAAACTTCAGCGCTGGCTTGTGGCGAGCCTTCGGGAGGGGCAGCGCGTCGCGGCGGGCGGGCGGGGAGCAGAGGCCGGGACGCCCGCCTGGCAGGACACCGGGGGTGCGTAAACACGGAGCAGAGCTGGGCAGCACCATGGGCCCTGAGGGTCTCGGAGTTGGGTCACCAACCAAAGGCGAGAGGGGGCAGGTGGGGAAGAGAAACGGCCCAGGGACCGCCGACGAGAGCTCAGGAGGGAACCAAAGGAGGGCGGGCAGACGCGGGTGCGGAGGCTTCTCCCGAGCGGCGGCTGCCCGAGGTCGGCGCCCTCACACTGTGGACACCAGCGCGCCGCTGCCGCTGCGAACAAAGCAAGGACAGCTGCCGGCCACGCGCCTGCCCCGCAGCAGCCTTCTCAGCCAATCAGGGTTGGCCGGCCACCCAATGACCTGGCCCTGGGGGTGGGGTGACCGGAGAGGCCCCAGAGCCAGGAGGGCAGAGCCCAGGCAGGGCCCCTGCTGTCCGCACCAAGCAGACAAGGCAGACCTGGATGCCAGGAAGCAGAGCCACCAAAGAGCCGGGTGGAGGGGCCACTGGGCCCCCTGGGGAGCCTGGGGGTCCGAGGGTGGCGGGAGGGACCAGGCTCCCGTGAGCACCCGCTCTCACCCACCCGAGGAGAGCACAGAAGCTGCGCTCCAGGAGAGCCACCCGTCAGAGCCTGGGGACAGGGCACCTTGCCCTTCAGGGGCCTGCAGGCCTTCAGGATGGGGGGCGGGGCAGGACAGGAGCACCTAGGCCCTGCTCACCCTGACCCGCAGAGGACACCTTTGGTCTCCGGCCAGGCCCCTGCAGAGGGGCCCACTCCCCACAGCCCCCGCACTCAGCCCGAACGCCCCTTACCTGCTCACGGCCCGGGCCCCGTAGTCGTCCAGCCCCTGGGGAGGGAAGGCAGGCGGGTCAGGCTGGCTGGCGGTCCTGGGGGGCCAGGCGGCATCTCCAAGGTGGGGCCCCACCTGACCCAAGTGTGCAGGTCTCCCGCACACATCCAACAGAGGGACGCCCGTCTGCCACCTTACACTTGTGACCCAGGCAGGACAGACCACCTGCTCCCCCGTGTCTCCCATGGCAGACGGGCCAGGGCCCACGAGCCCCACAGTGGGGAGGTACCTGAGTGGGGGTGGTGGGAGGCCACCCCAGGACCCAGGACCCCAAAACTAGTGGTGCGTGGGCTGGACAGCAAGGCTGTCGGGGCATCGGAGACGCCCTCCTCAGCGCTCTGGGCACACACCAAACCCAGAGGCTGGACAGCGAAGTGCAGTGGGTGGTGGGCTGACCCCTCCCTGGGCAGCCCCAGGTGAAGCTGGGGTGGGGCGTCTCACTGCCCAGCAGCTGGCCCCACCCCTGGAGGCCCGAGGCCCCCACCGGGCTAAACCGGCCCCTCCCTGAAGGCCCCGGCCACGTCCCAAGCTCTTCGGGAGGGTCTCCCACACACTAACTCCGGCGTGACACCCGGGCTCACGTCCAGGAGCAGCGTCCAGCCATCTCGAGGCCTAGACCCGCCCCCACACCTGCCGAGCACCAGGCCCTCCAGCGTGGCTGCCTCGGTGGACCAGGCCCCAGGCCCACTGCGCTCACCTGGGAGAAGGCGGGCACGGCCACGCTGTAGGGCCGCTGCTTGAAGGCGCTGGCCGTCTGGGCGGGGAAGCCCCGGGAAGCCGTGCCGTAGTCGGGGGGCGGGAGGGCCAGGTCCTCCTTGTCCAGGAGGTTGCCCGTGCTGCTGCTCTTCCCCTGCTGCAGGCTGCGGGGGAGGGCAGGGGCTCAGGGCCGCGCTCGCCCGCACCCCTCCCCTCCCAGAACCCGGCACAAAGGTGGGCAGGGGAGACATGGAGGCTGGCTGGCGCCCAGTCCCTCCGCAGCTTCCAGGGCAAGTCTCCCGCTCTGCTGAGGACCCCTGCAGGACCTGGGGGACTCGTGGGAGGCAGCTGGGGTCCCCCTCCCTGTCTGCACAGGGCAGCAGGGCGTGCCCCGGGCCAGCGCTGGGAGGAGGGGCCCTGGTGGTCAGTGGAGGCAGCTGCCTGCGTCACGGAGGACCACCACACCCACCCACCCCAGCCCCTCAGGCGTGTGGCACTCGGGCCGGGGGAAGCCCAGCCGGGCTCTCTGCAACCAGACCCCAGTGGCCCCTTTGGCGCCATCCACAGCAGCCCGTTCTCCCCGCAGCCCCTCTCCAGAGTGCAGGACCGGCCACGCGCCCGGGCGTAGGAGCACCCTCACCTCATGTGCAGCCTGTCACTGCCATCGCCGTCCAACACCCGGGTGTAGGAGAAGGGGAACCAGCCCCGCCTGGAACAGAGGGCTGGGGTGAGAGCAGGCAGGGTCCCCGGTCCCCCAGTCCCCTGGCTGGGACACACGCCAGAGCTCCGGGGACACCAGGACGCCCCGGCTTGCTCCCTGGGCACACCCCGCTTCGCCAGGCTGCAGAAATGAGTGGGGACCCGCGGGGCAACACCACAGGAGGATCTGGGAGGAGGCGACCCTGCTTGGAGCTCCTCCCTTCTGTTATGTCGGCAGGTGGCAGGGCTGACGGTGCCCCAGTAGGGACCCCATCTCATCAACAGCTGTGCCTGGACCACAGTGGTGGTGGTGGTGGGAGGGTGGAGGCCCTCACCGGCAGTGCCCATTACGAGACGCCATGAAGGCGTAACCTCTTGGACCCCAGCTCTGCCCAGGAGAGCCGTGGGGGAGGCAGGGAGGCTTCTGGAGGAGGACTGACCTCCACCAGCTGGGAGGCCACGACTGCCTGGGCCCCGGGCTCGTGAAGGGTCGGGAGGTGAGGGCGGGGCCCGTGCCGCCCGGGTTCTGCGCAGTCGCCCCGCGACCCCCACAGGCTCCCCGAGCCCCACGCAGGGGCTGCCTCGGCCCCTGAGCTCACTCACATCTTCGTCTTCTCGCTCTCGCCGTAGTGCCAGCCGTCGCGGGCCTCAGGCACCAGCAGGGTGATGAGGTCGCCCTCCTTGAAGCTCAGCAGGGTGCTGTTGTCGCCGGCAGCGTGGGAGAAGATGGCCTTGACCCGCATGCGGCCGTTGCGCTCCAGGCCGGCCGCCATGGAGCTGGAGCGAGGCAGCGTCTTGTTCTCGGCTGCTGGGCCACAGGGAGGTGTGAGGGGCGCCCTGTCCCAAGGGGGGTGAAGGGAGGCCGCCCTCCCATCACTGCATCCACCCTGGCGGACACTCGCCAGGCCCCAGAGCCCAGTGGACGGGGATTCCGGGAGGACCTGGGTGCTGGGGCTGCGGAGCAGCTGGGAACCACCCCTCACCCTGCAGCTGAGCCTCTGCCTTCCCGCCGGCGAATTGGGAAACCCTGTGACGAGACCCCCTGGGGTTGAGCCTGTCCCAGGCAGAGGTGCCCCAGAGTCCCCCCGCAGGAGCAGGAGTTGCCCCAGCACCACCCTCCTGGCTCTGGCCACTGCCCCGGCACCGGCCCGGCTCAGCCGGGGAGCCCTGAGGAAGGCTGGGGGTCCAGGATGATATCTCCAAGGGGCCCCCAGGGAGGTGCCTATGCACACACGCGTGTGAGCCCCCGAGTCCCCCAACTTCCCCCGAGGTGTGTCTTCACTGCTGGGCACGAGGGTGGGTCTTGGCCCCCAGTGCAGCCCCCATGCAGCCCTTACTGGTGGCGTAGCTGTTTTTCGGGGCCACGCTCTTGCGCACGGGCAGTGTGTTGGAATAGGAGTCGCTCATCTTGGTTTGTGGCTGCGGAGGAGACGTTGACTTGGGCTGGGCCACCTTGCGGTCAGCCCAGGGGCTGTAGTCTTCACTGTCTGGGCCCGAGACGCCGTTCATGATGGGCGCGTTCTCCTGGGCGGACAGTCGCTGTGGGGAGAGGCGGCGAGGGTGCAGGGTTGCGGAAGGGCCCAGCCAGTGAACTCGGCTGTGGACAGCGTGGAGGGGCCGTCCTCCCACACCCACTGGGGCTTTCCAAGGGCCAAGCACTCACCCCCACAAATGGGGCCAGCTCGGGGGGCACCGGCAGGGGCTTGGCCCCGGGAATGGGGTCTGAGATGACCAGGCTGGACTTGGAGGCTGACAGTGAGCCGGGGAGGACGGTGCCGTTACTGCTTGCCAGCTGCTGCATCAGCTGCACCGCGCGATCCGGGATCTTGTTGGGGTCGGCACAGGCCTGTTGCCACAGCGGCAGCTTCTGCGCCAGCAGCTCCTTGCCCTGAAGCAGGGGGAGCAGAAAGGGCAGGGTCAGGGCCAACCGCAGGCTGCGGCAGGGCCCAGTGACGACGTCCCGGGGCAGCCCCAGCCCCGCTGGGCACTGGGAGGCTCCTCATGAGACCCCCACCCCAGAGGCGCCCCGGCTGGGACAGAGGCTGCTCTTCACCGGGCAGCGCCTCGCCGTCGCCCCGGCCACCTGAGCCTCTGCCCCCAGCGGGAGGGGACTGGCCCACCCAGTGGGCAGTGCAGTGGAGAGACCACTGGGAACGAGGTCTGACCTGGCGGGGGCCCTGGGGCCCGAGGAAGGAGACATGCACAGAGCCAGCCACGGACAGCACGCCCCCTGAGGACAAACCGCCGGAGACCGAGAAGTGGCCATGGGCAGGCCTGGGGCTGGTGGCGGGGGCTCCGCACAGCAACACCGGAGCACACGGGCAAACTGCTGCTGAGCAGGGGGTGTCCCCTCCGCCCCCCGACGTTTGGACCAGAGGCCAGCAGAGCGCCCAGACTGCCCGCTGTTCAGGAACAGGGCTGATGGAGCCGTGTCCGTCTGGGCGCACGGCGCCCGCAGCCGCCACCGCGGACACCAGCTGAAACCTAGCTCTGCTCTGGCTCTTGGGGGGCCATACGTGGTTGACAGGTCTGGGTGCTGGTGAGAAAGGCCAGCAGGGACTCGGCACAGCAGGGGCAACGCAGGGTCAGCGAGCTGCCCTGAGCGGCTCCAGGTCTGAGATGGCCAGGGTGGCCCAGGGCCCCACTGGACGATGAAGCCCTGCATCGTTGGGCTTGGAGGCTGTGCCCCAGGGCAGCGGTGGGGACTGGCTGCTGGGCACAGGCTGAGGCCTTGCTCACGGCCTGCACTCTCTAAACCCACCTGGCGGCCAGGTCCACATGACTGGGAAGTCAGGGGTCATCGAGAGACAGTGGTTACCCCAAGGACGGCGGCTTTGTGCCTGTGCTTTCTCCCTGACCCGCACCAGAACCCAGCTGCCACCAGAGGGCGCAGGTGCCCACTGCAGCTCGCCTGGGCCCTCGCAGCCTCCCCTGCTGCCGACCCTGAGGCTGGCAGAGGGCAAGCCCAGGGCAGGTGAAGGCCACACCCAGTTCACACCCCAGCTGCCAGCGGGCCCTCCTGGCTCCCCCAGGGCCCCCGGCCCAGCTGTGCCCTTGTTGAGCGCCTGGGCCAGCAGGCAGGGGCCCCTCTAAGGAGGAGGATGTGTGTCTCCCTAGTGGCCAGGCCAAGGGGACAAGCACTGGTGGGACACTGCGTGTGCATGACCCGTGGGATCCGGTCAGCCCCACGTCCTTGGGATGTTCCAGCCCCTGCCTGTGGGGAGGGGGCTCAGGGCCCACCCAGGGCTCCCCGGCAGTGCACCCCGTCAGGGGCCGGCCCCGAGTGGGGACTCGCCACAGGCCGTTAGGCTCTGAAAGACACCTACGGGCTCTGACCTGGTCCTTCTAGAACCCTCTGCCTGAGAAACTCAAAACGCCCGGGCACCAAAACTCCTGGGCACCAGCAGCTGTGGGGACCCCCGCGCCCTGCCCGAGCGGCCCCACCTTGGAGTGGTAGGCGGCGGAGTTCTTGGCCACGGCGCACTGCTTCTCCACCAGGAAGCAGAACCTCCTCCGCTCCTCGGTGAGCGCCGTCTTGTAGCCCTCTGACACGTAGCTCTCCAGCTCGCCCTGCTTGCTGCCGATGGCATCGATGTACTGGGGGGGGGAGACAGGACGACATCCAATGACGCCCAGGCCAGGGCGGCCCCGCCACCTGTCCTGGTGGCCCCTTGTGCCTCCGACTGCTCACAGTGACCCAGGTGGCCGCTGGGAGCCCCAGACCACAGAGCAGCCTTGCAGAGGCAGCCGGCGGAGCCACGCTGGGATCTGAGAGAGCACTGAGCCCCATCCCCTCTGCCCCCCCCCAGGTCTTGGCAGAGGGGCCCCCTCTGCAGCCCCAGCCCCTTCATCAAAGGCTGTCAGGAGCAGCCGCTCTGGCCTGCCTGCCACTGCACAGTCGGCTGTGAAGGTGACAACCTCGACTTGGCCTAGTCCCACAGACCCAGTGACCAGCTGCCAGAAGCACCAAGACCACGGCTGGAGTTGCGGGCTCACGGGACAGGAAGTGGGGGGAGGACTGAGCTGATATCCAGTGGGGGCAGAGTCTGTCTAGGGTAACAGGGATTCTGGAGTCGGAGAGTGGCGACGGCTGCGCAGCAGGGTGACTGCCCCCGTGCCCTGAAGCCACAGACGGCGAACGTCACAGTGAGTGCATCCCCCAAACTCGGGGTCACTGAAACACATCGTAAGCAGACCCTGCCCACGGGTGGGGAGGACTGTGCAGGGACCAAGGAGCCGCTGCCCTCCCTCAGGTTAGCCTGCCGGCCCCGCCCACCAGAGGCGGAGCACAGGCCCCACCAGCCCACTGGTCCAGGCCTTGGCCACGTGACTTGCTGGGTGAGCTCTGGTGGCTGTGTGTGGCACCTCCTACAGACCCTGACTCCAACCACCTACCACCACGCCAACCAGGAAGGCCCCACCAGCACCCGAGGCTGGCGCGTGACTCATTCCCACCCATTGGCTGTGGGGCGGGCAGGCCCAGGGCCCGGTGCTGGGGTGCGTGGAGGGTTCTGACTCGCAGGCGGAACTTTCTGTGCCGGGGCTGCACAGGACTGTGGGTGGCAGCGTGCGCAGCAGAAGCAGCCCAGGTGCACTCTGGGTGGCCTGCAGGGCCCACGGCGCAGCCGTGTGCAGGCCAACCAGCTGCTGGGCTGATCTGGGAAGAGGCCTTTGCTGAGTCTGCCCCTCGCAGAGCAGCCCCATCCTCGGGCTGAGGGGTGTCCCCCCCTGCAAGCGCTGACTCAGCGAGGGTGGGCGGCACCAAGCCTGGGTGGTGGGCGGCCACAGCGGGGCCCAGAGCAGGCTGGAGGGGTGAGGACCAGCCTTCTGGGTGGGGGCCCATGCCCAACGGTGTCACGAGTGTGCACTCTGCCAGGTGAGCAAGCCACGCCCCCTGCAGGCAGGTCAGCCCTGTCTCCTGATCCTGGCCCTGCAGACCACCCCCTTCCCACAGTGAATTCCCCAAGGGCAGTTTAAATGAGCCTCCAAATAGCTACCCCAAACCCCCAAATGAGACCACTGCCTCCAGGGGTAAGACAGTAGCAGCCACAGGTGCGCCTGAGGGGACCCAGGAGGGCATCTGGGGGGAGAGCCGGGCCAGCCCTGGAAAAGGGTCTGAACACGGGCCAGAGGCCTGGCTGGCGGGTAGCGGGGTGGGGGGTGTGCTCTCCTCTGTCCTGACCCCCCCCACAGCTCCGGGCACTTTTCCTCTGGTCCCAACATGCGCACCCACCAGTGCCTCCCACCACGGCGCCCGCAGACCCTGGTGTTCTGGGGGCCTTGAACAGCACAGCAAGGGGGGGGCTGGGAGGGCCCCTCAGAGATCGCCTGGCTATGGAGGTCGCCAGGGCACCTGCCCAGGGGGCTGCTCACCTCAAAGCCCCTGAGGGTCTATGAGGACAGGAAGGCACAGCGGCCCAGGGCTGGGGCCCTGTGTGGATAGAAGCACCTGAGAGGTGCAGGGCTTGCTCCGAGTGAGAGGGGCACATGCAAGGACAGTGGGGGACAGACGTGCACCCCGACCTCCCGGAGTCCTTGCTGACTCTGCTCCTGGCTGTCCCTGCCCCAGGGGACCACCAGGAACAGTGGAGACAAGGGCAACTCCTTGGTCCCTGTCCCCACATACAGCGGGGCCTCAGACTTGTGAAAAGCCCTACAAGGCCCCAGAAGGAGACGGGTGTCCCCCACCCTGTCCTGTGTCACTGCTGCCCCCCTCCCTGTTGCTGCCCCAGTGTCCCCACCAGCTCCGGTGTGGGGGGATGGCCTGCAGTCCTCTAAATGAAGACTGCGGAGAAAAGAAAGGTGAATTTTTGAACGGCCACCCCAGGACAGAGATGCCATGAATGGGGACACGGCCCCAGGGGGGCGCCAGCCAAGCTCCACCTGCACTTGGGCCCTCGGGCGCCTGAGGGCCGTTTCTGGGTTTCCAGGCTGCGGTCACCTCTCCTGCACCAGCGCAGGGCGCCGGCCTCATTAGCGGGGTCTGGCAGCCTCCTCTGCAGGAGAGGGCGTGGTGCTTATTTTTAAGATTTCCATTTATTCAAAGATAGGTCTCAGGCGGGAACCAGGAGCTTCAGGGGGGTCTCCCCGGGGCCCAGGCCTCTGGGGAGCAGGCAGCAGAAGTGCTGCCCTAGCTCCGCGGGCCTGACAGGCGGCTGCCTGCCCCGGTGGGGCCACTGGACCACAGAGCCGACACCTCCCACAGGGGTCCCGGGCTGTCTGGCTGCGGGCAGCAGCATGGAGCGCAGTGGCCAGGGCAGAGCCCTCGCCAGCGAGGACACGCGGCCACCACTTCTGTCGAGGAACAGCGGCTGTCCTGACCTTCTCTCCCAGGTCGCCAGCTGCTACAGCTCTGCCAGGCACAGCCTGGGGCCACGGGAGGAGCTCCCCCTCGAGGAGGGGGAGGCGGACCCCCAGAAGTGGAGTGTCCGAGCTCCCCGGGACAGTGCGGAGGACAGAGCAGGGCTGGCCCTGCCTCTGACGACTCAGCGACAGCAGCGGAGAAGGGCCCAGCTGCAGGCGGCGCAGCGGGCGCCCCCGCGCCCTGCCCCTCCCGCCTCTGCCTGTTCCCTGCTTAGCAGGCACTATGGCGACGGCGGCGCTATAGAAACGCGGGCTGAAGCGCCTCAGCTCTGGGGCTCTCCCTCTGAGTCACCCTGGGCGGAGCAGCCCTCTACCGGGGAGGGGACAAAGCTGGGGGGCCACGACCTCTGCCCCCCTCCAGAGCAGGTGACTCAGAGGAGGGGGCAGGACCTTCCTGCACGGCCTGAGCCAGGGCTGGGCCGGTCCACCGGCGCTGCACCTTCCCCACGATTCGGGCCCCCGTGGTGGCAGGGCGAGGGGGCCGTCCCACTGTTGCCACAGGCTCCCTGTCACTCCAAGCAGACAGGGAGGGGACCTGACTCCCCCCTGCAGGCTGCAGCCAGTGGCTTCCCTGGAGCCTGGGACCAGGCCTGTGCCCCCTGTCCCTGGTGTGTGGGGCCTGGGGTGAGCAGGGGAAGACCCCCGACGCGCTGGGGCCGTGGGTGCGGCGGGCAGCAGCCACGGTTCAGTGGGTCAGAGAACCTGAAAACCTCGTTTGAACACACGAGCTCAGAGTGCCACTCAGGCTGGGGCTAGGTGGGGGTCCCATCCTGCACCCGCCTGGCCCAACCACTCAGCTGTGTCAGACCATGTTGGGGGGGCACCCTCGGGTGGAAGTTTGGTGACCCATGAGCCCCACGCCCCCACCTTCCCTGGAAAGGGCGCACAGCTGTCATGAGGCTAGCAAGGCACCCACAGCCCACAGGTCCCAGTGGCCCCGCCCCGCCCCCGCACTGTGGCCCCTGGCATGCGCTGGTGGCTGTGCCCCCCAGTGGCCCCCGCCCAGCACTACACAAAGCCCTGGGGGCCACAGACCGACCTGTCCCCAGGAACCAGGTCTCAGCAAACCACGAGGTCCTGAGCCACAGCCCTGGGTGGCTGCCAGGGACACCCCTCAAGGATCCACACCGACAAGGTCTGCTCTCTTGGGGACCTCTGCCAAGTCACCACTGCTCACCCCCCTACCAGCCATAGAAAAGGGGGACACAGAGTGCTGCATCGCTATTCCTACGTGTCCGTGTGCTGAGAGTCACTGCACGTGGGTTCCACAATACGTGTGCCGTTACAACCAGCTCCACCTGCTTCTTTCCTTCTCCCCGACGTGGCCACTTCAGGTGTGCCCGACAGGTGTGCCCGATGGGGCTCTGGGCTGCCATCTGTGCCGCCCCAGGCAGCACCCATTTGGGGAGTCAGGGAGCTCAGAGTGCCCCAGGGCTCAGCCCTGGGGTTCAAAGGAGCAGAGTCCCCAGAGGGGACCTGGATGTCCTGATGCCACCTCCCGACATGGAGCCCGCGCAGGTAAGTGGCCTCGAGTTTCTCACGCTCCTTCCCCTACCAGGCCCACGGCCTGACTGGGCCTCGGGGTGTTGAGCACGGCGCAGGCTCATGAGGCCCTGGCCGCCACGGCTCACACGCCACATGATCACGGGACCAGCCTCTGCATCACCCTTCCTGACGACCCAAATTACGGTTCTTTTGTCTCTGCCTGGTTAATTGCACAGCCCGAAATAGAAGGCGCCGTTCCCCTTTCTCAGACCACAACTGGGATGCCCGCCCCTTCAAAATCGCGGGCCCAGGCGGGGGAGGCCGCCTCGGTTAACACCAGGCCTGCGAGAGCCTGCCTGTGTGGCCACCGTGGCCCCGCGACCTTCGAAAGCACACGCCGTGGCTGGCACCGGCCCCTGGGACCAGGGACCACCGCCAGCACGTCCCTCCCCCACCACGGCCCCATCTCAGGGAGCAGCACGAGACAGGAGGGTCGGGGCCAAACGAACCCTCCTCGCAGCTCCAGCACCGAGGCCACCTCCACCCCCCCAGTCAGGGGAGGGCCGCCCACGCCTGCCTCTGCCCACCAGCAGCTCCAAGGGCTGGGCTGTCCCAATCCCGGGACAGTCGGAGGCCCTGGCTTTTTGTACTCCGCGCAGCAGGTCTGGCCGCAAAGCCCCTGGAACCTGGGCGACCCTGAGTAGGGGCCCCACGGCAGCCCGAGAACCCAGCCTTCTCTCCCTGGCCACTCACTGGCCTCTGCCTTCGGGGCTCCAACACTGCCCGGGGGGTCCTGGTGGCTCCTGCCTCAGTCCCCAAAGCCTGCAGGCGGGCCCAGAAGGACATGCGTGACCCTGGCCTGCCCCCTGACAGACATGGTGCCCCATAGTCGGAGCTGGGCCGGGCTGGGGCGGGTGGAGCAAAAGCAGGGGGAGGCTTTGCCCGAATCCCTCTGGACTCACGAGAGGAAGAGTGCTCCCCAAGCCGCCCAACCTGCCTGGAACGGCAGCTCTCGGGCCGGCTGCATGCCTGCCGGAGCCTTTGGCCAGAAGACCCTCAAGAGACGTGCTGGCTGGTGTCAGCGCGACCTGGAAGCAGTGAGAGCCCCGCCAGGCAGCTACAGCACACTCACGTACACCCAAGGAGGGGTCACAAGACAAAGGGACAGGCCCGCCAGACGAGGCTTGTGACCACACGCCCTCCACAGACGGTCTCCGCCGAGGTCTCCCCCACAGACAGGCAGTCCCTCAGCACTGACCGGGAGGACGGCCTGGGAGCGCACCTACTTCGGAGAGAACCCTGCGCCCCAGTTAGCGCTCCGGGTGCCTCCGCGCTCGCTCCCCGACCTAGAATCAGAGCCAGTTCCGCCCAGGAAGTCCCGAAACAATTACCCGCAGCTCCTGAGAGCGGCCGGCTCTGACCTAGTCCCGCTCGCGGGCACCGCTGCTGTCGGACAGACGGGCGTCGGGCTCGGGCTTCCTCTCTCTGGGGCGGGGCCTGACCAACGGCAGCACCTTTCCCACCTCCCCTGCCACCTGACGGACCATGGCTGTGGCTCTGAGGATGTCCTGTCCTCAGGGCAGCCCAGGGGGACAAGCCTGTGACGGCACCCTGTGGTGCAGAGCCCTGGAGGACAGTGGACAGGGCCCATGCTGGACGGGTGACCTGTGGACTCCGAGGCAGCCTCGCGGCTCTCCTGGGGCCCCTCACACTCACGAAGCTCAAGCGTGGGCTGGGGGACAGCAGGTGGCCCAGCTCCAGATGGCACAAAGTCATCTCCGTGATGACACTCAGGAGGGACCGCCCACCTCTCCCGAGCTCCGAGCAAGCCCATGCCTGCAACCACGTGGCGCCCACACCTCAGCAACAGCCACATCAAGGGAGGCATCTCCTCCACCAAGGAGAGCCATGTGGGGGCTCCGGTGGGGCCCCTGGGCCAGCGTGGGGTCCAGGCCCCGCCTCCACTGGCCTGCGCTGCGGAGGAGGGGCCTGCAGAGCGTGAGAGCCCCCAGGCCACTCACCCCTGGGGCACCGTCCACCTTCCCTCTGCTCAAGGACGCAGCCCTGGGAGCCCAGGCTGGTCAGAATCCTGGCCGCCCCCCGGGACAGTGCGTGGGCACACCTGCACTCACCTCTCTCATCTCCCCTCCAGGGTTGGGGGGCAGCCGCCACCATGATCCTGGGTGACCCACCACTGGGCTCACAGGAGGCGACGTGAAGAGCCTGGAGTAAGTGTGTCTGCTGCTCACAGCGCCTTGCACTAGCTCCAAGAGCCCTGGGCACTGGGCCTCGGCCCCCCAGCGGACAGCTCGGCAAAGCCGCCGGGGGCGGAAACAGCCACCCTCTCGGGGGCTGTGGCCCCTGGGGCCCCGCCCTCAGCACATGAGGGCTCCGCACCGCGGGGAGCAGAGCACACCCGTGCCCGGGCGGTTCCCCAGCTTCCTTCACACAAGTGACCAAATGGCGGGGCACACGCTACGCCAAGCACCGAGGGGGCACCTGTGGGCACAGCTGCCGGCCTATCCCGGAGGAACTCGGCTGTCTGGGAAAAGTGGCCATAGCAAGCCTGGTGGCTAAGGACTGAACAGAGAAGGGAGGCTCAGAGCAGCAGACGGAGAGGAGGAGGGGGCTGTGCCCAGACCGGGGGTGGGAGAGAGCGCGCCACCTTGTAAGTGGGGAAACCGAGGCTGGGAGGATCCTGAGCTCACCATGACCACGGGACCAGAGAGGCAGGGCTAGGATCCAGACCCAACTGCCAGGGCCTGGTGGCTGTGCCCCCATGGGGACAGCTGTGTGGGGTGGGGAGAAGACCCCCAAACTCCCCAGAGGGAAAGACCAGGGTCTAGTGAGCCCACGCGTGTCCCTGCCAGCCCCCTGAAGTAGAGAGAACAAATCCCACCCGGGCTCTGCAGGCCTGGGGTCCGGAGCCCAGCTTGGGGCAGGAGATGAGGGCTGTCCTAGGGAAGTTCGCAGCGGGCAGAGGGGCGGGGACGGGGTCTCTGCCCACACGGCTCCCTGGCCCTCCCCTGCAGGGGGAGGCTCTGCCGAGACCTGGGCCTTTCGGCTGCAGACCCTGACGGCTCCCAGAGAGCGGTCCCAGCAGCACCCGCTGGTCCAGGGGGAGGGCCCGGCTGGGGACAGAGCCTCCAAGTTCACTGCCACCTGGAGGGAGCGGGAGCACGCTGTGCTGCAGGGAACACGCCAGACAGAAAAGGCCACCTGCGCGACACTCCATCCACAGGCACCCCCGGAGTGAGTCCACGGCAACAGGTGGTGTTGCGCCCCAACCCCGGAACCGCGCACTCTAAGTGGGTGCATCACAGGACACGTGTGTCACCTCTCCACCAAAGTGCCAGCAGCAGCCCCATGGGGAGGGGCGGGTGAGCAGGTAGTGGAACCCCGACAAGCCAGCCTGAGTCCCCTGCCTGTCACCAGCCAGCCCAGCCCCCTCCCCTAAAGCTCTAAGCAAGGGCACTGGGGGAGCTATTCCCCTCCCAAGCAGCAGGGGCGCTATTCCCTGGTCAAGACTTTCAGGAAGTAAAATGGCAAACCGCATCAAGGGTGGAACAGAAACCAAGCGATACCAGTGTGTTTGTTTCTAGGCCGCACCCAACAACCCCCCTCCCAGGAACTTATTCACAGAAACGACTCCAGGGCAGCCACTGCGGCTGCGTCCAAGGCCGCCAGTGGCAAGCCCAGGCAGTGACGGGTCATGGGGGCCCGAGGCAGTGGGGCAGGAACACAGGGAAGGCGCACTCAGAGAGCAGGGACTGTCACAGCAGCTAAGAAACACACAGGAGAAGCTGGAGGCGTGGGGGGGGGCGGCTGGAGCGCCTGCCCCACCCACGAGCACAGGGTGGTCCCACCCGCTGTGGCCCAGCCCGGCGCCCCCGGGCCCAGAGGGGCGCCAGACTCACAAAGGGCGCCAGCAGGACGGGGCTCAGTCCCAGGGCGAGGCGAGGCCCTCAGGGCAGTGGAGCCCCAGCCGCACGGAGTCACGTGCACACCCCCAGGCAGCCTGACAGCTCCCAGGAAGGGTGGGCCTTCGAGAAGGCGAGGGGTCACCCCCAGGCACCACCCCCCGCCCACCCCAGGGCGCTTCCCAGCCGCTGCCACTCCTGACCGGCTGGGGGGCTGTGCCCCTCGTGTTTCCTTTACAGACACGTGGGCACCCTGTCCCCTCCTCCGCCTCCTCTGTGTGGCCCGGGGCAGCAGGTGCTCTGGGCCTGACCGGTGTCGCCTGGCTGGGCTTCTGCCGGATCAGGCGCATCGGGCCAGCCCGCCAGGGGCCCTACTGTCCTAGATGCCTGCCCTGCGCGGCACACGAGGCCCGTGACCCGGACGAGATGCTGAGTGACAGGACGCCAGGCGGGTCCATCCCGTGCCCTCCAGTGCCATCTGCCTCACACCACAGGGCTGCTGGGAGGCTGTGCGCCCGGAGGCCCGGGGCCAGGTGGGCGAGCTCACACTCATTAGAGGACCGGTCTGGGGTCGCCCTCCGAGGCCGAGGTGCAGGAGGCAGGGCGGGCAGAGCCCATCTAGAACCTTCCGTCGCCCCACTGAGGCTGCCAGAGAGGGCGGGGGGCCCAGGCCACTCCGGCCACCATGCCAGCTCCGGGACAGGGGACACTCACCCCCAAAATCTGTCAGGAGAGGGCCGCCCAGGCCCTGCGTGTCCCCGCGGCGGGGCCTACCTGCAGCTCCTTGTCCGAGTACTTCTGCGGGTTCTTGCTGCCCTGGCTCTTCTTGCGCAGCTTCTTCAGCTCGGCCTGGCACTTGTCCAGTGCGTCGCCCTTGCTCCTCTGCTCCGTTTGGTACTTCTTCAGGGCCGCCTGGTGCACGGGCAAGACGCGGCCGCCATGAGCCCCGCTCCCCTCCGCACCCGGAGTGAAGGCTGGGTTGGGGGCCCCTCCAGCTGCCCCCCTGCCCTGATTCACGCCCCCGATGCCACAAGGCAGACGAGGGGGCTGCAGCAGGTCAGAGAGGGGGTGCGGGGGGGGTCCCTGGAACAGCCCTGACATCATCATCCTCACTGAAAGCAGCAGACCCGGGTGGGTGGGGTTCACCCCAGGACAGCGCCGTCTCCAAGGGGCAGGAATGTTGGGGCTGAGGAGCCCCTGGAGGAAGCTGAGGGCCCTCACAGTGGGGAGGGAGACGTCTGAACAGTGGGGGGGAGGGGAGGGCTACTTACACTCAAGTACCTGGCGTCCAGCTCCACCTTCTGCTCCAGCTGTGTGAGCAACTCGTTGTGAAAGGACTTCAGCTGTGGGGGGAGCACAGGCTGGTCGGCGCCCCTGCGCGGGCCCGGGGCACCCAGCATGGGAGGGGGCAGCAGGGTCCTGTCTGGGCACAGGCAGCCACCCCCGGGAAAGGGGGGGCCCCACGGAGCCAGGAGGTGTGTGTGGGGGATGCTGGACAAAAGTCCGAATGCCAGACCACCCTGCTTCCTGCGCCCGCCCGCCCCGCTGTCCCAGGCCCACCCTGGGGCCTGGGCCTCACCATCTCTTCCAGCTGGTTCTGAATCTGCCTGTGGACCTCCGCCATCTGGAAGAGGACGTCTCCTGGACAGCAACATGCAGGGAAGGAAAATGGGACATCAGTGCCCCAATCAGCCTCCCCATCACCCCCACCAGAGCGAGGCGCCGGGCAGCAGACCCCAGAGAACACGGCAGGGGTCCCCTCGGCGAAGGCACAGGAGGGCTGGAGACACAGGGCAGCGGTGGCACCGAGAGACCCCGCCCCGCCCGGGCGTTGGGGCGCACGCACACGGAGGTGCCCTCCCCCCGCCCGCTGCAGAGCGCTGGGCGCCGTCAGCCGATGGATCGGCAGAGGTTTGCTGAGAGTGTTTTCGGTGGCAGCGCTGCCTGTGCCGCCTGTGGGCACACAAAGCAGGAGAGCACCCCGTCCTTGCAGGCGGTCACTGTCTGGCAAACCCTATTCCCGAGTGCTGCCCGCACCAGGGTGTCCCCTCCCCAGCCCAGCACTCCTGGAGCGCCGCAGGGTTCCCTGAGCCACTGCAGGGGACTGTCACCCCACCTCAGGGACGAGGCTGTGCCCCCAAGACCTCAGCCCTAGTGGTGACATCGCTTGTCCCCTAGTGTCCTTTTTGGTCCCCGAAGAGGGCTGGTGAAGGTCCTCAGAGCCAGAGTCTGTGGGAGCTGCGTCCACCCTGTGCTCTGTGACCCTCTCCCCGCCTCCTGGGCTCCAAGGAGAGCCCGAGGTGGGCCCTGCCCAGGCCCACCTGCTGGAAAGGGGACTCCTCTCCCGGTCCCGACTCCAGCATCGATGCCTCGGCCCCAGGGTTGCAGGTTCTGGGGCCCCAGCACAGCTCAGTCCCGAACTCGGACAACTGGCTTTAAAACAGCCACTCAGATCTCACCAGCCTGGGTGTGCCAGGGGGCCATGGAGCCGGTGCTGCTCCCAACGGGACGGCCAGGGCTCCGGGGACGTCACGGAGCAGATGGACGGCCCCCGACACAGGGACAGAGAGAGCAGACCCTGGGCCCGGGTGGCCAGGCAGAAGCACGGGGTTGGGAGTGGGGCCGGGGCAGGGCCACCGGCAGCAAGGACCGGCGATGAGGGGCACACGCAGCATAGACGGCACGGAAGACCCAGAGGTGTCGGAGAGCTGGTCGCGCCCCCTCCCGTGCCCGCCCTGGCCACGCCCTGCCAGCCAGGTCGGGGGGAGGCCACCCTGTGCGCCCCCCCAGCCCTGAGCCTTGCACCCCAGGCGGCCTAGGAGCTCCAGACATGGCCTCGGGCCTTCAGGTTGAGAGGGAATCTCAGTCCACACAGCTACGTCCCCCGCCAGAGGGAAGGCGGGGCTGGGGCAGCCAGAAACCCCCCACACACACACACGTGAATACACACAGGCACATACCCATGTAACATGGGACGTGCAAGAAACGTCGGCTGGACACGGGTTGTGTCTCGGGCAGCTGGTGTGGGGATGGTCGCCCCCACCTCTGCTGCCCACAGAGGTGACATGCAGCCTTGGTGGCCTGGCTGGAGCCCTTGTCCCCAGGGAGGTAGCCCAGCCCCGGGCAGCAGCAGAAGGGACTGGTCCAGCCTTCTAGTGGGGACACAGCCCCCAGCACGCACAGGGCTCTGATGCTACAGGGCCCAGGCCCGTGTGAGACTCAGTGTGGGGACCACCCCCCATTCCAGAACACTCCAAACAGAAACCTGCCCCTACTAGCACACCCCTCCCCCCAGGCCCTGTACCACTGACTTGCCTGCTGTCACGGGCCCCATCTGCACACTCGTGCCAGTGGGATAGCTCGCTGAGTGGCCTGCGGGTCACGTCCCCGCCGAGCAGCCGCTGAGGTCCGCCCGCAGGGCGGCCTGCGCCCGCATCGCTCCCTTGGCCAGCCCCGGTCCAGCGTGCGGACGGTGGGTGTGTCTGAGGCCCGCTGCTGCGGCCGCCCGTGCTGTGCGAGGGCGCTTCCCTCTTGGCACGTGCCCCCGCTGGCTGTGCACACTGTCCGTCTCCCCAACACGCACTCAGGTTTTCCCACCTGCTTACAGCGACAGCCGCTGGCCAGCAAACCCCAAGGGAGTCAAGCAGCCTGGGGTCCCCCAGCTGGTGGAGGACCACTGGAGGGGGAGTTGGGGGGTCAGACTCCAGAGCTGCCAGGCGCTCTCGGGGGTCCCCCAGATCTAGCCTGAGCCCGTGGGACTCGGCGGCTCCTCCCAGGCTCTCTGCCACCTTCCTGCTCCAGGCCAGCCACACCCCCGGGGCAGGTGAGTGAGGACACGGCCCTCGGAGCTGTGCCTGCGGAGGACTGAGCCCTGCCCAGCAGGAGGCAGCTTCTGCCAAACCTGGGGATCCTGAGCTTAACGGGACCCCAGGGCTGTTCCTTTGGCACCACCGCCTGCTCCCGAAAAATTCCCCACAGACCCCGGCGTGAACCGTGGTTCCCGGCGTGAACCGTGGTGCCGGGACAGAAGCTCCACAAGGAGGTGGGCACGGGCCAGCAGCGGGGGCCGGGCGGGGGCCGGGCAGAAACAGGCTGCGCAGCGGGGGTGCCAATGGCAGTCGGCCCGGACCGGGCTCCTGGGTACCAGGAGACCTTGGGGGGCGGCCGCACTCCAGGGAGGACGGCCGAGGGCGCACGCAGGACCAGAGCTCACAGGAGGGTCCAAGGGGTGAGGACACAGAGCCGCTGTGCCCAGCCGAGGTCAGGGCCACTGCACAAAGTGCCCACCACGCCCGGGGCTACAGAGCGGGTCGGCCCCCCTCCCGGGACTCCTGGGCTTAGGGCGGAGTGTGCAGCCGCTGGAGCCGACTGCAGACGTGGCCCGGTGTCTTTAACTGCTTCACGTGTGCTCAGGGGTGTGGAGTCACCACGGTGACTTCCCAGAACTGGGAAATCATTGAACTGTTTCTCCCAGCCAGGCCCTCTTGGAGCGGGTGAAAGATTCTGGAGACCGGGATGACCCCGGGTGCGAGGCTTCAGAAGGTGCAGGTTAGAGACTGCAGGCTGGGCTCTGATGGGAGCTGTGACCTAGACGGACGCGCCCGGCGCTGGGCCAGGGTCACGCTCCCACTGCCTCCCACGGCAACAGAGGCAGGCCCAGGGCGGTTGGGTGCCACCCCGACCCGCCTCCGTGGCACCTGCACACTCTCCCCGGGGAGGGAGACGGATGGCTGAGTGAAAAGAAGAAGCCCTGGCAGAACCAGGAAGAACCGCCCCCCTGGATGGTGAGTCTGGGGATGAGACCAGAGACCCGGGGCCGGGAAGCCTGGTGCCTGAAGTCCGGACAGGGACGGGGACGGGGACAGGGATAGGGAGCGGAGGGGGGAGGGGAGGGCCGGGTCTGGCGGAGCCCACGGGCAGCGACAGCGGGGAGACCCTTCTCGCTGCTCTGAGCCCCAGGCCAGCAGGGGTGCAGCCCCACCTCCCACTCAGGGCGCCAGGCCTTGCGGAGACTGCACGCTGGCCTCGAGGCGCTGGGGGTGGGTCTGAGGAGGTCTTGCAGCCATGCCCAGAGGTTCCCGTCAGAGGCCTGGTGATCAGAGGGCCCCGAGTCGTGGCTTTCCAAAGCCCACCCTTCCGCAGCTCACAGGAGCCGGCGCAGCCTTCTGCCCTGCAGTGGGATCACAGGTGCCCACTCATGGCCCCCAGTTCTGCTGTGTGTTTTTACTGAGATGTCCGTATGGACACGCGTGCACACACGCTGTCTTGTCAAACCACCGGAGATTCAGAAGCGCCTTGCTCAGCCCGGCCTCCCACCCGGCCTACCGCCCGCCGTGGGCCCGAGATGTGGGGGCCTGCACCACGGCAGTATGGCCCCTCCTCATGGGCGCGGGCACAGGTGCAGGCGAGGGCCGCAGGGGGCGCATGGCAGCCACGGGCCTCCAGGAGCCCCAACCAGCCCGGGCACTGACTCTGGGTGGCTGTCAACCAGCCTGGGCGACGCAGAGCTGAGACCGGCAGTGGTGAGGCTGTGTGTGGAATTGCCCTCGGCCCCCGGGGGGGGCGGGGGTCTGGGGACACTGAGGAGGGACCTGAGCTTCCTTCAGCAACGGGATCCAGCCCTGTAGCTGGAGCCGACCTGGAATCCAGCAGGGAGTCCCCCTGCCACTGCCGAGTGGTCACTGGTGGCCCCCAAGCAAACCGACACCCTCTTAGGGCCTCTCTCTTCGGGAGGAGCCAGAGCTTCTGGCTGCTGAGAAGGGCCGAGAGGCCCTAGGCCGAGGGGTCAGCTGCTCGGACTGGGCTGGAGATGCACGGAACCTTCTGGAACCTTTGGGACCTTCTGGGACCTTCCGAAGCAGACATCCACACGCTCATCGTTCTGCCGGCTTCCTGAGCGGAAGGGCACCTCTGGGAGCTACTGCTACAGGCTGAGCAGGGCAGGGACGCGGAGCTCTCGTGACAGGGGACAGCTGAGGGGCAGCAGGAGCAGGACACGGGCTCCAACGGCGCGAGGAGGCCCCTCCAGGCCGCGCTGCCAGTGCTTCTCCCTGGGAGACGCAAACAGGGATTTTCTCCCAACTACGGGAAACCCGAAAGATACAAAAAATGGAAGACGATGTTGACGGGGCCGGGGGGACCCAGAAACAGCATGGCTGTGTTGCCATGGCGATGAGAGCAGACAGCACACAGCAAACCTCCCCCACGTGCTCCTCTGAGGCAGAGCAGGCCTGAGTTGCGCCTGGTGGCCAGGCACTTCCAGAAGGAGGAGAGGACAGTCCAGCCGCCCCCTCCGCAGGCTGGAGCCTGCACCCACCTGCTCCCAGTTGGCTGCCCCTAGGAGCCTGTTTGGACCCGGGCGCCGTCTCGGGCACACACAGTCCCACGGCAGGGGGCCGGGTGGAGACTCCGGCTCAACCCACCTCTCCCCACAGGTGGGACACGGGCCGTGGCTGAGTGGGCGCAGGGCCGCACTCGGGGTGACAGACAGCCTCCCCCAGCGGCCCTCTGCCCACCTCCCTCGTCCACTCCAGCGGACTCCGAAGGCCGGCTTTCCCTCTGCCGACGCCACGCAACGTGTGCGGGTGTGTGTGCTGGGGTTTTCCTCCCAAAGCGAGAACGCAGTGGCCCAGGTCGCCCGG